TGTTGCGCAATGGCGGAAGCTGTAGTTTACATGTAACACTCAAAGGCAGCACAGCTTTTGAGGCGTGCTGATGTTGTGAGAGGACGTTATGTCCCCTTAGAGTTCCTGTAAAGACTGAAAACACAGCCGCAGAAATATCTAATAACATACTCCGCAGCGTTGAAATGTTAAGTAACTCAACCACGGTATCCCCACACGCATAAATAATGCCGGTATCAAGAATGGACGAGCTGCATAATGTGGAGAATGAACACATACATTCACATTCGGTTTAATTTGGACCTTGACAATTAGGTGTCCAGTGTGGATGACAATCCATCGCTAGAACATCTGCAGTCTGACAATACAGTGATTTAGAGCAAATAGGTAGAAGTCAAGTGGTTTAACTGGGAGTGCCTTAGTGCACTCAACGATTCAAGCTCTGATTCGAATTCTTCTGGAACTGGTTGTCGGTGACTGGGAATACTACATTTCTTGCATGTGTACAAGTGTGCTGGCTGTCAAAACTCAACACTGAAAAATGAAGTAACATCGATTTTGTTCTGTGGCACAAAACAACTGCCTTTATTATTAAAAAAACAAGGCAAGATTGTAGTCATGGTTTTAATAATTCTTTTTTGTATAATTTTACGCTATTTTCTATTTTGTATAGATTAATAACTTTTATATAACATATTTTTCTGTACTTATTTCTGACTTTTGGTCTTGCAAGTCAGGTATTTCCACTCATTAAAAGCTTTCTTATCTATCATATCATGCACTACAACGTCCATAAACTCCTCTGAACTTCGTACTGAAAGTAAAAAAACAGAAACGTACAAATATGTATCTTAATTTCCAAGTATACCCGAGAGTATGTACCAGGTAGAGAAGACAAATGCAAAACTACCGTAATTCTTGAGTTTAATAAAAAATATCTTAACAAGAATAACAAATGGAAAATTCAAATTAACCATAGCAGATGATGAAATGACAGTAAACAAGTTACCCCCCACAGAGAACCACACAAATGTTTCTCCTCGTTCTTATGTTGAATTTCTTCTTCAGAAACGTCTTGACGTGAATGCCATTTTCGCATCGGAGGGTGAGAACGTCGCACGTGACGTCACAGAGGCCGCATGTCGCTTTCACTTTGGGGAAGCACATTATTTCTATGTGCATAGACTTCGTTACAATCCAAAGAGTTAATCAATAACTGTGAACGTGATCAAAACACAGAAAAATAACAACATTAAACGGAGAATCATTATTTTATTTTTTTCACGTGATTCTTGTCATAACTTTATAAATACATATAATACATTTCAGCGAACGCAAAAACAGCAAACTAACCAATTTAAAAATCCTATGTTGTGTCAGAAGTCGCCAACATGTTCTCAGTTTACTTACAAAGTGTTTCCTTCCTGAGAAATCGCAGTGATGATGAACAATGAGCTGTTTTAGCTGTTTTTTGACTTCAAAAGACCAACAAATATGATGAATAACTAGGATCTAAGTTGTTGTCAGTTGCATCAATAAATATATTATTGATTGATTAATGGATAAATAGGCTGCATGTAATTAAATAAATGAAAAAAGCGTGATTTTCACATGAGGACGTCACATGATACGTGACGCAATCACTTCCGTTTTTCTCAAATCCAGTGTTACTTATTTATGATTTATGTGATAAAGAACAACAACAAGTAAACGAGAACAATAGTCTTTTCCCACGTGATTGCCATCAGAGGGAGAGCCTTCCATCAGAAAAGGAAAACAAACATTTCTAAATGAATAATTCATTCAATTAATTCAATCATTACAAATCAGCAACACGAAAAAGGTTCCTGCAAAAGTCGCCAACATGTTCCGACTTTACTCCCGACATGTTGTGCGTTTAATTTACTATATTAATTGTGTGGGATTGCTGTATTACATGAAAACATTTTTAAAACATCTTTAAATATAATGTTGACTCCAATATTTCATTAAGCCTTTGGAATTCGAAACATGTGTCCGACATTCTGCGTGTGTGTCGTAGAGGTAAACCGCGCTCCCTCAGTGTTTCCCTCAGTGTTTATGTCTGGAAAGTGAAAAAGGTGCGCCCTGCTGTATAAATGAGGCGCTGCAGCTCTCCTCCAACAGAACAACTTCACAGAGAAATCTCTACTCGCTCCACAACAAGAACATCTCAACCTCGTCTCAAAATGCTCTGCAGGATGTTTTCGGTGTTTGTGTGTCTCAGTCTGTACAGCTCAGCCTCCTCGCTGAGCTGCAGATGGGTGGATCATAAATTCAGTCATCTCAGCAGAACCTCGATGGATCTACTAGACACCCTGGTGAGTGGACCTCTGTTGTTCTGGATGTTCTTTAAAGTCTCTGATTGTGTTTACACTGCTGTGTACTCACCTTGTGTGCGTGTGTGTGTGTGTGTGTGTGTGTGTGTGTGTGTGTGTGATACAGGCTCATAATTCCACTAATTCCACTGAGGATTCTGAAAATAACTTCCCCAATAATCTGTACAGCCAGGCATCCAAAGCATCAGTAAGTCAGTCTCAACCTTTTTATTAAACATCCAAACACAAACAAATGACTTGATTTCATCTCATTTCATGTAACAAACAGTTTCCATAGAAAACTTAATTGTTATATACATTTTAAAGTGTGATGAATATGTTAACTGACCTTCTTCTTCAGGCTGAGGACAAACTGAGGTTCTCAGTTCAGATCCTGGAGGAGATGGCTGCCCTGTTTGAGGAGGATCACAGCAATGCATCATGGGAGGAGCAAACGGTGGACCACTTTCTCATCGTAGTGACAAAGCAGGCCGACAGCCTTCACTCCTGTGTAAGTAGACAGCTGTTGGTCGCAACATACAGCTTCACGTGTAACATTTAACCAGGCGGGTGAAGTTGTGACTCGAGAAAACATGACAGATTAAATCGGTAAAGCACAATAAATTCATCCTTTGTAACATTTATTTTCTTCTGATGAATTTAGATCAAGAGCCACGGCCACAAGAGGAAGAACAAGAAGCTGCAAATGTATTTCAAGAGACTATCTCATCGTGTCCTGGAGCAAATGGTAAGAGAGTCCTTCTATTTATCAGTCAATGTATCAATCAGTGTGCTGTATTGATCATGTTTTAATAATGATGACATTCATGTGTCTGTAGGGCCACAGCGCTGAATCCTGGGAGCTGATCAGGAAGGAAATGAAAGCCCATCTGATGAAAACAGACCAGCTGGTTCTGTCTCTACTCAGCAACTGAAACTGTTTATTTCATTAGAAATGCGGTTGTTTATGTGCTGACATGGAGTATATTTATTTATCTATCTATTTATTTAGTTTACTTATTTTTTTTTTTTTTAATGATTATTTATTCAAAAAAGGTTGTGTACTTATTTATAAACAATTGAGTAACTTGAGTATTTATTGATTATTCATCTTGCTGTGTCGCTCAATGTTTTTGTTTTTGTACTTACAGCAAAATGTGAAATGTTTTTAAATATCCTTTTTCATAGTCAATAAAGATCATATTTTATATTGATACGTTGACTGTTTTTACCCCCGTCACATAAACTAAAGGGCTGCAGCTTTCTCATTTTAATATGTTTAATCAAACAAACAATGTTTGTTTTCTTTATACCTCGTGCAATATGTACAAGTGCAACTTTAAGCTTTTAAATATCAGGGCTTTATTCAGATGCTTTAATGATGAAATAGCAAATGTTCTTTAACTAAGCAGAATAAGCCTAATTTATCTGACTCGTCAAATGTTGAAACACCTACTGAGATGCTTTTGTTATTGATCTCATTTACTGTTAATACTACTTAATCCTCTATTATTAAATTCATCCGCACAACAACACATTTTCATATATTGTGTGGATGAAAGTACATCAACATAAGTACCAAAGTCTACCAACCGAGATCAATTTTGAGGTATTTAAGGTATTTATTATTGTCATTATAACACTTTTCTGCTCCACACATTGTACTTGTTTCTTTTCTGTAATCACTTCAAAACTTTCCGATATGCAATATATAACTTAATATTATTCATCCTTTGGAAACATCTAGAAGATACCCAGAAGGAGGTTCAATCAAGTTTAGCAATAGCTCCACTCAAGCACTAAAGTGACGGACAAAGTACCTTAATGCATCGCTAAATATTATTTATACATATAACACTGTAGCAAAACAAAGCTTTAGGCGTTTAGCACCACCTTTCCCTTTTAGTTTAGTTTAGTTTAGTTTTAGTACTATAGGAGATCGGAGTGTTCATCCCACAAGGCGATGCCAGTGTGTTTCCGCCCTGAGGCTGTTAAAGATTTCAGACTGCACCTATATTGAAAGGATATCGTCTCTGTCTGATGATAATCATCTCACATCATTACATAACAGAATATTACATAATATTGAGATATCTGAAAGTGAGGAAACTAAACGCAGACACACATCTGTTATATTTTGTGTAAATTTTGTGACGTAGGTAAATCTTGAGTATTAATACATTATTAATAACACAAACATCTCAGTGGGTGTTTCTCTGTGGTGATGTGTCGGATAACAATCATAAACCATGCTTATTGTTCAGAAGATAAAGAACAAGTTTGCCAATAAAAAACGGAGATTTGCAGTTAGAAGTTGCACTTGTACGGATATTATTCGTCAGTTTGAATTCTCTATATTGATTTAATATCAGTTCTGCCTTCTGTGGGTGTAAGTACTGTGAGAGGTATAAATATTCCACCAATTGATTGTTGGTTGATTGAATGCAGTAAAAGGTCAAATGTGGATAATGTTGTTTGACGGGAATAAAAACAGTCATGAACATATTAATTTGTAAAAATATTATCTTTATTGCCTATAAAATAAGAGCAAAATGTTGGTCAAAAATCAACAGAGACACAGGTTGGTAATAAGTACATGAACAAATAAATAAATATGCAAATCAATAAATAATTAAATAAAAAATACCAGCAATAAGTTAATAAATAAGTAAACTAAATAAATAAATAGATAAATAAATAGACTGCATGTCAGCACATAAACAACCGCATTTCTAATGAAATAAACAGTTTCAGTTGCTGAGTAGAGACAGAACCAGCTGGTCTGTTTTCATCAGATGGGCTTTCATTTCCTTCCTGATCAGCTCCCAGGATTCAGCGCTGTGGCTCTACAGACACATGAATGTCATCATTATTAAAACATGATCAATACAGCACACTGATTGATAGATTGACTGATAAATAGAAGGACTCTCTTACCATTTGCTCCAGGACATGATGAGATAGTCTCTTGAAATACATTTGCAGCTTCTTGTTCTTCCTCTTGTGGCCGTGGCTCTTGATCTAAATTCATCAGAAGAAAATAAATGTTACAAAGGATGAATTTATTGTGCTTTACCGATTTAATCTGTCATGTTTTCTCGAGTCACAACTTCACCCGCCTGGTTAAATGTTACACGTGAAGCTGTATGTTGCGACCAACAGCTGTCTACTTACACAGGAGTGAAGGCTGTCGGCCTGCTTTGTCACTACGAAGAGAAAGTGGTCCACCGTTTGCTCGTCCCATGATGCATTGCTGTGATCCTCCACAAACAGGGCAGCCATCTCCTCCAGGATCTGAACTGAGAACCTCAGTTTGTCCTCAGCCTGAAGAAGAAGGTCAGTTAAATGACTACAGCAACATATTCATCACACTTTAAAATGTATATAACAATTAAGTTTTCTATGGAAAGTGTTTGTTACATAAAATGAGATGAAATCAAGTCATTTGTTTGTGTTTGGATGTTTAATAAAAAGGTTGAGACTGACTTACTGATGCTTTGGATGCCTGGCTGTACAGATTATTGGGGAAGTTATTTTCAGCATCCTCAGTGGAATTAGTGGAATTATGAGCCTGTATCACACACACACACACACACACACACACACACACACACACACACACACACGCACACAAGGTGAGTACACAGCAGTGTAAACACAATCAGAGACTTTAAAGAACATCCAGAACAACAGAGGTCCACTCACCAGGGTGTCTAGTAGATCCATCGAGGTTCTGCTGAGATGACTGAATTTATGATCCACCCATCTGCAGCTCAGCGAGGAGGCTGAACTGTACAGACTGAGACACACAAACACCAAAAACATCCTGCAGAGCATTTTGAGACGAGGTTGAGATGTTCTTGTTGTGGAGCGAGTAGAGATTTCTCTGTGAAGTTGTTCTGTTGGAGGAGCTGCAGCGCCTCATTTATACAGCAGGGCGCACCTTTTTCACTTTCCAGACATAAACACTGAGGGAAACACTGAGGGAGCGCGGTTTACCTCTACGACACACACGCAGAATGTCGGACACATGTTTCGAATTCCAAAGGCTTAATGAAATATTGGAGTCAACATTATATTTAAAGATGTTTTAAAAATGTTTTCATGTAATACAGCAATCCCACACAATTAATATAGTAAATTAAACGCACAACATGTCGGGAGTAAAGTCGGAACATGTTGGCGACTTTTTAAGGATCCTAATTCGTGTTGCTGATTTGTAATGACTAATTATTCATTTAGAAATGTTTGTTTTCCTTTTCTGATGGAAGGCTCTCCCTCTGATGGCATTTACGTGGGAAAAGACTATTGTTCTCGTTTATTTGTTATTCTTTATCACATAAATCATAAATGGTTACTCATTTACTCATTGAGAAAAACGGAAGTGATTGCGTCACGTGTCACGTGACGTCCTCAATGTGAAAATCACGCTTTATTCATTCATTTAATTCGATGCAGCCTATTTATCCATTAATCAACATATTTTTTGGTGCAACTGACAACCACTTACATTGTAGTTATTGATCATATTTGTTTGTCTTTTGAAGTCTTAGCTCAAATGTACACGTTACATTTCATGTATTTATATATATTGTATTGTTATATTTCTCATGAGCTTTAAGAAGAAAAAATACTTTCTATTTTTTACTTTTCTAACGATATCTCGTAGTTAAATATCTTTTTACAACTATAACTTCCGTCACCAGGTTCATTACTAATTGTGCTGGAAGTGTTTAAACATCTGGAGAGATCAGGGATCTCTTGTTAAACATCTGTATCCTTCAGGCGTATTCATGCTAAACTGCTAAACTTAAAACTGGTGTATATTTATATATATATATATATATATATATATATATATATATATAATCTGCATTTGTTTAAAACGTAGTGTATTTTCTTTGCATTAATGAAATGCATTTAAGTAATCCGATACAATCTTCTTAACTGGAACTGAAACTAATGTCTTAATTCTATGCAGAAAAAGTTCTAAAGCTATTTCATCACAAATATTTTTATGGGCGAAATTTTATTCCCGATTCTTCATTTTTCAGCCAATACTTCGAGTACTTCCCTGATTAATTTATCATTGGATGGAAAATCGAGAACAAGCTATAGCTTGAAAAAATAAAAATAAAACCCCAGTAAGGTAAAAAGAAATGAAAGCCTGCGCAAATATTCCTCCATGCTCTCCAGCCTTCTGTATTAAAGGCCGAATAAGAAAGAAACAAAGATTTGTTGTATTCCTGTGGGGCAGAAACCCCTTTTCCCACGGTCCAAGGTGTCATATTCTTGCTAAAAACAAGGTGAAATGTCAGTCAGACCGATTCACACGAACGCGCGTCACAGCGCAGGCCGCAGTCACGGAGCCGCTTTCATTTTCTGTTGAATGGAACTTCCCGTTTTATGGCCCCTCACAGCTCCCGTCGACTGATAACCGTGAATGCGCTCAGAGTTAATGATGCATGACGACAGTGTTTTTAAAGACATCACCAGTGTTTCATCATCTTACGGAGACCGTGCGGAGTGAAATGCAATCTGTAAAACGTCACCACAAATTAGTGGAATATAAATACAGATAATATAATAGAAATTCATTTTGGGTGGCAATAATTGACGATAATGGCAATAATATTAACTTAATAATCAATTAAAATATTTCGAATAGTATAATATGATCAATAGTGAGCGGTGATTTACTTTATATTTACTTGAGGTGTTTTAGGTATTCTATAATATCAATTTCATGTTTTCCCAGCTCGTTTCTTATAATCACATAGATAATTGAGTACGCTTTAATCGTGGGAAAACGTCTTCAACAAGCCATTGATTAGAATCCGAAACATGTGTCTGAAATTCTGCGTGTGTGTTAAACCGCGTTCACTCCGTGTTGTGTTTATGTCTGGAAAGTGAAAACGCTGCGCCCTGCTGTATAAATGAGGCGCTGCAGCTCTCCTCCAACAGAACAACTTCACAGAGAAATCTCTACTCGCTCCACAACAAGAACATCTCAACCTCGTCTCAAAATGCTCTGCAGGATGTTTTCGGTGTTTGTGTGTCTCAGTCTGTACAGTTCAGCCTCCTCGCTGAGCTGCAGATGGGTGGATCATAAATTCAGTCATCTCAGCAGAACCTCTATGGATCTACTAGACACCCTGGTGAGTGGACCTCTGTTGTTCTGGATGTTCTTTAAAGTCTCTGATTGTGTTTACACTGCTGTGTACTCACCTTGTGTGCGTGTGTGTGTGTGTGTGTGTGTGTGTGTGTGTGTGTGTGTGTGTGATACAGGCTCATAATTCCACTAATTCCACTGAGGATGCTGAAAATAACTTCCCCAATAATCTGTACAGCCAGGCATCCAAAGCATCAGTAAGTCAGTCTCAACCTTTTTATTAAACATCCAAACACAAACAAATGACTTGATTTCATCTCATTTTATGTAACAAACAGTTTCCATAGAAAACTTAATTGTTATATACATTTTAAAGTGTGATGAATATGTTGCTGTAGTCATTTAACTGACCTTCTTCTTCAGGCTGAGGACAAACTGAGGTTCTCAGTTCAGATCCTGGAGGAGATGGCTGCCCTGTTTGAGGAGGATCACAGCAATGCATCATGGGAGGAGCAAACGGTGGACCGCTTTCTCTTCGTAGTGACAAAGCAGGCCGACGGCCTTCACTCCTGTGTAAGTAGACCGCTGTTGGTCGCAACATACAGCTTCACGTGTAACATTTAACCAGGCGGGTGAAGTTGTGACTCGAGAAAACATGACAGATTAAATCGGTAAAGCACAATAAATTCATCCTTTGTAACATTTATTTTCTTCTGATGAATTTAGATCAAGAGCCACGGCCACAAGAGGAAGAACAAGAAGCTGCAAATGTATTTCAAGAGACTATCTCATCGTGTCCTGGAGCAAATGGTAAGAGAGTCCTTCTATTTATCAGTCAATGTATCAATCAGTGTGCTGTATTGATCATGTTTTAATAATGATGACATTCATGTGTCTGTAGGGCCACAGCGCTGAATCCTGGGAGCTGATCAGGAAGGAAATGAAAGCCCATCTGATGAAAACAGACCAGCTGGTTCTGTCTCTACTCAGCAACTGAAACTGTTTATTTCATTAGAAATGCGGTTGTTTATGTGCTGACATGCAGTCTATTTATTTATCTATCTATTTATTTAGTTTACTTATTTATTATTTTTTTAATGATTATTTATTCAAAAAAGCATTTCTTTCATTTTTATTTGTGTACTTATTTATAAACAATTGAGTAATTTAAGTATTTATGGATTATTCATCTTTCTGTGTCCCTCAATGTTTTTGTTTTTGTACCAGTAAAATGTAAATGTTTTTTTTAATTTCCTATTTCATAGTCAATAAAGATCATATTTTATATTGATATGTTGACGGTTTTGTACAAGTGCAACTTTAAGCTTTCAAACATCAGGGCTTCATTCAGATGCGTTAATGATACAATATTAAATGTTCTTTAACTTCAGCAGAATAAGCCTAATTCATCTGACTCGTCGAAGGTAGAAACACCTACTGAGATGCTTTTGTTATTGATCTCATTTACTGTTAATACTACTTAATTCTCTATTATTAAATTCATCCGCACAACAACACATTTTCATATATTGTGTGAAAATGTGTTGTACACTGATTGATCATGTTTTAATAATGATGACATTCATGTGTCTGTAGGGCCACAGCGCTGAATCCTGGGAGCTGATCAGGAAGGAAATGAAAGCCCATCTGATGAAAACAGACCAGCTGGTTCTGTCTCTACTGTCTCGGATTAATTAATTCAATACAATATTCATATTTTTTAATGCTTATTTATGCTTAATGTTCTACTTTTATATTTATTGGTATGCTATACCACAAATAATGTTAATGATAAACTTGTTTATTTTTGTACTATTACCTATTTATTTTTACATTCAATAAAAAAACTTTCTCCAGCCAATAGAAAACGATTCATTGTTTTTAATCTCGTACATAAAACACTTTTTTTAATAATCAAACATTAAGCAGGGTCTTTTTCAGGCTGTAATGCACACGCTGTTAGAAATAGATTAACTTAAGATAAGTCATTTTAAACCCTCACACTTTACATACATTAAAAAAAAAAAAAAAACTTCTTGAAGCACCAAAAAGCAATCTGCTGAATCTAACTTACACAATTGCTCCCTTCCAGGTCATTCCATTTAAAATCACAGCTCACTAATTGACTCCAGTTGTACTGAATAGCAATAAATCATGTACAATGTGACACATTTCTAAACAAAGAAGAATCATGACCAACCTCCTCAAGTACTCCTAAAGAGAGGAATCCGATTGAAGTAAGTATCAGTGTATTCTGTTCAATGCGGAGTTACACACAGGATCCTTCGGAGCAAAGCAGCAGCGAAAACACATTTCAAGCAGTTCACATGTGCGTTATATATAAATTGGAACATTGTCATTGTTTTACCATCGCCTCCAAGTAAAAGACGCCGGTATCCAGGCCACCAGTGTTCATCGTTAAACACAGTCATTTAGAGCACATGCTGCTCTTTCTCCACATAGGCTCTGTGTATTTAAATAAAAACTAGCCCTTCATCAGGCCCCAAATAAAACCAGCTAACTAATGGATGAAGGCAGCAGTGGAGTATTAACTGCTCGGCAAAATATGTGATTTTGTCATTGGAGTCTTGTGACTGAGGGGCACACATTTGTCTCACAGCAAAGTAAAGCGGTGATATATATTCTAAACGTAGGCTAAGTCCAACCTTTCCCTCCAACAATTAGTACTTTATATTAGTACGTTATGGTGAGGCCGTCTCACTCCCACGGGGCCTCGGTTTCATCAGCCCGGGCGTACACGGAGAGCTCCTCATACTCGCCTCCTCCGCACGACTCGATCGCCAAACCCTGAAGGACGGGAACAGGGTCGGATTTGAGTTAAAGTTTGTTAAGGAGCAACGGTACCCGGTCTCCAAAAACAGTCTAAATGAAAAAAAGAAGCTTATGCAGAATGCTGCTGCTTGGACTAAAACATTAAGAGTTATTCTTCTACTATATCTCTTTTTAATCATCTCAAACTATTGACTGTTTATGCAGACTGCTTCCTCTTCTCTTGAGGTTGTCATGTGTGATGATGAGGAAATGTGGTGATTTAAAAAAAAAAAACTACAGTAATACAAAATAAAAAAAAAAACGTTTTCAACACACAAATTATACGCTCATAAGTTATTATTGAAAAAAAGGGAAATACAAGTTCAGCCTAAAGTCCGTGTTGTGTTCATAAAGACCTGAGAGCTGCATTGAAAAAACAAGATAACAATTGTGGTTATGAGCTCAGTGGTGCGAGAAGACTCAGTGTGTCCCCGCCTTGTCTTGCAGTTAAACAAAAAAGCAGCTGTTATGTGTCTCTCAAGAACAAGTGGTAAGTGATGATCTTATCTAATCTCATTCAGCTAAAGAAGTTTAAAACATCTACAACAGCAAAGTGAAACACACAAACTCAGTGGTATTGTTAATCAAACGCTGACAGGGAATGTTATACTGAACAATCAATACCTTTGTTTGCTGATATTACTTAGATACTTTCACTGAAATATGTTTTTTTAAAGCAAGACGTTTAATGGAGTATTCCAGTGAGGTATTAGTATTTTTAAGTACTTCTTACTCCGCTGGTCTCTGTTCAACACAAATGTAAAATGATGGCAAACAAACCTCATAGATGTGATCCGTTTCAGGCTCCTCGTATATGATCTCTTTCTTTTCCGACTGGTAAAGAATAAAGAAGAAATATGAAATGCGTTATAGGAGGTCATCCCCAGCCTTTGGTAAACACACACAAAGTTCAATTCATCTAGCTGTTCGATCATGCAACATCTAAATCAAAATAGCAAGCTGTGCTGCTTCAAGCTGGATTGAAAAAAGGACTAAAAGTTGCGTAGTTGTTGCCCAGGAATGTATGAACAATTAATGGATAGATCAAAATTATCAGACAGATTCATAAACAACACATTACATCATTTCCAAGACCTATGTTTTGGCTGTGACCTGTCAAAAGTATTGCAGTCATCTCTTGAAAAGAAAGAATCAACTTCTGAGGTGTGTAAAACGGTTACACAACGGATTAGTTCCTCACCAGTTGTCGCTTGCGCAGCAGCACAGCAGCAATGCACGCAGCCAGCAGCAGGCCCTGCAGGACGATGAGTCCGTCCTTCATCTTGGTCCTGTGCACAGCGGTGGGAACGTCCACGACCCCTGTGAGAGGACAGACATGTCAGCAAGGCCGGGATCCTCTCGGCACTAGGACACGCAATGGCATGTATGTGGCAGGTCGCCGGTCGGGCGCCAGTGAGGCGTCAGGACTGTGGCACCTCAGTGGCAACCCAGTGGCTCAAAGGGACTCAATTCAAAATCGAAATCTAAAACTGATTCACAGCCGCCGACCTGTTCTCAACAACAACGGTCCTTCTTGCTAAATTTCGCTTCGCACACTCAGCTGCCGAACGAGTGTTGCTGTTGTGACGCCCGACCGACGACTGCCGATGAGGTGCCACTGAGGTGCCAGTCCTGACGCCTGACTGATGACTGTCACAGACTTGCCAGTGCCTGCCAGTGCCACAAGGAGGATCTCGCTGTGTCTCAGGCAGTGGATAACAGTAAACGTCCACTCAAAACCGCGTCACATAGTTTCTGTAAACATGGCACTCACTGGCAACTTGAAGAGCGGTCCCGGGTCCCCAGGTGCCGTTCAGCTTGCAGAAGTACACCCCGCTGTCCTCCACGCGCACATTGTGCACGAGCAGATACTTCTTTTGAGAATGGCTGTCAAAAAATTGGTACTTTTTGCTGGCCACTATCTTACGCCTGTTTGCCTCCTCCTCTCCGTGCCGGTCGGCCTTGTACCACATCGCCCCGGGCACCAGCCCAACCTGGGGGGATAGGCAGCAGATGCCCACGTCGCGTCTGGTTCTCACGCCATAGAACCGGGGCTTCTGGGTGATGTCGGAGTCTGGGGCCACTGAAGCAGACAAAAGAAGGTCAAGCGGACATCGCGTTGTAAATCTCATGGATGCAGATCATTTGTCGCCTGTAGCTCTGATGTGAGCAGTTTAGACTGCGGGACTCCAAAAGGTGTAAAGAAGACTGCTCAGTGGATATGAAGAGGATAAAAGCAAAAACAATGAGTACATAAAGAGTTTATCGATGACGCTATGGATGATGGAAACAGAATGTTGAGGTTTACGAGCCCGAATCCGAAAACCATCCATGTTCAAATGACGTCTTGGAAATATAGACGGAAAGATGTGTAGACACCTAAGGCCGCTATTAGTGATGAGTGTGTCAACGGTTATTCAGGATGCGACCGATAATTCATTTCTTTTTTGGATGCTTGTGTTTATTTATTCATTTTGACTAAGCGATTCAGCATAAGCTTTTCAAAAATCTAATTTCTTAGATGCAAAGTGATGGTGTGGAAGTGGAACTAAAAACTCAAAGTTAGAAACTTTCATCATTCAAACATTTCAACGCCATCAGGGAGTAAAAAGGAATGTTTAGTAAATTAAATTCATGATGTTTATAGTTGTAGCAAAGAGATTATTAATTACTTAATCTGATTGAACAGAACTTTTTTAAATGTGCTCAGAAAATATATTTGGATTTTATTTACATATATATTTTAAATATCTTCCTCCAAAAACAGACTATGAAATTAAGTAACCTGATAGTTAATATGCAGGTATAAAGTATATTGAAATAATGACCGAACACAACTTCCTCTTTTCTCCCAGATGGGCAGGAAGTAACGGTACTGAAGAGTCAAAAATAACATGCAAAACAATTGTAAGCATTGTGCTGCGGTTAAAACAGTTGCAAAAGGCATATTAATCATCTGCGTGAACCTTTATGAAATGTTAGACGCTGTAACAACATTCAGAATTTCACCAATGTAAATATTTAGCATAAAGACTTTGTTGTTCGCATCGTTTTCCCTCATGGACTGCAGGAGTTTACATTTACCTGAGAAGCTGATGAAAGCGAGCCCCCAGCATCCAGCCAGCAGCCAGCGCATGATGACATGCAGAAGAAAAGCAATAAATATTAAGAGCCCTGAAGTCCTCACGCGTTTGCCCCCCAATCTCTCTGCAGGCACGAGAAAGTGGTGAAGAAGGAGTATCTGCAGATGGTGGGTAGAAGGAAGGGGGGGGCAGTCTGTCACCACAAAGGCAAAGAAGGGGAAGAGCAGCCACGTGGAACCAAAATTACATCAACAATGTCCATCATATGTTCCATTTCTATGGACGAGTGAAGCAGGATAAACTTGATGGTGAGCTGTACGTCGCTTCGAAAGGGTTTCCAGAACACAAGTGCTCACGTGATAGCTAATTATTATCGGCCTCGGGAAGGTTTGACATTTTCAGATGCTCCTGCCAGTACAATATTACAGTTTCAGTATCAATAATCACATTAAAACTTGGTGGCTTACTTTTCTTTTTACAGCCTTTACATTTTACAGATCTTAAATGTTAAATCTTGGAAAAAAAAAGTAGTCTTACAACAGGAAATGCCGTATGATGAAGAGATGTGACTTAGACCTTTAACCTGACTTTCTGTTGTTTTTTCATTTTCAGTCATTCATTTTCTTGTTGAGTTGTGACCAAAATTAAAAACAAAGAAAATATCACCACCTTTGTCAATTGATTAAGCATTTAAAATCGTTCATAGAGTTCATAGTTTGAACTTCTCAAATGTCATGATTCACTGCTTTGCTGCTTTGCATGATGGTAAATGAAATATATTTGCATTTTGGATGGAAAATACTTTCAAGAAGTAGTAGTCCACGTAATGAGAGGATTAAATCAATAAATAAAAGTAACCAAAACAATTTTTCTCCGTATTCATTGTAAGAGGCAGCTCTTATTTGTCTATTCTAACTTTGAGAGAACAAGACATCCAAACCACCAGAGGGCCTCGCTGGAGTTTCACAGAATACAGCTACTCACAACTCGCAGCCTACTTTTATTCCAATAGTAATGTTTTATTCCCACAATATACTTTTTTTTACAATAACAAAATGATATAAATACTCAATAGAGAAAAGAAAGAAAGAACAGAAAGGTGTATATACAAGCAGCACGGGCTGTGGGTGTACCGGTTAAGTTCTCCCTCCATTAGAAATGTAAACAAAAGGAGGAGACCATCTTGTGAGTTGGAGCATCAGAGGAGACCTTAAAATCGATCTCACATGACAGAAGACAAGACATCACATCAGGCAGCCGGGTAAGACAAAGAGACGCCAACATCCAGAGTCGGTTTTGTCGGGTTGCTGTTAAAACTCTTCGGAACGCATAAACAACCTTCTTTTGTTTATTAAAAATCAAAAAAAAGAAAAGAAAACTGTGAAAGTGCCTTTGTTGTTCATGTGAGTCTATTCGGAGTAAGACGTTTTAAATTCTGTTAAGACTTAAAACAGGAGCAAGTGATCTTGTCCACGCAAGGACAGACTTATGTCTTCTAAATGTTTCAATATAATTGAATTAATGCAATCAGAGGTAGAACTAAAAATTCACTGGAGGTATGTAGATTATTGCTAGACTTGTTATCAAGTAGACAAATATATTTCTGTTAATGTAAACTCCACATCTTAAGTTTAAAGTCAGTTCTAAATCCTGAAATGTAGAACCTGTTACTGCTCGCTTAGAGTTTTCACATCTAGCCAAGGTGAAAAACAGAGGAGACAAAACAATTTAAAAGACATGCATAGATCAGTGGTGAAATCAGAAAACAGGAAGGTCTCTCGCTTTGCTCTGACCCGACCTGGGAGGGGTATAAATAGTGCAATATAAACTGGGCCTTCAGACGCTAACCGCACTCGCTGGCTGGCGTTCTTGTTAACTAATAAAGAAGGACAGAGAGCAGGGTTTCACTGGCAGGGATGAATGTGATGAGGAGCCTTGTACAAAAATAACTCCACCACTGAAAACGTTTTAGTGTCTCATTAAAATAATTTCACTTAAATCAGACTTAATGTAAACGTGAATAGGATCTGTCGCTTAATTTTGAGTGGACTCCTGGCCAGGTGTTGTTCAAGTTACTCTTTGGTTAAAAACTGTGACCCATGATTTTGTTTAGTGGTAATAATAACCGTACAAATGTATTGTAGGCCTAAAAGAGGACTTCAACCGCAGTGTGAATTAAATTTCTGCTCATATAAAAAATACTATTTTCAGACATACAAGGTGATTTATCTTAAAATGTTTTACTATAAAGCTATTTTAACATTTGCTATGATGTTATTTTTTAATATGTGAACATTTTTTCAGTAGTTCTCTTTTAGCATTAACAGTGGTTATGCATGTCGATATCTTTATGATTATTATCCAAGGAAATACATGAACTGCAGCTTCAACCTCAAACTCCCAGAACGACTTGAATATCGCATGAAAAAAAAGACAGGAATTATTTGTTCAGTTTGTCAAAATACAGTTTCAACATTCATAAGCAGTGACTCTTTAATGTGGGCGACACACTCCTTGACCGGTGGAAAAAAAACAACAACAACGTGACAGTCGCCTTCTGCTTCTTACACCATTGTCTCCCTCAGATATGCGTGTAGGGTGCACAGGTGAGGGTCGGGGGCAGAATGTAACAACACCTCACCGCTCATCTCCACGGGAACGCCCGCCACATTTGTCTCGTGGTCGTCCGGCCCGCCCGGGGCTCCCGTGTCACTCCCATAGAGCACTCGCATCCTCCGCGCTAGCAAGTCGTCCTCGTCCGGTTGGTCGTCGCCTCCTTCCTTCCCGCCCGCCGTCTTGCGGCGGTGCATGAGGGCGGCGTGGCGCACGCAGCGCCTCAGGAGGTGCCTGCGGAAGGCCCTCTGGACGACGGCGGCGGCCGCCTGCTCCTCCTTGTGGCGCACCGTGGTGGTGATCGGCGCGAACGAGTCCGAGGTGGGGTTGCTGAGGATGAACTTGGCCTGGATGCTCTCGCGCATCGCCGCCATCTCCACCGTGTCTCCCAGGACCATCTGCGTGACGGCCAGCAGGACGTCCAGGCAGTGGATCCGGTCGCCGATGACCAGGGGCAGATCCATTTCGATCAAGCGGAGGCGGTTGGGCTTCGCCACCCTCAGCGGCTGCTGCAAGGCGTCGCAGAAATCCGAGAGCCGGCCGTACTCGATGAACATGGTCGCGTCCAGGTCGAACTTCTCCCACGTCTCGTTGAACATCTCGAAGTCGTCCTCGCAGAGCGCGTCGCCGCTCTCCTCCTGCGCCGCGTTGAAGTTCTCCAAGATGATGGCGATGTACATGTTGACCACCACCAGGAAGGAGACAATGATGTAGCCGCAGAAGAAGGTCATGCTCATGAGCGGGTTGCCGCAGTTACCCTTCACTCCCGTGCCCGGGTTCTCGATGTCCGGGTCGCAGTCCGGAAACTCCTTGTTCAGCATCGGGAGTAGGAGCCCGTCCCAGCCGGCGGAGGTGGTGATCTCAAACAGGCAGATGATGCTGCCGCCGAACGTCTCGAAGTTAAAGACGTCGTCGATTCCGGCCTCCTTTTTGACGTAGGCAAAGTTCGACATGCCGAATATGGAGAAGATGAACATGATGAGGAAGAGCAGGAGGCCAATGTTGAATAGAGCGGGAAGTGACATCATCAGAGCGAAGAGAAGCGTCCGAATGCCCTTCGCTCCTTTGATGAGACGCAGGATCCTGCCTATTCTGGCCAGTCGGATCACTCTGAACAAAGTTGGTGACACAAAGTACTTCTCGATTATGTCTGAGAGCATCGTACCTGAAATGAAAAGGAGACAATGCATGACGACCTTTTATCCGTTTAAATTCAACTGCAGTTTCTAAGTAGTGGTGGTAATTTACCCACCAGCTATGGACAAGATGACCACGACAAAGTCAAAAACGTTCCACCCGTTGGTGAAGAAGTATTGTCGCAGGGCAAAGAGCTTCAGAGTGCACTCGCCGGTGAACACCACGATGAACGCCACGTTTACTTTGAAGAGGAAATCGTCCTTCTCCGCACTCTGGTTGTCCGTCTCCACCATCATGGTCACCATGTTGAGGCAGATGAGCACCATGATGAAGATGTCAAAGAACTGCTGACTGATGAAATCAAACACCAGCCCCTGGATCAGGTTCTGCGGGTGAAAAGGGGAAGAAGGGGCGAGGAACAGAAACATAAATCCAACGGGGTCAGAGGTGACGGCGTTGTGTCACACATGAGCACAAGCTGAGGCGTCAGCATAGGTGACATTGCTCTTGTCTTTATCTAAATAAATAGTCTCGCCCCAGACAGGAGAACCCAACTTCATATTACTATGAGCTGTAAATGAATGACCGACCGTTGGACGTGGAATTGGCTTCTGTGGCTTCTTGGATCCAAGTTTCTTCATGGCTTCGTAGTACTTTTTTTGCTCCTCGGTCATGAAGAGGTCTTTGTCTCCAAAGTGCAGACCCAACCAAAAACAAACATTATGGTTACTTAAAATTCCCAAGATTAAGGCTATGTATCTAAATAAGAATGAATGTAGATGAAAAACATGCAGAAAAGAGTGTGATACTTATCTTCTTCTTTTGCTGGTTAAAGTTGTCAATAATGACACCAATGAAGAGGTTGAGTGTGAAGAAAGAGCCGAAGATGATGAAGATGACAAAGTAAATGTACATGTAGAGGTTGATCTCATAAGAAGGCTGCTCCTCTACCTACGGAAGCAACAAAACATTTAGGCAAGACAAATCTGTCTTTTTACGCTACTGAGTTATTAATTATGAAAGGTAATACTGGAATAAGATACTAGTCGGAGGGGACTTGTTGATCCAAAGACTGCTCTCACTTCACCATTCCCACCTGTCACATTTATTTATATATAGAATTATCTGGTGGGTTATCAAATAGAAAAGAAAACTTTGTTTACACACCCTTCTTGTCAAAACAGTTATTAAAAGGTTATTTGTGATTTTAGATTTCCAATTCTTTCATTCTCAACATTCTTTGCATAGTTTCATTGCAATTAACTAAATTACTACATCCTGAGAATGTTCAACCTACATTGGCAACTATTACTATTATAATGGAATAAAATGTAAACGTATAAATAAACAGTGGTAGATAAAAGTAAAATTAAATACTAGATGTGCATACATTCATACATGCGTGTAGCCTATACAAACTACAAGTGTTAGTTATTAAAAATGGTTTTACTATAACCATTTTTTTACAATACAATTTGAAAAGTATTGAGAATAATAGACTAAATGAAAGATCCTCTGTCACATGAGGATTCTACAGTAGTTTAATTAGCAGGTGTTACCTTGTTTCTAGTACAGAAAAATATGACTTTAAAACTACCAACACATCTAATGCCAAATTCCATGAATGACTAATTTATAACTACCTCTCTTGAGTCGACGGCGGCATACATGATGTTCATCCAGCCTTTGAAGGTCGACTGAAAAATACACAACATCGTCTCTGAAATGCCTCATTGACCCCGGCAGCTTTTATTCTCAAGCATTTGCAACAACGTCAATCGCACCACTTGAAGCAGGGACAGGTAACCTTGTCCCACGTTGTCATAGTTGACCTTGACGTTGACCCAGCGGGCGTCCCGCGTGGCCTCCTTGACGGCCATGCAGTCGCTCCTGTTGTTGACCTGCGTCATGGGGAACAGCTCCCCAGTGGTGGTGTTGACGCAGCGGTAGAACTTCCCGGCAAACAGGTTAACTCCCATGATGCTGAAGATGAGCCAGAAGATGAGGCACACCAGCAGCACGTTGAAGATGGAGGGAATCGCTCCGACCAGAGCGTTCACCACCACCTGGAGGAGGAGTTTGTTGGAGTTGAGGGATTATAAAGATATAAATGAGAGCAGGTTTACTCTGTTTGTGAGAGTGGTGCTCTTACCTCACTGCGCTCGGGGTGCAGCAGCCACGATGTTAGCATGCGTTCAGCAACACACATTGCTGAGGGAAGCCAGTCAAATTAGTGTTATCATGCATTAAACATCACTGTTTTTGCATCATCTGGATTATTGTGGTAAAAGAAGCAAAATAACAGAGGTGTCCAGCAGAATATAGCTGCGTAAAAAAAACGTAAGTGTTTACCGTAGTGTTATTTATTGATCTGGATCATTTTGTTGTGAGTTGTAAGACAATTAGTCATTGGTCGTGCACGTCGCTCAAGCGTGGTTGCACGGAGAAAAACTCACCCTCATCCCTTCAAATCTCGACAGCGCACGAAGGGGCCTCAGTGCCCTGAGAGTCCTGAGGGACTTGATGGGTCCGAGGTCGGAGTATCCCATCCAGTTGGCAGCCAAACTAATCAGGGAAATCTGTGGCAGAATCAAAACATTCACACGTTCACCACGGAAATGTTTCTGTTGTAAAGCTACACATTCAGATCAGCTGTAAAACAAGATGCCGAAACTTACATCTACAATGAAAAAGTCTAACCAGCACCAAGCGTTTGTGAAGTAGGTCTTGAAGCCGTATGCCACCCACTTAAGGAGCATCTCGATGATGAAGACGTAGGTGAACACTTTGTCAGCGAACTCCAAAATGATTTTGATTGTTCGGCGTTTCTCTATGTATATATCCTCAAAGGCCTGCCAAAGGAAGATACAAGGTTACAAACATCCTCACAGTCATACAGAATCCTGCAGTGACGTCGGCACTCACCAGAGCTCCGCTGCTGAGCAGGATCATGAAGACGATGAAGGTTTCAAACCAGTCGTGCTCCACAATCGTGAAGCAAGCCCTGCGGAGGTTCCACCATTTCTTGCCTTTACCCTGGGTGATGTCCACCGACAGACACGGCCAGCGCCTCACACACTCTGAGGGGGGGGAACAGAGAGCCAAGAGGTTCACCGTCTGGGAGGAGATGGGCTCCACGGTTTCGGGGGCGGAGTCCTTACCGTCGGTGAAGCAGGCCTCCGGCTCCACGGGATCCGGCTCCTCTTCCTCCTCTTCCTCTGGTTCGGGCTCGGGTGGCTGGTAGTCCACCGTGCTACACACTGAAGAATCCCCATCATTCAAAGCACCCATCAGCTAGTCAAGAATTACAATTGAAGCTCAGTTACAAAGCCACCATGCAAAATATGCATGTAAATAAGCAGAAGCACGTGTACAGCAATGACCTCAATCAATGATTGACGCAGGGACAGGTAACCTTCTTTGGTTTGGGGGTCTGCACAGTTACTCACTTTGACATTTCGCTGCATGCCACTTTCATCTTCTAAGTTTCCCTGAAATAGCAAAGGAATAAATACTTGATTTTAGTTAGCATTCACAAGCAGGAAGACAAATTATTTTGCTTCCAAAATATGTTAGCATTAGATGTTTGCACAGCAAAAGGCTCTAAACAGGTATTTGTCCTTTTTATTCATCACTGTGTGAACGTTAACACACGCTGCTTGACTGAAATTTACTTTGTTTACCGAGCAACTCTTAGCTTTGACCCAGCTTGTGGAAATAAGAAAGAAAAAAAGGTTTTGTGTTGTTGAGTGAGGATTTGTTTCCACATTCGCTTCCTCTACACTCTGAACTATGAAATCAAGCAGGTTGTCCAAGAGCCGATGCACGTTTTGTCTCTCTTTATGCTGCAGTTTTCAAAATAAAGTGCTTTACAGTGAAAGAAAAAAAAAGTTGCTGAAATCCAAACATAACATATTAAATAATCATTTTATTAAGGAAAAATCGAGAATTGTGTATTTTTTTTTCTTTCATTAGGCCTGTCAAAGTGTAGCCTGGGTTCAGAGAAGTTCATATTTTCAATGAATCTAAAGTGAAACATCTTTGTGATGTTGAAGATGGAACTCGTTGATTTGTCTACTATACTTACCTGATACTTGTCCTCGTCTGATACCTCTGAGTCATCAGTACCATCGTCGTCCTCGCTCAGGTTTTCAAAGTCTGACTCGGCATGAGCGATCGGCACGTCGATGCTGACCTTTTCGTCCACAATGAATCCAGACGGCCGGCCATCAACTAAACAATTATGTATCCCATCGGACATTTTGAAACTCTGACCGGCGTCCATGTGGTTCATTTCCAATGTCTCCATTTTAGGGTCCTCGTCACGCGTCTCGTCCTCCCCTGCCTCATTGCGCTTTTTGCCCAGAATCCGAAGGACGGTTCGAACGACAAACGCTTTGAACCACTCGACGCCTCGCGTGATCCTGCCGATGGCGATCTGGAGATTGTTCATCTCCCCGTCTTCGTCCCCGGTGGAGAGGTTGTCCCCGCTGAACGAGCTGAGCAGCAAGGCCAGAAAAAGGTTCAACACCTGAGGAAAGGAAGGCCACAGTAAAGATAGGTTTGCACCCAAATGTCAGATTACCAACTTTTTTCTTTTTTTTTCCCGCCTTGATGTAAGAAACAAAGTAAATTTACAGAGTTACAGTGTTTAAAATGCAGCTACGGTATATTATGAAATAATTATTCTTTCAATCAGTCAAAGTATGCCAATGTTGCTGAACACGAACGTCTCAAATGCACGTCACGTATCACGTTGGCCCATCAATAAACGTTATGTCGTCTGCCTCCTGTTGCAGACGCAGCTATTTTTAGAGTCTAAAACCTGTTGGTCATTTTCCGGGTCCCTGTTCAGGTTTAGCAGGAGATCACCGTTACACTGCGGGCTGATCTGCCTCGTCCCAGTGGAGGAGCTGTGAATCAGTCAAGAAGATGAGCTGCACAGAAACACAAGCCCCAACGAGGGAAAGAAATAAACAAAATGAATTCTGCTGCTTCGATAACCTGAGGATGTGAGAGTTTACCTTTTTTATCTTAAAGATAAGTTTGACATTTCGGGAGGTAATATCTGCTTCGCTATTGAGTGGTGGAAAAGGCGACACAAAAAACTCCATTCGCCAGTAGACAGTTCACACAGCGTGAAGTCGAGAAGCAGCGGGAAACCAGTGTCCAAAAGGTTAAAAAAACGAGTTTGTTAAAGGTGTAAAAAAAATAAAAAGGGTCTTGAAGTCACTCAGTCATATCATTCGAGACTTAACTTGTGAATTTGTTGTTGTTGAGATGGTTTTGTCACCTTTCACCAGAGCCAGGACATTTTTTGTTTTCTCCTTCCCCCTGTCTTTATGCTAAGCTTAAGCTAAGCTAACCTTAGCTTTAGATTTAACAAACGCGTATGTTGCTATTGAGCTTTTCATCAAACACGAAAACAAAAATAGTGCATAGACCAAAATGCTGCACTTCCTCTTCTACGAGTTTTTTGTTAAAATTAGCCTAACCCTAACCCTAAGCACAAAATGATCCGCTCCATGTGCTGAGGTGCTGTAGGCTCGATATGATTGATTCTTCACGAATTATGCTTTAATGTGCTATCAAATGACTTTTCCTTTACGCGCAGTATCCCGCCACCACTCGAGCTCTGCTCGCTCAGCTGTTTGTTCCCTTCGTGGCAGCAGCCGGATCGTTGCACATACTCAAGGTCAAAACCACTGTTTGGTGGCTCGGGTCGTTTGATTGAAATAGAACCCCTATACGCTATTTGACTTTACGTCAGTGCGAATAGTGAGCATCACACGAAAGCCGTGGTAGTTTTGGCAAAGTGTGATCAGCTTGAAGACGTGCCACTTCCTCTCCATTTCTAATGAATGACCTCACAGGAAATGGTTTTGGCGCTGGTCACTAGGAAACGTTAGAGAACAGTTGTTATGTGAAACTAAGAGAGCATTCGAGAGCGGCTCCATATTTTTGGTCCTTCTACCGTGGACCATGACAGACCTTTCCATCAATTTTAATTTCAGCTATTTCCACGATCGTGCAAACAAAGAGACAAACAAACCGATCAAGAAACATACCCTAAACCATAATGACACTCCCCTTATATTCTCTTATCAATCACTCATAATATAAGAGCCTCATATACTACAATCCTTCCTGGTGTTTACAATGTTGCCCCCCCCAGCTGTAACCATCTGTCCTCGGCTGAGAGGTTAACAATAGACTGCCGAGACACCCAGGCCACAAGATCTCCTGGCATTATAATAAGATAAGCGTTAGATTTTAAAAGTTTTAAACAGTTTGACAGCTTTACAGCTTCGCAAGAGTTGTTGAACGGCGGCAGCATCCGCCAGCTCGTGAATGGCAAATCTGATTAAGACTCAGTGTGTGCTGATGTAAGCAATGACTATAAACACAGCCACTAGATATGAATCCTCGTGTCTTCCAACCCTGATCATAAATTGAGAAAATCATTTTCATTAACGCTTGATCGTCTCTGGCACCTGAAACAACACAACCAACCCAGAACAGCACAGAACAGCCCCTTACGTTTGGTAGTATAGTACAAACGATCTTCCCCCAGGCTTTAAATGTAATATGGCAATAATTTCTGCACTCACCACGAGATTTCCAATGACCATGACCATCATGAAGACAACCAAGCACATCCCAGTCCCGGCCACCTCCATGCAGTCCCACATGGTCTCGATCCACTCCCCACACAGGATGCGGAAAACGATGAGGAACGAGTGGAAGAAGTCGTTCATGTGCCAGCGCGGCAGCTCGCAGTCCGAGGAGATCTTGCACACGCACTCCTTGTAGTTCTTGCCAAAGAGCTGCATACCCACCACGGCGAAGATGAAGACGATGATGGCCAGCACCAACGTCAGGTTTCCCAAAGCTCCCACCGAGTTGCCGATAATCTTGATCAGCATGTTGAGCGTGGGCCAGGACTTTGCCAGTTTGAAGACACGGAGCTGTCTCCAACACAAGACACAAGCATAAGACAGCGAATAATGACAGGGGGAGGCATCTGGGCATTAATCTGATCCTTGCTCCTTACCAGACGGAAGGACCTGAGGACGGACAGGCCCTGGACGTTTGCCAGCCCCAGCTCCACCAGACTGAGGGTAACGATGATGCTGTCGAAAATGTTCCAGCCGACTTGAAAGTAGTAGTAGGGATCCATGGCGATCAGCTTGAAGAACATCTCGGCTGTGAATATCCCAGTGAAGACCTGCAGGTGGCGGGGGCAGATATTTCTGTTCAAATCAAGTCTTAGACGTACAGACATTTTTGCGCTAGATGATCAATAGGGCACATAATCACCAGATTCCCCACGGAGAGCATGTGGTCAAACTCCTCGGTCATGGGGTAATGCTCCATGGCCATGAAGAGGGTGTTGAGCACGATGCAGATGGTGATGCCCAAGTCAACAAAGGGGTCCATCACCACAAAGAGCACCCACTTTTTGCAGCGCACCCATTGCGGGTGGCAGTCCCACTTCAGGAACGTGTCAGCAAACTTGTACCAGGCGGGTGGGCACGGCCTCTGAGCCTCCTCCAACTCTAGACAAAGGAAAACCATCAGGGAGTCTACCGTCACTTTACCGAAGCACTAACGGCTCGATCTAAGGGAACCAAAACCCAACGATTGCTTTTGTAATAAAACAGTTATTATTCTTATGTTACACTTCTGCCAATAGATCCCACCAAATGCTCCGAACCGTTCTAGTCATGTAAATAGTGTTTAAATGTCATGGCACGGTGCAGCTAACAGAGAGCACCGTTGTGTGTGCCAAGCTACCGTCCAGCTAAAATAGCCATAGCTCAACACCACGAGGGGATCGACACGCAACGATGACAGGGATTTCTCCGGAGCACAATGCAAATTATGGCGAGCTCGAGCCAATGCTGCTGTATTGGCCTTGGATAAAATCCCTGCAAAATATGAACAACTGCTTGATAATCTAGGAGATTAGAGCTCACATTCCCCAGTGGTACTTGACACTTGCAGAGGCTTGCACCCTGCTGAGCGGTTGTGTCTTCTTATTTTAGTTTAATCAAAGCTTGAAAATAAAACCCTGTAACCCAGTTTCTACCGTTCGTTGGCACTGTACCTTCCAAAGCAGCCACGGTGAGCACCGTCAGAGCACTCGCGGTCCTCCGAGTCAGACCCGGTTCCTCCAGATGATGCATGCTGTGCACGGAGCCTAAAGACTTCTCTCTCAGTTCGTAAACTTCGGCCGACTGTAAAATTGTCAATTTTGTCAGTTGCAAACCAAAACCGAAAAGGCTTTCTTTGAAGGGATGAGTAACAGTGACCAGAGGGAGATGGATTCACCTGGACCATGGTGGGCACTCTGACTAACAGACGAGGAATAATTCTCCCGTTGCAATCCTTGATGATTTCGTCACGTTCAAGGCTCTGCTCATCCTCTGTCAACTCAGAAATGGTGTGACGACTCAGCGATTCCTTACTGGTTAGAGTGGCCCGGCTCCCAAGAGCTTTAGCCTGAGGGATTAAAAAAGTTTCAAGTCAATCATGTGAACAATCATTTTTGGAAAGACGTTGTTGCAAATGAAAATCATTTACCCCTAACCCATTTATAACCTCTTAGAACAGCTGTAACACGGCTGTCTGCTCATTGCTTGTAACGGCTGGCTACCTCTTCCTGGTTCTTGAGTTGCTCCAGTAGCTGCTGGAACTCCTCCTCTTTCTCCACGGCCTCTCGCTGAGTGGCCTGATTCTGTTCTTCATACGCCATGGCCACCACAGCCAGGATCAGATTGATGAGGTAGAAGGAGCCCAGAAAGATGATAACCACAAAGAACAGCATGTACGTCTTACCGGCCGCCCGCAGGACCTGTGTTTGGAGCAAAAAAGGAGCTACGAGAACTTAGGACAAATTTATTTTCACGACCTGAAGTTTTAAAAAGTTTAAAGTTCGATTTGCCGATGAGAGAAGTGCCAACCAGCTGGAAAAGGTTCTCCCAGTAGTCCTGGGTCATGAGTCTGAAGAGGGCCAGGAAGGCCCAGCCAAAAGAGTCAAAACTGGTGTAGCCATAGTTGGGGTTCCTCCCAGCCTTCATGCACGTGTATCCCTCCGGGCACTTTCTACCAGCAAAAGACAAAGAGGCTACAATTCCCACTCAAGATAAGACTGTGAAGGTGGTGTCAGAGTGAGGAACACATACCCAGCGTCAGAGCTGTTTCCACAAAGGAGAGCGTCCAGGCTGCCTTCCACATAATAGTGATTCTCTATCAGCAAACCAGAAGAAGAAACGTTTTCTGCATTTGGGACAATTATCAGCGTTGAATATTTAATAATTACGTTTTTAAACACACCTATGTTTTCAATATAGTCGTTGAAATCGAAGGTGCCGTTGGAATATGTGGTGGCGTTAAATGTGGCGGTGGAGTTCAAGGTCTCAAAGGCGGTGGAGTTTGTCTGGAGGGGCCATCGCACACATTTCTGACGCAGGTTTCCCATGAAGAGTTGAAGGCCGACGAGGGCGAAGACGGCCAGCGCGAAGACGGTCAGAATCATCACGTCCACCATTTTCTTCACCGACTGGATCAGAGCCGCCACAATGGTTTTCAAACCTGACACAATGAGATTTATTAGTCTGAAACATGTGATAATCAATGTGACAAATGATTCATGGGCAATTTAGTGAGAGAAGAATCTTTTCCCAAAACAAATTGGCAGAAGATTAAGTTTATGTATATTTGCTTTCTCCTTTGAGAAAATGCGCACAACAAAAAAAGATATAAGAAAATACCAGGAATCACAGTAATTGTTTTGAGGGCTCGAAGTACACGAAATGTCCTGAGGGCAGACATGTTGCCTAGGTCAACGAACTCAGTGGCGTATCTGTGGAGACAAAAAAACAAATGAATCTAAGCCCCATGAGACCCAACATATTATCAGTTCCTCTTTTCTGATGAACGAAGTAGACGTACGCCATGCTGATCACCATGAAATCCAGCCAATTCCACGGATCTCGAAGGAATGTAAATGATCCTAAACAGAAACCTCGGGACAGCACTTTGACTGTTGCCTCGAAGGTGTAGATACCAGTAAAAACATACCTACGTGTAGGCAGAAACACAAGTTAGCTTAAGAAAATGTAATACAGGAATCAACATTGAAGTACTTACTCTACGGTTTTACTCCATGCCGGTGGGTTGCTCATCGTCATGAATACACAATTCGATAGAATGGTAATCATGATAAACATGCTAAATAATTTAATTCAGGATTAAGGAAACAAACGTGGCCATTCAGTATACAAGATGTAAATTATAGAAGCAGACTGTTGTACCACTTTATCTGTGGCTTAGTGCCTTTTCATGTCCAGTTCAAACCCACTGAATAATAATACTTGAAAAGGATATGAATGTATGAGAATTTTGATGGCTCCTCTTCTAACCAAACTAAAGGGGCTCAGAATGTGGCAGGCCGGCTCAGCGTTGAACCTGAAGATTGTGTTTCCTTTAGTGATCACGATGAATGTCTGAAAAAAACAGATACGGAATGTAATGAATGCGAGGCGTGGAGCCCATTAAAGCGTGTGCTTTCACGTGTTGACACTGACGTGCTGTGCTTGGTAGAAGGGGTCCAGGTCCTCCAGAGGCGTGTTGAGCAGCTCTGATGGGGGGTCTCCGTAGATCATGGGCAGACTCTTGCCGGCTTCCAGATCGGCGTTGGGGGCCGTTGGCTCCTCCCCCTTGGGCCCCCCTACTCCTGCTGCATCGGCGCTTTCCGCCTTGAGCCTCTCGATCTCCGCCAGCGATTCCTGGGTGAAGCGGCGGAAAGCGTCGGTGCCTCGGCGAGGGAGCAGGGGCGCCATCTTTGCATCGCGAAGGGATACCGCCACACCGGGGTGTCCCTAGGAGGAGCTGGAGGGGATGACGGGGGGGACGGTTGGAGAGAAGACATTTTGAGATGCGATTGAACATTTTCACCAAAAAGGAACAGTGCGTAGGATTTATGAATTAGAATTATTATCATTGCTGTTTTTTTATTAGTGTATACTCCTGGAAGTAACATTTTTTGTTTGCTGAATTAGTTAGTTTATTAGGACCTACGACTGAGAAAACAAACATGCACACAAACATGCACAAAATGTAATTTTCTCAATTCTTTTACTTTTTTGTGAAATATTTGATAGATTTCAATCACGCAGCTGTTTGGTGGAACTCTTGAAAACATTTAAACCCTATGAGGGGTCACATTTAAACACACTTTTGCTTTTCAGGGGTCAAAAGACAAAAAGGTTGGATCCACTATGTCTCCAAACATTTATTTTCCTTTATGTCCAAACCAGGTGCGTGTCTCCAAACCCGCCTCTGTCCTCCACCCTGCTCACCCATCTCACACACTTCACCTTACTACAACACGAGCAATTAAAAGTGTCAACAAAATGACAAGACCCACGCAGGACGTGAGCTGGACTTTCCCACCGCTCTAAAGAGACCATGACATTAGTTGTGCACATCAGATTACTTATTAGCTTAGCAGGCGCTTCATTTTGTATCCAAGTGGTATTCTCTTACATCCTTTGATGTGATTTGCAACCAGTCGGGAGCAACTGAGGTTAGGCTGCTTCTAGCGTGGCAGAATAAAACAGTTATATTATCAATTATGTTTCATGATAATTGTTTTTCTTAAAAGACACCAATGCTTGAGGGAAAAAAAGGGAAATGTATTTACCAGAGAGAAACATTCTCAGTATGTATTTTGCAAGTGAAATTATTTGCAAATGAGCTTTTATATGCATTTGCTTAGATTGAAAGGGCATAAATATAGGTTGGTCTTGAGCCAACAAGTAATGTTGTTTCAATACACAATGTGGAGGAAACCAAGATTACTCAAAGGTAAATAAATCTGCACGGCTTCTGCAGTGGCCTTAAGATGTCACCACTCTTAATACAATCTATAAAACTAAAGTTAACTATGTCTCCATGTTATTTTGAGTTAAGAATAAAGACATGGCATTAACCACCAGGAAGGCTGTAAAAAGAGAATTAACGAGACGGACGTGAGAGGAAGCCATCCGAACGGCAACAGGAGAGTTAGCTACTGATCACACAAACCACCTCACTCGCACAGAAAAAACGATACCGTCACACGCACACACACGCACACACACACACACACACACGCACGCACACACACACGGGCCAGCTGCTGCGGGCCGTCAGGACGGAGCGTTGCGTTACAGTGGCCCAGATGACTCTGCTCATTCCTCCCCGGCTGAGCCTCCGCTCCGCGCCTCACATCCCCGCGATAAACAGGACGGCACGCCGACTCCTCTTACCGAGTGGACCTCGCCGCCTCTTCCAACTCCTCCACCTCCACCACCACCACCTCCCAAATCACACATGGGGCCCCCCGAACACATGCCCGGCTTCCGCCGCCGCGTAGCCGGCAATTAACTTAAGCTTCCAGATACTTGACACTTGGGGCCTTAAAATCCCTCTTTGATAGAGAGACTTAAGTCAGCAAAAAGCCTCCTTGTGTCCCACACAGGAACAGGAGACGCAGGAAACGTGTATTCTTAGTCCTGCCCAACAGAAAACCTTTCGATTTATTACCCAAATCAACCCGTGCAGCCCAACACAACTCCAAAAGGAGAAGACTCATCCCGCGGGCCCCGCGCCATCGACCGGGAGCCAACCTTAAATTAGCATCACGCTGGAGACCATTAGCATTGTTCACCGTGTCGCGTTGGTTCAGTCGCCCTGAACCCAGGACACAAACTGGCAACGAGGGAGTGGATGCCACATTTCAGGAGCTTTCCCCCGGATAGTAATATATACATCACCGTGCATGTCAGCGAGGGCCATGTGAGCGGTGACATTCCGGTCGAGGATATAGACACATCTTCGTTACACTAGCCGGCCGCGGAATGCGCGGCCCAATATTCACCTCCGCTAGCTCGACTTTATACAGCAAGAGAGGCCGACGTCTGTAGGTCAAGATGGAAAACTGTGTTCGACTTGAAGATGAGCAGGAACAATGTGAGATGACTTCCGTGTTATTTTAACACAGGAAAAAACAAAAAGGTTGTAATACATCTGAACGACTTGTTGGCTCAAAGGTGACCTGTGGCAACGCGCCGCTCCGGGAATGTGTTGAAGTTGTAAACGAGCAAACAAGGTCAAGCTGCAGCACCGCAGCACGACCCCGGTCACCCAACGGTTAACCTTTGGGTTTCTAACTCAATGGGGGGGCCCCATTAAGAAACAGTCTGCATTATGTCCCTACATGCGTTACGTTGGTGCTGAGGGGACGTCGGCTGTCGGGCTCTGCATGCCGAGGAGCTGTAGAGAGCCGGCGTGCAGGTGACAAAGACGTGAAGGCCTGCTGATCCATAAATCCTGACTTTCCTTACAGGATGCAGCCACGTAATGGGTCTCTAGCTGAACAAGTGTTTGACCTCAAATATTTTAACGAGCGCATGATGACGTTGGCTTTGAGGAACTCGTTAAAACATGGGATGTAAATAAAGCGTTCTTCCATGTAGTCTAATGCAGCTTTATACGCAGACTGACTCATTTGGCCTTTGCACCCGCTGCACAGAAATCTGAGTGTGGAAACGATACGGAGAAGTTTCCATGCAGCTTCTGAGAGACCAGCGAGAAACATTATCATGTTCGTAATGACGGTCAGTTCTTGAAAAAACACAAACATCCACAAAGGAGGAGCTCACGTTTGAACTGAGATGAAACGTATAAGTTGAATCATAGCGAACAAACAATATTTTGAAAAGAAAAACGTTTACTGGCTTTTTGAATACTCATACTTTTGAAAATAGAGGCCCGGGAGTCACATGGTCTCAGTTGGTGAAAGAAACTCAAAACCGACACCTTCTGCATCCAAGAACTTGTGATGAGAAAGACACAAACACACACACACACACACACACACACACACACACACGCACACGCATGTTAAAAGCTAAACAATTTTTTGGTCCTTACATGAGTGAATGCGTAATAAATGTGAGACAAACGACGCACTCTGCAGACAAAACTTACTAAGACTTCACAAATCCACTACAGGAAACCATCTTGTAATATTTGCAGGAATATAACATGAACGCCACGACTTCATGTCTCCCGCCAACGTGTCCAAAGTCCTCTGCTGGGCATGCATGGAGCCACGAGGTCTCTATCCAACACGTCTGGTTTGGGCTACGAGGGTTAACGGCAGAGACACGAGAGGTGCATGTATGAGCATCCACAGCATCACAGTGTCTCGCCCATCTGCCAGGAGGACACAAGCTAAAAATAACACGTTGTCCCAGTGGGAGGAGGAGTAGTGGGGGGTTGAGATGGTTGCAAATTGTCCACACTGGACATTACATCCACGTGTCTCCAAGTGAAGACCTGTTCTGATGCTCATGCACAGCTCTGGTCTACTAATACACACCAGGTCAGCACTGCGTGTGCTGTGCGCCTTCACAACACAAACATTTTAAAACCAGAAGACATAAATCTACTCTTTCCAAATTTGACCTAAGCTCAATTACAGTCCCGCTGGTTATAATTAGAATAAAAGGCACTCGCCAGTGCAAAGGAATATTCTGAGCAGCAAGAAAGAAAGAAAAAAAGACACCATGAATAAATAACCATAAAGTCAAACCATGAACCTCCAACTTCCAGCTTGAGAGGAAACGTTTTTACATTCTGAGCTTCATGCAATCTCGGGCGACAGGTTACCTTGCACTGATGAAGCAAATATTCCCAAAAAATCCCCCAAAACAGAGAGAAAAATAGATCTATATCTACACTTATAGATATAGATATGTATATTTCGTATATATATATATGAAGTCTTCCGTGAAGCCTTGCACCGGGGACGTTATTCTCCCCTTCTGGCAGCCGGTGCGCGGCAGCGGGACACGTGTTGCTGACGCAGTGGCGGAGACCTGCAGTGAAACCGAAGGAGTCGCTGCAGGTATCAGATCAGACCTTTGACACTTAAGCAGCGGGACCCCACACCCCCCCGTTCCCACACAGCTGGTGGGTTTTTTGGGAGAGGAGGGGGAGGCTCGGGGTGAGATAGACGCAATGCGGATGAAACGTGCGGAATGCACAAACCCTTCTCTGCGTAAAAGTACTTTAATCTAGGGATCCACCTGCAGGATCTTATTATTAACTTATTAATTATTTTAGAAGCATGCATATAGTACATGACAGAATTCATGTGCTATATATTAAGGCATCAGTTTATTATTTCATTAATTTGGGTTAAAAAAAAAAGAGTTAAACCTTAAAGGGACGTAAGAAGGAAATACATCATTTTCTTCATTTAAGAAAAAGTCCCTTGAAAAAAAGGTATGTTCTTTTAAGAACTAAGTAAGAAAGTATATTAAGTAGTTGTATATTGGTAATGAGAAACAGTGTACGACCACCAGAGGGCAGCATAATGGATTTTAATATCATATTATTCAAACAACACTGCATCCAACTATAAAACAAAAGAAGAAAAGAATGATATTTTAAGAAAATATTTATGTCTCTAAGCAGGACGTTCTCTCTTTTATCGACCCGTGACGGCTTTGGAGCTTGAACAAAGTGTGGACATCACAAAAATACAGTTGTTCATAATGCTTAATGTGTGAGTGGAGTTGACAGTTAGGCCTGTACTTGCTCATGAGGCCAACACCAAGGACTAGTGTCTCATATTTTTGCTTTCAGATGACAATTTGATCCACTCAATAACGTTGATGTGAAGCGTTCAAAAGTTTAAACTATGCAGATTAATTTTGCTCGAATAAGCTCTGTACGTGCAGTGAGAGGGACAGGACAGGAGTGGACGAGTCCTCCTGAAAGTTATATTTGGCTGTAGGGTGTGTAGTATGATTATACAAGGAAAATTATATTACAAATGTTAGCTGGGTGTCATTTGGGAAACTGAGCCTGCTGCAAATTTTACCCACCGTCTGCTCCCCCGTGTGAGAAAACTTCCCCAGTCTCAAGGCGAGGAGCAAATGATACGTTAAGTCTCTTATTTCTCTAAAGAGTGATGAAGTTAGTGATGATTTACGAATCTGACTTAAAACATTGCCCCACATAACATGTCATGATGATAGGCTGTATAGAGTATTTAGGATGTTTTTCTATCCTTTCTTACTTTTGCTGTTGTGGGAACACGGTCTGAGTCACAAGTTTTCAAAATGTTAGCGGTCACGATTCACATGTGATTATTATGAAGCCAATCAATATAAAGATATCAGTTAAATTCATGTGGACTTACAAAAAAGCAAATACAATGTGATTGGACGGTATAATTATTGATCTTTGAGGGAAGTGTGTGAGCTTAAATGGAAATTAAGAAAATGTTATGCTTGATCCTTGATAAATAAATCAATATATTGTTATTTGTGCTTAGTAATAATAGTATTATTGTTATTGTACAGAAGCTGAGTTAATAGTCCTGCACAATAAATGTTGACAATCTTCCCTTATGCGCTGTATAACAACAACTAGTGAGGCTACATGACCAATCCTAACAGAGTTCCACAAACTCCAAGAAAGAAAATATGTCTTAACGTCCAATCTCAATCAGAAAAATGTGTAATACTGTAGGATATTAGAAATAAACTGACGACCTGGTTCATAAAATTTAAAAAATGCATATAGTGTACTCCAGAATACAGCCATGATTCTGAAACTGTGTAATCCATAAAATAATGACAATATTGTAAAACCACTGTAATTCTGCAACTGTAACAGAATAATACCAATGTACAGTTATGATTCTATTTGGATGTAATGAACTGGAATGCATGCATGTAATACTTGCACATCAACTATTGACTGAGGGTCATTCGAAATCCGAGTTACATTGAACTCACCAGAAGACCACTCCCAGAGGTGTGGACACTAACCTTCACACCTTCAAGCATTGTTATAAATACCTGTAGGACATTGTTCTGGAGTTCGCTGGTGGAAACAGCAGACAGGCACTAGGGATGGTCAAAGGACGGCCTGTTGGTTGCGAGGACCAGCGGCTCCTTAGCTGAGATGTTCTTTTTACCACAACACCATCTCTTTTATTAAATACATTTGATTTTAACCAGATTTTCATCAGCGATGACCTCTGTCCGTCCGGCGTTTCTTCATTTTTAAACTCAGCAATACGTATGAACGTATAATATATTGTGTTATTTTCCGGTAAATGTTGCTGCGGTAGAACTCTCAACATTACAGAGCAGAATGACTGTACGTTAGACATTAAAACACCAAATTAAATTCCTGAAAAACAGAATAAACAGATAATGGACATTGTAAGGAACTACCACAAAGTGGAACCACGATGAGCTGACATTAAATCCTCCCTTTAAACAGAACAGCTGACAGCAATTAACAATCAAACTGTCTGGTTATGTAACTCCCACATTGGATACATAATTACCATACCATAATTAAAAAGTGACGAACACACTGTGCATGAATGTGATTTAACAAACGCACAGTTAATTGAACCCACACAGCCGTCCAACACAACCAGTAGCACCTGTTTTGTTTTGGGCTTAATCGAAAGTCATGAAAACTTATTTTTGTTCCCCAGAAACTAAACTCCGCCATGTGGAACATACCACTGCAGAGGGGGAGGCGGAACAGTCCAAGTGGCGCTGGCTTTGTGATAGTAGGACCAAAAGTAGTGGTAATCGTGTTGTAGTAGTAGCAGCAACAACGGCAGTAGGAACCTTTTGTAAATAACTGAGGGGAGCGTTAGCGTGACACCGTTACCATGGAGACTCAAACGCTACATCCGGTGAAGATTGATTGTTTTGGCGATTCCTTGTTTAGTGGAAACGATTGTTTGAATCAGTTGTTGGATTTAGCTTACTATCGAAATAATACACAGTTATAAATAACCTGAATACTAAAGTAAGAAAGGAGGTTCGTAGCTCACTTAAACCAGCTCGCCTTTCGTTCGGCATTAAAGGTTCACCACTCGCAAAGTCTATTTCAGTTGCGTTTCGATTAAAATATGGACTCTGAGTATATAAAACGTAACTTGGGGAAGTGTCTGGCAGAAGGACTCGCTGATGTGGCCGAGAAGCGCCCCGTGAACCCCATCCAATACCTCGCCCACTGGCTTTACAGGGCCAACTCAAATGTTGAATATGAGCAAAAGGTAAGCTGCTTTTTCGTTTTATTTAGTTTAGTTCTTTTATTTTCCGATAAATAATTAACCCCGCTACATTAATTTGAAAAGGGATTATACACTTCTGATTAAAAACATAAATATATTTATAAAAAAGGTATAATGAGCATAATTATGATAATTTATAATAATAATAATAACAACAATTAACGTTATTTACGTAAAGCACATGGTTAAACAACTACCCCACAGCTCTGGTCTTCAGATATGAGAGGCGCTGTGAAGGATGCCACAGACTTAGAGTCTAAGCTCCTCCAGCTGAGTGTGGTTAAGCATATAGGGTCTACGGCAACAAACACGCAGTCCCCTTTTACCTTTAGCTTATGCTGCAAATCTATGGCTCCCTCAGGCGCTTATTAAAGGGGACTTAAAAGTTGTCTTTTCTTTTAGGTAAAGCGTCGGGTAGGGGCTTTAAAATGTGTAGTCAAATGTGGAAGTGTTTTTTCTCAGTCACGTATACTTCTTTTGTTGTCACAATCTTGTATTTTCAGAAAAAGGCAACTTTGGCGCTCTTGCCTCAGGAGCAGGCAAAAGCCAGACAGGAGGCGACGCACCAGGAGAAGCTGAGGGAGGAGGAGCGAACCATCAGCGAGGCCTTGCTAGAATCAAAAACAGACGTATGTTGTGCGACAAAATCAGTGTTAAGTTAGTTTACAAGGAGCTAAGGTAACAAAAACACCTTTTTTCAATGTTTTTTAAACTGAAAGCCCCCTTATTTTGGATATTTACTGGTTTGAAGATTGATCTTATTTTTCTTCAGTAAAGGCATTTTGAGATAATATTTAGTTATGATTAGCCTTTAAAATGTAAAGATTGTCACCTCCTGGTTTTGGGAAGTTCATTTCAGGTTCAGTCATCTACATACGATTCATTACATTACATGTCATTTAGCTGACGCATTTATCCAAAGCGAGTTACAATAGGGGTACAAACTCAGAAGAACAAGAAACAAGAAAGTGCAATTTCCTCAAATAAGCCAATTTACAATTTGCTATAGATCAGTGACATTACAAGTACAATATAAGTGCTACAATTTGTTAGTCTTTTAGTCGAGGTAGAGTCTGAAGAGGTGAAGGGGTTCGATGTGGCGCAGGGGGTAGAGTGGGTGCGCTGGGAACCGCAAGGTTGGTGGTTTGAGTCCCGGCCGCCCTATGTCTCAAGTCGAAGTGTCCCTGAGCAAGACACCTAACCCCTAATTGCTCCCCAGGCAAAAATGTAAAAGCCATGCGTTTAAAGTGTAGTGTAAGTTGCTTTGGATAAAAGAATAAGCTAAATGACCTGTAATGTAATGTAATGTCTTTAGTTTGCGGCGGAAGATGTGAAGGCTCTCCTGGCGGTCCTGGTGTCTTCAGAGAGCTCGTTCCACCATTTTGGAGCAAGGACAACAAAGAGTCGAGATCTAGTGGAGTGTTTTGCTCTCAGTGAGGGAGGGACGAGCAGTTTTGCAGATGCAGAGCGGAGAGTGCGGGTCGGGATGTAGGGTTTCACCATGTCCTGGATGTAAGCTGGACCCGATCCATTCACAGCATGGTACGTGAGCACCAATGTTTTGAATTGGATCCGGGCAGCCAACGATAGCCAGTGAAGAGAGAAGAGGAGTGGAGTAGGACGAGAGAAGGGAGAGAGCAGAGCCTGAGACACCAAGTTCCTGAAGGGAGGAAATAAGGACTGTGTAAAATGCAGCAGAGAGGACCAGAAGGATGAGGACAGAGGAGAGAAAGGCGGCTCTAGCAGTGTGGAGCTCTGAGACAGCAAGGAGAGCAGTCTCTGTGGATTGGCCTTGAAGCCTGATTGGTGGGGGTCAAGGGGGTTGTTATGGTGGAGATAGGAGGAGAGTTGGTTATAGATCACACGTTCAAGGGTTTTGGACAAAAAGGGAAGAAGAGAGACCGGTCTGTAGTTGTTTTATTCAGAAGGGTTGAGGGTAGGTTTCTTCAGGAGAGGGTTGACTCTTGCCTCCTTCAGAGAATTGGGAAAACAGCCAGATAACAGAGCATTGTTGATGAGACAAGTGAGGAAAGGAAGAAGGTCAAGTGCGATAGATTGTAGAAGATGTGATGGAATGGGTTCAAGAGGGCAGGTGGTCGTACGGGCAGAGGTTACTAGGGTAAGAATTTGGTTAGGAGACAGGGGGGTGAAAGAGGAAAGTGAGGGCGATTGAGGTGAAGTCAGTGGGACGCACAAAGTAGGAGGTGGGTTTGAGAAATTCAATTCCATTGGAGTACATTTGTACTCCGTGCATTATATCCTGAGCTTCAGGAGCGCATCCAAATCGTCACATCCACAGATTTCTGAGAAGCACGATGGGCCCCTGTCAGCCATAACCGCAGCTGCTGAGGACAACAAGCTTGTGACAGAAGAGCAACCTAAACCCTCTGATCCAGAAACCCAGCAGGACACAGACGAACACCACACCAAAGCTGAGGAAAAGGACACTGACCAGCAGGTGATGACAGTCACAGTAAAAGTCTGTGTATTTCAGGTGGTGGTGGTGATCTATAATGCAATCGCTTCAGTGGTTAGATTTTGACCTTTGGTTTGGATTAACAAGCTTTAATCGGGTCTTTTCTGTTTGTTCTAAAATGCATGACTCACCTTCTGTGGTGTGGAAATGTCTGCCAAATGTCTTCAAATGTAATGAGGTGGTGTGTCTGCCGGGTGAAGGTCACAGATAATGCCCCCAGTCCAGAGTCGCACGAAAGACAACCGTCTGAGGTGGGTATCCCTCCCCTCCCAGAGGCCCTCAGCACTGAGGTCAAGCAGGAGTCTGCAGAAATGCCTGTTGAACAAAGCAAAGTGGAGGAGGAGAAAACGGAGGTGGAGCCGAGTGGGGAGGAGAGAAGTGCAACCCCCAATCAAATAGAAGAGGAAAAAGTGGACGAAGATAAAGAAAAGGTGATGAGACACTTTTTGTGGAAAATTACATCCGTGCCATTCCAGCACCACAAGGGTTTAACCGTTAAAAGGCAAAGCACCAACTCATGTTTTTATGTTGCGCAACTTCTCTGCAGGTCGCTATTAAAGCGGTCGTTGATGAAGCGGTCGTTGAAGAAGCGGCCGTTGATGAAGCGGTCGTTGAAGAAGCGGCCGTTGATGAAGCGGTCGCTGATGAAGCGGTCGCTGATGAAGCGGCCGTTGATGAAGCGGCAGTTGAAGAAGCGGCCGTTGAAGAAGCGGCCGTTGATGAAGCGGTCGCTGATGAAGCGGACATGACCGAAGCGTTGCACTCGACTCCCAGTCGAGTCCCCTCCGACTTGAAACCAGAAGATCTGCCGAACAGACACATCCCTCAAGATGCAGAGAAGGTGACGAGATAAGGGCCACGTGCAGGAGCACTTAGGATGCCATGCAGGTTGAGGATGTCAGAGGTGCAGGATAGTGAGCAAGAAAAGATGACAGGTAGATGAGCGTGTCGAGAAGGTTTCGAGGACAAAGTCAGCTGAAGAAACATTCAGAGTTTAAAGGCCAGGTGACGGCAGGAAAAGACAGCTGAGGCGAGGAGGAGGATTTTCACTCGTCCAAAATGTCATGGTTGCACAGGTGCAGAAAGTACAGACAGGAGTTGGACTGGAAAAAACGGGATCCATTAATGCTTTACACCGTATAATTTCATTGACAGATTGATGGAGAGGAAACCGGTAAGTTGGAGTCGACACCACAGAGCGAAGATCCCAAACCAGAGGAGACACCGGAATCAAGTGATCCTCCCCCTCAAAACCAGGAAAAGGTGCCTGATTGTTATTATATTGTAACAAACGGGAGGCAGCGATGTTGAGTTTGAGAACCAAACTGCGCCAACGGCCGTGGAGGGTCAGCCAATCAGCAACGGAATCAAAGGATAGAACGTCAATGACTGCTTCGTTTAATGCTTAACCAACCTTTATGTCCACGTCATCTCAGGTGGAAGACGGGCAACGCTCCACTGAGGCTGCTGATAGCTCGGCACCAGCTGAAAGCTCAGGTCCAGGTGATAGCTCGGCACTAGCAGACGGCTCAGGTCCAGGTGACAACTTGGCACTAGCAGACGGCTCAGGTCCAGGTGACAACTCGGCACCAGCAGACGGCTCAGGTCCAGGTGACAACTCGGCACCAGCAGACGGCTCGGCTCCGGCTGACAGCACAGGTCCAGGTGACAGCTCGGCGCTAGCCAATGGCTCGGCTCTGGCTGAGAGTTTGGCCACAGGCAACAGTGGCGAGGGGACGGAGTCCAGCGAGAGAACTCAAGAAGAGGCTGACATTTCTATGGATGTGGAGCAGGAAGAGAAGGTATCGACGAATCATGGGCATAATTATTCATGGGGATGATGTTAAAAAGGTTTAACGTCATACCAACAACGTAGATAGGTGGCACTGTTGCAGCTTCAGTGTTGAATGTATTGTATAGAAATATTTTGTCTTGTTTTTCAGAAAGAAGAACAAGAAGCAGACCAGTAGTGATCAACAGTGTTGTCTAACAATCAATCTTTTTTTTTTTAAATGTGTTGATTATAGACTGGATATTATAGAACATATGTGTAGATTGATACGAATAAAAAAAGCAATAAAGAAACTGTTATTACCAACACATGTATTTAATTATCATTCTTATTTATGTATCTCTGTCCCAGTTATTCCTGCAACACATGCAATAATGCAGATTACAACACTGATTGACTCATTATATTGTACAAGCTCTCCACATTGAGGCCACGTGTGATGTTTTGAAAGAATGACGGTGCACATTCCCTCCAGTGACCGTTGACCTGAAGGAGGAGGACCAACAGCGCTTGTGCAAAATGACAGTTACGTATTTCATGTTTTACTCCGGTATCAGCCGTGCAGACTGCATGTCTGTGCCGCTTATCACACGCAGCTGCGTCACATCACGTCGTCTGATAGATATCTCGGTGCCAAACAAAGCTGGGGTTTACTTTTTTGGGGGGAGGAACACCAGCTGTAGGTGGGATTTAAACGCGCGTTGATCCGCGGCGCGTTCACACAGCAGCAGCAGCCGCACCCCGTGGTGCTTTGACCGGGGCGGAGAGGAGAGACGGAGACGGAGATGCAGCCGCAGACGGGAATCATCGGCAGCGCGGTGGCTGCAGGCTGCGGCCTCTTCGCAGCGACCATGAACTTCTTCACCGACATGTTTCTGACTCCACCGCTGAAGGCAACGCTCAGAAGTTTGGAGGAGGCTGAGCTGAAAACTTTGAAAGGAGGTAACTTGTTTAAGACGTTATGTGAGGGTTTATGATTTCATAATCTGGTTTAAGGGGGGTGAAGCCAAGTGCTGAAAGGCGCGATTGTTGCGTCGGAATGCATTTATTCTGTTCATTATGTATTTTATCATGTGCTTATCCTAGCTACGCTTTTGCCCGATTTGTTCCCTCAGAAACACAGATCGTGACGGCGAGGTCTCTGTGGGAGAGATCCGGGGCCGTCATCATGGCAGTGCGGAGACCAGGGTGATTTTTGTGCAGAGAGGTAATTGTGTCGGTGTCTCGTGTCTTTTTCTTTTTAAGGAAAATGGATTCACAATCCATTAAATCTCTCCTTCCTATTCTTTGCAGTTGTCTCTTCCACATCATAACATCTTATCATACATCTAACCCCAAATCCCCTCCTCACACATTTGATGTCTCTTAAAGTTCTGTGTATTTGAACAGCGTTTGAGGTTTTAAACTTCCCCTCAGCCTTGTATTTGTGCAACAACCAAATGAAAGATTAAATCAGAGGGGAAATTGGCTCCGTCCTCCATGCACAGCAACAATAATCCACTTGTAAAAGACGTGCTACACAGATGTTGGTGTAGCTCAGCCACGAAGTTCCACAACAAAATAAAAACCTTTTCATTCATAAAAGGCCCGTGATGCAGCTAAAGACGGGACCAAAGAAAAGGGGCCATGAAATGAAACCTGGATAGTAAAACCTCCGGACATTAACAAGTAGTGTGCATGTGTGGCGTCTGACGGTGGCGGTGACTCTGTCCTCATGCTGCAGGAGGCCGCGGCGCTGTCCTCTCTGAAGCCCCAGCTGGATGAGCTCGGGGTCCCTCTGTACGCGGTGGTGAAGGAGGACGTCGGCACCGAGGTCCAGAATTTCCAACCATACTTCAAGGGCGAGGTCTTCTTGGATGAGAAGGTGCTGCTTTTTCTTCCCTCTGATGAAGCCATGTATTGTGTGGTCTCGCCTGATGAGTCATTCGGGATCTGCGGGGAATCCGCTTAGTTCTGCATGAATGATTCAAAGATTCTCGTTTGTCTGCTTGCATTGCAGAGGCGCTTTTATGGGCCCCGTGAGCGGAAGATGGGTCTCCTCGCGTTCCTGCGTGTCGGGGTGTGGATGAATGGCCTGCGGGCCTTCAAGAATGGCTTCATGGGAAACGTTTTGGGAGAGGGCTTTGTCCTCGGTGGGGTCTTCGTCATTGGGCGAGGACAGCAGGTGACGCACATAACGTCAAACTGTGTCTCCACTGTTTAATTGTATATTGTATAAAACCCTATTTTTGTTCTGTTTATCTTCCCACAGGGAATTCTTTTGGAGCACAGGGAGATTGAATTTGGAGATAAAGTTAACACTGAAGATGTCATCCGAGCTGCCAGAAGAATTTAATCAGGACTTTAGAGGAAATATCGAATGGACAGTTCACAACCTTTTGACAACCAATGTCATGTTAGACGTAGAAAAATAATCTTTGTAAAGTGCACATTGGAGTTTAGTTTGTTGGTTTACAGATCTCTGGGGAAACCATGATGCATTTTGGGGTTTGACGGTGTAGTGAGGGGAGCAAAGTGTGTTAATGATGGTCTGTCTTTAAACTCAAAGAGGAAGCAGACCTGATGCTTAACACTTTGCTTCCTCTACACTGTGATTCTTTTTGTTTATCGTAGGAGCCAAGAAACCTTTGACCAATAAAACTCTGCTTTGTGCCTTACCGTTTGTTTCTATTACACACTTTGGGAAAACGTATTCAGATGTTGTACTTCCTTGGATTACAATCCCTGGTGGCAGTTTGGAGAAGTATTCTGAGCCAATTTACCGGTTTGTCAGTCGTCCAATCAAATACCCTCTATGCAGCCAATCAACGTGGTCGGTGGGCGGGTCATTTGTTACCGGTTACAGAAATATCTTGGCCAGGTGCGACGGATCATTTTGCACAACATTGACTCGGGTAGGCCAACTCGCAGAGTTTAGTTCGTCAACGGAATATGGGATAGATTAAGATTAAGTTCATTTTTATATCTGTTCCTGTTGGTTTTCTGTGTCCGGTAGTTTTAAGCAGCATACAGAAGAGCTGCCTTCATTGTGACCTCAACACGAAACGTAAAATGTTCGGTAAGTATTTAGTTTGGTTGTGTCTCCTGGTCGATATCACTCTACATTTACATGTATTCCAGCGTGAGTAAGATAGCGCGGTGGAATAGCATGAAGCTGCGAAGATCAAATCCTTTCCGGTTTAGTAACCCTACCTCAAAAAGTGGTCTTTGATTGTGACGCAGCTTCACATATTTTTGGGGGTATTTTTCCGTCGCTGTCCGGGGTGCTGAAACACATTGAGCCTCCTATGGGAAACCCCGATGTGACGAGACACTCATCAGGGTTTAAGTTTAGTGACTGGTAACCATGGCAGCGGCACCATGTGACATCCCGACTCTTAAGTGGGTCAGGTCTGAGCTAAATAAACCTATTAGTCCTATTTCTAACCTGATTTAGGTTTAGACGAATAGACCTAATGTGAGTTAGCTATTCAATGTGTGTTTAACCGTGTCTGTGACACTCAGATAGGTGAGTGCGATGCAACATGGCGGGAATCGAGCAAAATGTGACCGCAGAAAGCCAACGAGTCGGCTGTCATGTCACAAAGCCGCCTGCCTCGGTAAGTTGGATGAGCCAGAAAAGTATGAGACCGTGGCTTCTAGCGTGAGTGTGCCGGGATCCCCTCTTCCTCTCCTGCGTGTTGCTGTAGGCTCCTCGGCCCGGAGCTGAGACCCCGCTGTTGGAGGAGCGCGTGTGAAACGGGACCCCGCCAGCCTCCATGGCTCACTCGTCGGACCCGTCCCGGAGGGAGAAGACCCCCGGGACCAAAGGGTCACACACGGCTACACGCAACCTCCTACGAAAGAAGGAGCAGCGGCGGCGTGGAATTCGATCCTGCTCGCCCATGGGCCGGGTCATCCTCATCAACTCGCCCGTGGATGGTAAGGAGGAGTTGTGCTGGGTGTGTAGTGCACATTACAACCTACCGGAGACAATGTACTGGTTTGTACTGGTTCATGAGTGAATGACAAAGAAATGTGGGTATTGCTTTCAGAAAAAAAAAAAATCAGGCTTATCGTTAAACTCCTGAAAAAGCAACATTATGATTACAAACCACAAAAAAAGAAACGTCTCTAAAGCTGAAACGGTAACAAAATCAAAAACCTGGGACAATAACACAAATGTTGAAGTGCGCAAAAGTGTCACATGAAAACAGAAATTAAGGAATATTAATGTTGGAAAGAACAAAGACAACCGCCAGTCAGGTTATGAAATGTCTGATTTGAACACAGCTGACTGTCGGGTGTATTTGCGACCATCGTCGGCGTATTGACGCAGCGTCCCCCCTGCTCTCGCCGTTTAGGTGGTGACGACTGCGAGGACCTTCACACGATCACGGTGGATAAGAGCGCGGACGGTAAGCTGGGCTTCAGCGTGCGCGGTGGCTCCGAGCACGGCCTCAGCATCTTCGTCAGCAAGGTGGAGGACAACAGCACAGCAGGTAGTAGTGACTCCACACTGACACTGTGACTGTGTGTGTGTGATCTCACACTCCTTTGTGTGTGTGTGTGTGTGTGTGTGTGTGTGTCAGAGGAGGCCGGCCTGCTCGTAGGTGATAAACTGGTGGAGGTGAATGGCGTCAGCCTGGAGAACATCACCATGGGCAGCGCCGTGAAGGTCCTGACGGGCAACAACAGGCTGAGGATGGTGGTGAGGCGAGTCGGCAAAGTCCCCGGCATCCGCTACTCCAAGGAGAAGACTACCTGGTGACCAAGGAGCGATTACCAATAATCATTTTTAGTGCTGTTTACCGAGAAAAGGAAAAAAAAGAGGTGGTGACCGATTGTGGGGAAATCTTGCAGGGTGGATTTGATACACAGGCGTATGGTGGTAGAGGAGAGCGGACAGACGCCTTCGGACGCCAGCTCGGGAAGCGCGCTCCAGAGGATCGTCCACCTTTCGACCACCTCCGACGACTACTGCTTGGGCTTCAACATCCGGGGGGGGAAGGAGTTTGGTCTGGGTATCTATGTCTCCAAGTAAGTACCCCGGCCAGGTTCATTTTCTCTATCTAAGAACATTTAGTCTCCCGGGAGAGTTTGGAGTCCGTTTTTTTTGGGACGGTGTTGAGAGCTGTCAATCAAACCCTGAAATGGACCAACATTCAAACCTAGACCGCTTGAAAAGGTCCGGTCTGCATCAAAGTGGACTCTGGTGTGCTGGGTTTGTGGGGTGAAAAGCAAACGAACCAACCGCAGGATTTGATGATAGCAGATATGTGATTGTTAGATGATTAATAGGTCAAAAATTATAGACCAAAGGATTGATTCAAACATATTTGATGCATTATTCAACAGAAAAGTATCCTACCAGCTCAACACACAGCAGCCTCTATCAAAGAAAAGAGGCTTGAGATAATCTGTAATCGAACCTAAGATGCAATAATATATATGTTTGATGTTCCTTCAGCCTTGGTTCTGAGCAGTGAACTGAACTCCAAGTGTGAAAGCAGTGTTTTCACTCTCCTCCGCCTGCTGCTTTCAGACTGGATCCCGGCGGTCTGGCTGAGCATAACGGTATAAAGATGGGGGACCAGATCCTGGCGGCCAACGGCGTGAGCTTCGAGGACATCAGTCACAGTAGTGCCGTGGAGGTGCTGAAGAGCCACACACACGTCATGCTGACCATCAAGGTGAGAGCGGCGATCCTCTGAGAACTGTTCCATGTTACATTTTCTAATGTCTCTAATACGTTTGGGTAAAGGTGGAGCATCGTGGAAATGAAGACGTCTCAGCTGAATGTTTGGTGTTGAATTCAGTGCTAACCTCAAGCTGAAGGATTATATTTCATAAGGATCCTTTGTTATCAGAAAGCACATCGGTTCTTTGATTACCGCCTCGGGTTTGGACGCGCTGACGACGCTTTTGACTTTCTAACCTTTTCATCATTCATTCATTCACACACACACACACACACACACACGGTTGGTGTAGCATGGCCCGACAGCTGGCGTGCAGCTGCAATATTCCCTCGCTCGCTTTTCCTCGCTTGGAGGTTGGGTTTCTCGCTGTGAGAAATAGCCGGGCCGTGTGCATTATTCACCAGGCAGCGGGGATCAGGTGCCGATCAAAAACCTTGGAAGCCGAGTTAAGTTTTTTTTGTTGCGGGATGCCTCGCTTTGACCCCCGAGGACACTGACGATTTAGAAAGCACCCCGACAATCGAAGGGGTTACTAGGAAGTCAAGGAGAGAAATGTGTCTTCCCTCTGAGGGGAGGTTTGTTTCTGAGGTTACGTTTTATCAATTACAGCCATCCTATAAAAGTTTCAAGGTCTCTACTGTATCTCATTTGCAAATCTGTGGCCATATCTTCACAGGAAGCGGGACGATACCCTGCTTACAAAGAGATGGTGGCGGAATACCGGTGGCTCAATAAGCGTATGTATCTGTTTACATTACTCTGAAAGCTATCTGGTTCTATGGAGATCCCTGATACGCGTGGAAACGTTTGCGTTAGGCCTTTTTGTTTTCTTCTCCTCAGTCGCCAACGGTACTCAGAAGTCTTCCTCCCAGGGGTCAGAGTCCACCTCCTCCGCCTCCTCTTTGTCGTCCGGTACTCCGGTCAGCTCTCTGAGCGGCCTGTCGCAGGTCATGTTCCCTCCCAGCATGCCGTTCGGGTCAGACATGGTGGATGTCTGCATCTCTACAGAGGACCAGAGGTCAGGGTCTGCTTCTTTATACCCCTAAGAAACACCAAAGCAAAGTACTTTTCTTTATGGAACCTTTCTACCGGCAACAGGCCTCGAAAGAGCTGAACGTCTAGTCATTCGTTTGTCCAGGTTGGAGTCGGCGAGAACCGAGACCGCCATGCAGACGGACCTTCCCTCCCTGAGGACTGCCGCAGAAACCACTCGCAGCCTGGGCCGAACCACTCTGCTCCGGGACACGGTGATCCGCGGGGACGAGGGGGAGGCCAACGGGAGGCAGGAGTCCACCAAGACGGCCGTGCTGCTGGCTCTCAGCCGGCCGAGCCGGCCGATCAGCAGGTCCCAGAGCCAGGTCACCGTGGCAGGTGAGGCCCGCGTGGCCGTCGAGTCGAACGAACGAACGTCCGGAGCGTGACGTGGTTGAATAGGGGTCGAAAATGGCCGACTGTTGCTCTTCAATCACCATAGAGATCAAGCAGAAGAAGGAGAAGAAGCAGAAAGAGAAGCGACCGGAGGAGAAGAGCACCCTGCAGCGCTCAAAGACCTTCGTCAACTCGCTGTTCAAGGGCGTTCGCAGGAGGGAGACGTCCAGGGGGCGCTCCAAGTCCCCGTCCACGCGCAAGGCCGGCAAAGGTAGCGGCGTTTATCCATCTGTGATACGATGTTTTGAGCTCAGGCCCCCACCTCCCTCAAACTAGTTTGAACGGTAATTATTTGCCCTGGAAGTAGCTGCCACTTGTTTTGTTGTGAAGAAAACACATAAGACTACGAAAGGTTACAGCGTCAAACATTATTCTATATTTATAACAGATCCCATGAAAGGAGCAAAAGCAAACTGTACTGTGGACGTTTGCCTTAAAGGACGGCTCACAAACATAGGCTCAACTAATACACATTTTGAGCTTAACTGATTATCAGATTCCTTGATTTGGTTCATGAGAATATATTTTTTATTTTTTACAAATTCCAATATTATTCAAATTTTAAAATATATAATCATTTGTAGATTAATCTCTATGTTAAAACTTTTAAAATCTGCAGATATATTTTTTCTAATACTCTTCTAATGTGTTTTTCTTTGACAAAATCGAGACTAAAGAAGTGCAGCATTGGCAGAAGGTTGCTGTTATTTTCTCTAATGGAACAGCATCAATTCATACATATAAAAATGTTTGAGTACCTCCAACTTTTACCTTGATCAGGCATGATCTTCTCTTCTTTTGTCCGATTTAAAAATCAAAAAAACATGAAATTCACTTTTGCTCGGTGAATCTTTCTGCTCAACAGCGTCGTACACAGTACATGCTATAAACTAGGTAATTTGGTTCGGTTTTCAGGGGGACAACAGGCCGGTGCGATGCCAAATACGGAGATGCTCGGAGTGGTGGAGGACATGGCCCGCCGGCTGCTGGCTGAGGAGGAGGTCGCTGCTGTGATGAAGACGTGCCGAAGGGTGAGAAGCTCTTTGATGTTCTGCTCTTAGATTAAGTCTGTGTCGACAGTTCTTATCATGCAACATATTTCATTGCTCTTCTGCAGTATGTGGCAGAGCAGTCGGTGGAGAACTTGATACGTCACCTGCTGGCTGTGCTGGACAGACCCGAGAAGCTGCTGCTGCTGAGGGAAGTCCGGTAAGCACAGTGAGGAAAAGAGGAATAATCAGTTTACAGCAATGCCTTCTTCGATGCAGCCACTGATCCAGAGATTGACATTGAGGTAAAACACGGCTTTCAACTGCTGATAACCGAAGGACAACTACAAATGGATCTTTGCAGAAAAAACATTCCTTCATATCTTTTCATCAACCTGATATTGCAATTAAAAATGGAGAAAAAAAAAACCCATTCCTCCCAATACACGAGTCTCAATTTATCACTGATTCCATTCGAATATGACATTCAGAAGTAAACATCAGGATAATCTCCACAAATCCAAACGTTCCACACTGAATTAATTAACAATGTTCAGTAATGAAACACATCAATGAAAACGACCGGGTGTGTTTTTTTTTATCCAGGATGCTGCTTCCACCTCCTGATCTCAATGCATTCAACAACATGGTGACGCCCGTGGAAGTCGAGGCCTACGATATCCTCAAGTATCGTTCAAGTGCGTGAATCCGAATCTGTCTGATCCCGTGGACTCTGAACAGTTCAAGTTACGCTTCTTCTTCTTCTCTGTGTCGTAGTCCAAACTCCGCCCCTGCGCTCCCCCATATCCGGTCGAGCACCAAAACGGCGCCTCATCACCCCGATCCCGGGTCAGTGCTTCATTTTGTGTTTTCATATTCTCTAAAAGCGTGTCTTAATTAATAGATGTGCTACACAACAAACGCACACAGTACACACATCACTTGACACGATGTTGATTAACAAAAAGACGTTAATAGAACCCATGTTCCCCCTCCAGACTTCAGGGGAGGCTTCGAGCTGCACAATGCTGAGGAGGTGGAGAAGGAGAGCAACCTACTGGACGAGCTGGAGAAGCTCAGTGTGTCCGGGCCCCGGGGGTCCAGGGAGAGGCCCCGTCCCTCCAGGTTCTTCACCCCGCTGCTGGACGTGCCGGTGGACGGATACGACGCAGAGCCCGGAGACCTGCGACCGCCTCCCGCCGGCGCCATGCTCCCCAACTGGCTGCTGGCCCACGGACGGGACTCCCGCCCTCCTCTCCGGAAAGACATCGGCACCATCCGCTCCGTCCACTTCGACGAGGTCTCGCTGCACTCGGCGTCGGACACGGCCTCGGAGAGGGGGAGGTCGCCCTTCAGGAACGGCCGCGCCCGAGGCGAGGAGGGTAAAAGCAAAGACACCGTGTTCACGCTGCAGAGCGCCGCTCGCCGGGCTCGCCCCCCGCTGTCGCAGGTGTTCAAGTCGAGTCCGGGTCCGAGGGTCGGCGGAGAGCAGACCAACGGGCATCAGGCGTCGCCCAGAAACGGACTCAACGGCTCCGAGCCTCAACAGGAGTACGAGCTCAAAAGCGTCATCATCTCCAAGACCAAACAGTCCCTGGGTGAGTGTATACGTCTGATTCAAGGTCATCATTGTGTTACAAATATGGACGGTTTGTCATCATAAAAAACGGTGAATTCACCCAAATTTTATCTAGTTTTATATATATATAGTTAAAAAGGCGTCCCTGACTCACACCCTCTCCTCTGCGTTTTGGTGTTTCAGGCATCAGTATATCCGGCGGCATGGAGTCCAAGGTCCAGCCGGTGGTGAAGATCGAGAAGATCTTTCCTGGAGGAGCTGCCTCCACCTGTGAAGTGCTCAAGGTGACTCAATGCTGACACGAAAGAATAACATTTTTAAAGTGTTTCATCTAGAACGCTGCGTGCGTGCGAAGACTGAGGCCACAGAAAATGGATTAACCAATAAAAAGATCATTTAAATCCAGTTCCTTTTAAGTTTGAGCAAATCTACATTTGCATGCTTTATAAAACCTGCAGATTGAAATATATACCCTAAATATTTGTTTTCCGACCTTCCTCCTCGCGTCCTCAGGCTGGATTCGAGTTGGTGTCCGTGGACGCAGTTTCGCTTCAAGGCGTGACCCATCAGCACGCCGTCGACATCATCCGAAAAGCCTTCAGCCACAAGGCCAAAGACCCCATGGTGTTCGTGGTCAAAGTCCCCAAAAACATCTTGAAGGGAGACTGAGCCTCCCGCCGTGACGTCAGAGGAGCGCTCTGTGTGCTTCCCAGCTTCTGGGACTAAACACACTGATCTGAGGGCAGGTCTGTTCCTCTGTTGCCATTCATGGTGAAGTTGGAAATAATCACACAGAGCGTTGAGGAAGCTGATCACAGGACTTGAGGATTATGCACAAGCAACAGGACAGAAAGGATGGAAAATGGTGCTCTTGACGCCTTAAAAATGTCCCTTCATCCCAACCCAGGAACCTGTAAAAAAAGCATGTAATGCATTAACATTCAATCCTCATAAAAGTATTGCAGCCGTGTTTGTCATCCTGCATATTTAAGAATTCAGAAACAAACTGTAACCGGATTGCCTTTAAAGCGCCGAGATGTAGAATCATAGTCTACCTTCTGACCTGCAGAGGGAGACATGAAACAGAAACATTTCTGCTCTCTGAATTCGGGCAAGTCTGAAGCTTCCCCGAACCACAAACCGTTAAAACAGCAACCAAATGTTAATGAGACGACAACTATTCATCCACAACGTCACTGGAGAGAATTGCGACCCGAATAAAGTGAAGTGAACAAATCTGAATGTACCACACAGCTTTTAAATGTCTTTTTTTTTAATAAAAACATTGTAGGTTTGTACAGCATGAAAATATACATCTAATGTCTTCATACAAATATTGTGGATTATAAAATTATACAGAGGAACCAGAGCAAACATCCACTCAAACATTAAGACAGGGCGTCGTATCTGTAGAAGCAAAATATAATGTGCGACATTGCTTTGGTCTATTCACAGTGGCTATTGTATTTGTTTCGGGGTGGAATGTAACTTTATGGTTGGTCGGAGTTATTTACAGAGGGCAACGGCTCGATCAGCAGAAGACTGAGAGCTCGCTGTGCTTTTGGTTCCGCCGTACAGGAAAGTAAATAAACACAAGACGGATGTAATGCTGTAAATGTTCACATTACACTTCACACCGAAACACCAAGGCGAGGTTTCCTGTCAGCGCTGTAAAGAATACACACAGTAAGCAACCTTTTATAGACGGTTTTAGGTGTAAAACATCTGTTTTACTGGAAAGAAACATTACAACTACTAATTTATAACAGTAGGAGGGCAAAATAACTCTGTACCATGAGTCTAAATGACCAGTTATGGCTTTACACCTTATATATTTTAATATAACTGATTCTCAGCGCTTGAGGAATACAAATGAAAAAATGACACTGTTTGATGTCCGAAAATGAAAAAAACAAAACGGTTTTGTCTATAATTATTAGAAATATAACTTCCTGGCTGGTTAAGTTTACGTGAACTATAAATTCACATATTACATATATACGTTTCGCTCCCATGTAATACGTTAATTAATAGCAGAAATCCAGGTCAGCCGATATTTGATTGCTTTTAGGGAATGGACGCCTTGTTTTCCACATTAAAACATAAAAGATAACAAAGAGCAAATCCCAAACCGGGAGCCTCCGAGGAGCAGGCGAACTTAAGGCAGCAGTTTGGTGTTGCGAGTTCTTTGGGAGGCAGAAATCACAGAACATTTAGCATCAATGGGACTTAAGAACCGTCAGCAGTGGTTTTGATGATTGAAAAGAAACAAAAAAAGAAAGATTTCATCACGTCACTGAAGGAAACGCACACGATGTTTGATGACATGATGAATACATTCCAAGCCACTAGTTTGCTCCATGATGAGCAGCAGGAAACTGAGAGTTCAGATATTTACATATCAACATGAGACGATACGGCGTTACTGTGATTGTTTGATGTGTCTTAGCAGGACGTGTTCAGTTGGCTAAATCATGCACACACAGTCATGGTGGAAACAGGTGCAGGTTAATGACAGCTCGGTACCAGTAAGTGTCCCAGTAAGCCAGTGGGGTCATGGGAAATTGGTCACTTTGTGTTCCCAGTGATGGGAATGCAGTCTTTACAAATACTATTCGTTTAATCGCCAAAGTGTCTGCAGGGAAAATCAATTTGTTTGAATATATACATCATGTTATACAGTATATTGATATTGCAATATAGAATTACAGTACATATACTGTGGTACTTCTGGACTACAGGAAAATAGATGTATATTCAGAAAAGCTGTTTATGAGTTAAAGACATTTTTAAACCCCACATGAAAAAATCCATACTATCCCATTCAGGCTGTATTCAACCCAGATATCATTTAGTTACATTACTACAGATGTTCATGATTGTATTTCCAGCATTTAGGGTCAGGATGTGTGGAGGAGGGTTAAGCTCTAAAAATAGAGCGACAATATACGACGGGAGAATTGGAGTGTTTTTGGCCCTAAAAACTTCGGAAGTAGACATATTCCGGAAACACCTGCTGTTTACTCGTTGGTCACATGTGGAGAGCATCCAGCGAGATAATCCGCCGCCTCTGACTCACTCGCTCGCTCACGACGCGCTGAATGTGTGGCGTCCCACGTTTCACCGGAGCAGGCACTGACGAAGGACCGCTCACACGGAGTGGGAGTGTGGCGTTAAAGCCAGCAGGGAGAGTGCGGACTCATGAGCGAGTCGGGGAGCGAAAGGTTGAGCGAAGTTACTCACGGATGACGAATCCTCCCGCGCGTAAAAAAAACAAAAACGTGGGAGATGCCCGGTCGACCACGGACATCAACGGCGAGAGAACACCGAAGGCGGCCAACGAACAACTACGAACGTCAGCGGCTGTCAAGAGCCACGTCTAGCTGACAGTAGTGCAAATCAAAAAGATAAGAGAGATGCGGGGGGGGGGGGGGGATCCTGTGGTCAAATTTCCGTGGCGGCGATCTCGTCGAAGATGATCTCGTTGCCGCTGCCCTCGTCCTCCTCCCTGCTCTCCAGCTCCTGGCTGAGCTCCCGCAGGAGCTGCTCCAGCTCCCGGTTCCTGCCGTACATCTGCACGTAGTTCTGCTGCAGCTGCTGCTGGTAGCGGATGACCTTGTCCTTCTCCTCCTGCCATATCCTGCGCTCCTCCTCGAAGCCGCCGGCCTGCTGCTCGGCCCGCTGCCGCTCGTAGTCCAGCTCGGCCCTCATCCTGTCCGCCTGCACCTTGGCGCTCTGCAGCGCCTCGGCGCCGCCCTGCCGCTGGGCCTTCGCCCCGTCGCTCTCGTAGGCCAGCAGGTGCTCCTCCGCCTCCTGGAACACCTGGCACTGCCGGTTCCCCGGGCCCTGGTTGGCCAAGGCGTCCCGGAGGCGAAACAGCTCTCCCTCCAGGCGTCCCACCTTCTCCCTGAGCAGCTCCGCCTCGCTCTTGCGCCGCTGAAGCTCGTTCTCGCACACCTCCAGCTCCAGGGACCGCGTGCGGGCGGCGCCGGTGGCCTCCTGGAGCAGGACCTGGGTGTTGGTCAGCTCGCCGCGGGTCTCCCTAAGTTGACCCCGCAGCAAGACGATCTCGCCCACGCGCTGGGCAAGCTCCCCCTGCACCTCCTTGAGCTGCTGCTTGAGCAGCGAGATCTCCCCCGACTTCTGACAAACCTGAGTAACACGTGATTGGATGAGAAGGCCGCGCTCAGTTCTTTTCATGTTAATCAAATAATCATGTTATATGGATAATGGGGGAAGTGGTCATGGTCAGATTGATGATTTAAAGTAAAAAGTCCAATATGTGCAGTGTTTAAAGCAATATACTGGGTGCTGAGTTTTAGCAGGGTGGGGGGAAATAAATCAATAAAAGCTGCCTCTGTGATAAACTTTACAGCCTAAACCTTTTTTATTGTGGCCATTAATACACTGAATTAAACCATCTGTTGGGGCCTCCCCTGCTGAGCCGCTTACCTCCCACTTGCTCTCCTCCAGCCGAGGCCCCATCTGGATCTTCTCGCGCTCAAAGGAGGTGCAGCGCTCCTCCAGCTGCTCCCTCTCCTTCAGAAGCTGAGAAAAGTCCTCCTGCAGCTTCTTCTTCTCCTGCTGCAGCTGAAAAACCTGCAGCCACGAACACAAGCAGTTGCTGTTAACTCGTACTAGTAACAGCTGGTTTAACTGAATTTTGAAACATTACTACAAATACCGACTTTGTCCAAGATACTCCCTCAAATAAAAAAAGACTACGCGGCTTTTTCAAAAAACGGCTTTTCAGTCTGTCATTCTAGTGAATTGGCAGCACGACCGGTGTGTCTTTTGTCAGAGGCTCTGACCTGCAACTGGACCACCTGCTGAGCACGCTGGGCCTTCTGCGAGGCCCCCTGCATCCTGGTGGCGCAGCCCTGCCTCAGCTCCTCCAGCTCCAGCTCGAAGCGCTTCTGCTTCTCCTCGTAAACCTGCGGCAAAAGACGCGAGCAACAAATCCAGTTTGTGTTTGCAAGCATTAGGCAGCGGGCAGCTGAAGCTCTCTATTTGAATATGAGGATATAAATATCAGTGTCCCGTCTGCCGACCTGACAAATGGCGGCCTCGTTCTCGTCCAGGTTGTCCCTGAGCTGCAGCAGCTCCAGCTCCCTCTCCCTCAGCTTGTCCTCCAGGTCCCTCACCAGCCCCTCGTATCCCTCCGCCGGGCCGGGGGAGCGCCCGCTGGACCCGCTGTCGGACGGAGGTTGGCCTCGGCCGCTCATCGAGCCCGTACTCTTGCTGGAGGACGAGCGCCCGCTGTCTGAGTTGGAGTGTCCGTGACCACCGACCGGCGGCGGCGGGGCGGCGGCTTTCGTGGGCTCTGGGTGGCCGGCGGGGGCCTCCCCCGACGCCAGACCGCATCCGCCCCCGTAAGGTGGGAGGCTGGAGAGGGAGTTGCGTCCCGAGTCGGTCAGTTGGGAGCTGACGCGGGCCCGGCCGTACGCGGCGCTTTTCTCGGACGCGTCTGTGTGGGCGGGGCTCAGCAGGTTCAGGTGGTTTTGGCTCTCCGGTGCGTTGGCACAGTGGCGAGGGGAGAGGTACTGCATGGAGGTGCGGCTCTTTGGGATGACGGCTTTGAAGGCCGTCGGCCGCAGCACTGTTTTCTCCATGTTCTAGAGGAGTGAACTCGAATTAAACACGGCTCAATAACAGAAACATCTTTATGTACAACCACCGAGCTGTTACCTCATTCACAGACGTACCTTCTCAAGTTTTCCAGACACAGGGATCAGTTTTGGAGGAGGTCCTCCCATGGTCCCAATAAACCCGGACCCTTTGGTCTCGTCTGCGTCACTTCCTGGGCTGGCGCGCGCTAAGCGGTCGTCGTTCCAGTCGCCCATGTAGTCCTCGTTCAGATAGGTGTAGCTCCCATTCCCGCTCTCCCTCTCTGGCCCCTTGCCGGACGCCGTGGAGCTCTGCTTCACAAGCGGTGGGATGCTCTGAAGGAATAGAGGGTCCAGGGGCGACTCCGAACCCAGGCACGGGGCGCCTGGCGTGGGCCGACGGACCCTCGCCCCCAGCTCGCCGATGGGTCGGTAGTCCTGGTAGGGGGCGGCGCGCGCGGCGACCAGGCTGCTGACAGAACCCATCGGATCAAGGGCGGGGGGCGCTGCGTTGGTGGAGGGGGAGGAGCTGGAGGGGTGTCGCCTGCGGGATCCCCCAATGTGGCCTGGGTTGTGTGGCTCAGCAGAAAGGGGCGGAGCCTGAACCAGGGCCATGGTGGCTGCTCGGAGGGGTCACGCGCTCTGAGAAAGAAGAACAGCAGATTCACAAATATTATGTATTTAATACATGCTCAAACAGGACTTCTCTACTAAACTTTTTAGTTTTAACCCGATTAGTCACCGATGACATTTAAATTGGCTCATCTAGAAAACTGTTTTTCCTCCCCGGACTTTAAATTAGGTCAAATCCAAGCGGTTCAATCGCCTCAACAGGGGTGCATTCAAGGAACGTCTCGACTAACGACAGAGGCAAAACAGAGATGACATACAGTAGACTGAGGCGTACAAATGTCCCGCCAGCCCGCGGCGGCCCACACAGGGAGAACCCGGACGGCCCATTCATGGAGCCCACTCAAGCAGCACTAAGAGGGCTTGAGGCATGAGGCTTGTGAGGCACGGGGCAAAGCGGAGGAAAAGGCTCTGCTTTCATTCCAGATGTAAAATGCCTCCCATCATGAGGGCGATGTCAACCCCCCCCCGGGACAGCAACAAAGGCCAGTGTCTCCACACATCTTATCAGCGAGGTGGAAAACTAGAAGTTCAGAGCTGCGGCGAGCAGAGAAGAGGAGACCGGTTGAACTGAGTAAATGAAGCCAACGGCGTAGGAGGAAAAAAAAGCAGCTCCTGCCTCCCCCCCGACTCCCGCATGGCCTGCAGGTAAATATTGACACTGTTTAACAGGCGCATACCGGCCACGTTCACATTGTCGAACAATTGAGCGTTGTGTGGAGAACAGTGGCGCCGAAGGTCACGGCGCGCGTGAGCGACCCAGCAGACGGCGGAGCCAGCTGTGGAGGAAACAAGAGTACCAGGATGTCCTCGAGTCCCGTCCAGCGAGTCACACGGGACGCCGCTGAGCAGCAGTCAAAGTGCGGGACTTTGTCTCTAACCCTCTTAACCTGGTGGTCGAGGGCAGGACGAGGCCTCGCCAAGTCATTTTCCAACCTGCCGAGATTACAGAAAGCCAAGTGGGATTTAACTGTGATTATCGCTCACTCATTGTCGGCCCAACTTGTACCCGGAATAATTGGCCCGGGACACATCGGTTACTGAAATATGTTAAAATGTGTCTACTGTGTCATTTTACTTTGACGGTGGTAGTTTTAAGGCATTCTTTTATTAGATTTTAAAAGAAGAATACAGTTTGAGTTTAATATGTATGAGTGTACTTCTACCACAGCGGGTGTGAGGGAAACCGTTACTGTGCGGCAGCAGGAGAGTCTTGGCGTTTGGGGGGGGGGGGGCAGGACGGCCCTAATGAGCCTCTAGGATTAATCTTATGTGATTTCACTTAGGAAAGCTACTTAGTCCATGACAATATTTATTACCAATAATCCTTTCTGATGACAGCACTGCGCTGCAAAGGGTTTATGTTGCAAACAAAACAGAAAAAATACACGATACTCGTTTTCAACAGAAGGTCCGTTGCCCTCAAACTGAACAAGCTCTAATCCCTCTGGACTCCGAATGACTGGATCAATGCGTTGGACTCTACTAAGAAAAAAGAGGGCCGGAGAGACTGGGGCCCCCACCCCACCATCATGCGGCCCTAGTCGCTCTTTTGTCGCCATGGCGACCAGGGCCCTCAGACCTCACGAGGGGGAGAGGGGTCAGAGGGCTGACACGGGGGCCAGGAGCACCTCCTTAGCATCTTAAAGCCTTCAGACGTCCTACAGCTTGGACCATTCTTCCACTCGGCTCTGATGGGAGGAAAATCCACATTAGCTAACTAATGACCGGAGGAGGAACCATTAATGAATATGGAGGATTTATTGGATTATTTGCTTAATTAATTGTGCCTTTTTTTCACAACCTTCCGACGTTTGATTTAGCAAAGGGATGTTATCAGATTACTTAAAATGTACAGTCATAAATGATGAAGAAAAGCAGCAAATCCTCACGTTTGAGTGGTTGGAAGTAGCATTTCATGTTTTTCATTTTCCCATTAATAAATTACCGTCTTTTATTCATTATCCATTTCCTCCATCAAGTTATGTGGAGAATCACATCGAAAAGAACGGATGATCAAAGTCATTGTTTTGTCGATGCCTCAATGCTGTTAATCTCATATTCACACACTGCAGGTAAATTATATTTGAATCCCCCCTGACGCCTGCAGAGTCAGCTGACTGCGAGCAGACCCTTTTCTTCGTGAGGGGGAGGGGGGGGGGGGTGGGGGTTGAAGGTTTTAACACCACTTGGTCGGGCTGCAGGCAGACGGACTCGGTCACTCCTCCAGCAGCAGGAACGTGCCGGCTAACGAGACTACACGGCAGGTTCTTTTTTTAATGTCTCATCATTCCCATCGAAACGTGGAGGAGATTCAAAGTCACATTTCAGCGGAGCTTTATCCCTAATCAACGCACATTGTGAGGAGCGCGCCACAGGCCTTGGTTTCAATTTGGTTAGTGATCATGTGGTTTGACACGACATGAATAGTATTTAGGAATAGGCACCTTACACTGTGAAACAGATGCTGATAATAACAAAGTTGGGGATGAAAGACTCTTAGCTTTTTTATTTAAAGATACAGTATGAACAGGGTTTACTGGCCCGAACCTGCTAGACCGCAACGTCACACAAACCGGCTTTGACACAAACCGAAAAAGCTCCCCACTAAATCCCTCTTTGTTTGGTTCCACGCCATGAACACACATCCACGGCCCCAGAGGGGAGAGAGGCTGAGATCGTCCTCCCAACGCCAGGGGAAGAAAGAGAGAGACTCTGTTGGGTTGAGTGACGCCGACTCTCGTCATCGCCACCTTCGACCGGACGAAGGGAAGGAGACGCCGTCTGCAGGAGGGCACAAAAAAAACGAGCCTGGAGATCCCCTCCTCCACTCTCTCTCTCTCTATCCCTCCCACTCTCTCTCTCTCACTTCTGAATCTCCCTCCCCACCTCCCCCCTTGTTCTCCCTCTCCCTGGAAACTGGAACGTAAGAGGAAAAGTGTGACAAAGCTATTTTAGTGTTGTAGACAACCTACCTCTGCACAGGCAGACACCACGGTCACGGTGCCAGATGTGAACTACAGCTCCTTCTTTAATGTCATTCCACTGAGCGCATCTTTATCGACGGGGATATTCAGGTGTTTTTGCTTTGTAAACTACTTAAACAATGCAATGATGGATGAACTGAATAATTAACTTTGTGCAAAGAATAACACTTTTTGTGGAATATTTTGTTTTTCTTTCACTCGCTGCACCTGCCCACATGTTTTATATTCCTAATGACTGCCATGGGAAATGAAAGGTTTAAAGATATGTGATGTATTAACAAACCTCAGCTTGTCACTGTTTTTGTTTAATCCATGAAGAAGCCATCCAAGAATCAGAATTTTAAATCTATTGATTTTTTTAATTAAGATAACATAACATATTTTTGTCTAAAAAAACCTTTTAAAAGTTCACATTTGATAGATGTTATACATAAAGAAATAACTGAAGTGGTTAATTGAGTATCGATAATTATTGCCCATTAGTTATCTGCATTATACTATTATTATTATCAGTATATTGTCTCATGCGTGCAGCTGTAATGAAGCCAGGCAGCAAACCTGCACCAGTTAACTTATTCACCTTCATGAAGCAAATATTCATCAACCGGAGAACGGACGGACGCAAACAACCTCGTCCCCCCCCCCCCCCCCCATCATCGCCGCAGCCGTGAAGTCGCCTCCCCTTTTCTCCACCGTTCCTCCCCTCAAAACATTCTCACCCCGCATTCCGTCTCCGGTGTCTCCGACGGGCTCCTTTGGAGACGTCCGCTGCGCTCCGGCTCTCCTGGATGCTTGGCTTCGTTTCTGTCTAAACCGGAGGACAACTTCTCCAAGCAGCCCCCCCCCCCCACCCCCTCCTCCCCCTCCTCCTCCTCCTCCTCCTCCTCCTCGGCTCATTCTTAAGCCGAACGCCGCCAATGTGAACGGGAGCACAGTCCCCTCCCCGTCCTCTCTCCCTTAATGCCCCTTCTTTCTCCCACCACCACCTCCTCCTCCTCTCTTACTGACAGATACACCTCCTCTCCCTCTCTCCCATTTCCTCTGACCGGGGGGAGACTACACTGTGCTAAAGTCCTCTGCTGCCTTTGTCAGCTGGAAAGAAGAAAAGACGTGAGAAAGAAGCGGGGAGCTGTCAGTTAAAGACCCTTCTACTCCCCCGGCTTGTAACAAGTAGAAAGGAAGGGAGAGTCAAAAGACGGCCCAGCGGCATGGCGGTCGTCATCTCGGCCTCAGGAAGGCGTCCGCCTGTTCATACGTCAAAAGTGTGTGAAAGAATACAAAAAAATACATTTAGAAAGCTTGTGCAGCTTAAGAGCACCGAATGGATCACGACTTCAAGTGGACGCAAACGTCTGAATAAAAGGTTCGCAAAATCCTCCCCAAACACCGCTTCCCTTCCGACAACCCGATGCAAAGCCGCAGAACCGATGCTCAGTTAATTACCGAGCAAAGTCCTAATTAAAGAAGCCGGCGCTCCAAAATTAAAGAGGGTGTAAAACCGGTCAAAGATCTTTCAGCTCAAAAGCAGAGTGCACAGACACGTGCACACAAAAGGGTCGCAGGTCAGCGAATCAGGCGTCAGTCCTCCCGTCCGCGTCCACGTGGGCAAGGAGGGCCGCCGCGTCCAGACGAAGACCCCGGTGTAATTGTTTTTAGAGGGAAAACACACACACACACTCGGTCTGGTTGGACCAAGGAGGTTAATGTTAGAACTGCTGCTGTGGAGATCTGTGAGAATGAGCCAAAGTAGTTTACCCAAACAGCACGATGAGAAGTGCCGGAAAGTCTCGTGCAACCTGCTTTAACACACGCAGTCATCTGATGTCATGTTTAGATGAACATATAGATTTTTATAGCTAAAGTTTTGACTTTAAATGGATCCATTTAAGATCAATAAAACCCATGTGTTCATTTGCGCCCTGGTTTAACCTTAAATCTAAACATCTTTTTCTCGGACATTCGCCGTCTGCAGCATCCTGTGAAACCAGGAAATCGCCTTCCAAAAACACCTCCCGTGACAGCGGCAGCGTGCGGCCTATTCGCCCTGACCTGCAAACCGCCATCTGGCCAACAAGAGAAGCAACAGCGGGAGATGTTTGCAGTTGGAGCCCGGATCGGCGATGGCGAGTGGGGTAAAGTAGAGTAAGAGAAGTAGGCTATGTCCTGCAACAGCCTCTCTCTCTCACACACACACACACACACACACACACACACACACACACACATACACACATCTGTGCCTCCCTCTCCCTGCTTCTCGAACTGGGTCACACTGGTTGGCACAAAGTGTGTCCTTTAAGCAATGAGACGTAGGGGAGGTAGTTCAAGGTCATGCGCCGTCTTGTGACAATGGAGGAAGGGGGGGGGGGTGGAAGGCGCACGCACTCTAACATGACTCGGCTCCTTTTCAAGGGAGGCGATTTACACGCCAAACATGAAGGGGATTGAAGTTACGGCACAGGATTCCAGTGCGGCGGTGCAGAAACGTCGAGGTCTGCGGTTCCAGGGGAAATGAAGTTTATTGCAGCGGACGGGACCAGAGGCCGTGGCTCTATAGCTCGTCTGTATCCGCACAGAGGCCGAGCTCTCCGACCAGCATCAGCTTCGGACACAAATGAAAGAACGAGGGAGGGCGAGAGCTTTGTAGATTTGAAATATCTACCCTACGAGTAAGACTCGTGATAAATCCAAAGAGATGAGAGTCGGGCGGCGACCCGGTTTAGCCGCGCTGTGATTTACTGTATATGTACCAAAGAGATTAGGGTTACGCCTCCGAATCTGGAATTACAAACTAAACCCCAACCGCGATTAGGACCGTGTGCGTGCACGTCCGCCAACACACACATACACACAAGCACACACGCACGGCGGGATGCGCTTGGCGCGCTTTTTCTTCATCCCCCCCCCCAATAAAGTCTCACCCAGAAAGATCGCAGAGGGTCAACCCCCCCAAAAAATGTTCTCACCTGTTAATGGCGTCCTGTCTCTGGCTTCCGGGGGCCTCAGGCAAACATGGCGGACGGGTGGGCGGGGCATCCCTGGAGCTCACGCCGGTGAGCTCATCTTTGATCTCTCTCTCTCTCCCTCCCTCTCCTGACTGAGGGCATGAAAAGCAAAAAAGCAAAACAAGACGCAGTGAGACCTCCGCCGCCGTGGAGCCACAGAGAAGCCGAGCTGTGACAGGCGTGTTTACCGAAACCGGCGGGAGAGGGGAAAACCTGAGTCACGATGGCGAGAAGGCTCCTCGCGAAAGGGAAGAACGAGGCCGGGAGGGATTTTCCGCGTCAACGGCGAAAAGAAAACAAAAACTATCCCCGCCCACTGGGTGAGGTAAAAACACAAACAAGAAAAAGGCCTTGTGTCCTTGGTTTTCATGAGGTTTAATATCACCACTGTGAAAAGTTGCCAACTGGGGAAATACCTGTTAATGGATATGCAGCATTAACAAAAAATGTGGATTCAATTCCGCAAAAGGACAAAAAGAGGTGAGTAGCAGACTGTGAAGAAGTGCAGCGCATCTGTAATTCATTAAACCGGGGAATTATTGGCAAAGCCGGTTTACGTTTGGCGCAGAGGAGCCTGAGAAAAGTGCCAGAGGTGAGTAGTCCAGAGTCCAGACAGAGCCGATCTCAGACCAGTCGGACTATTGTTTCAGGTACAACCAGCGACTCACGCGGGAATAACGTTTGCCGGCAGTTTGGACGAAATCGACTAATTTAAAAGCACTTTGCTCAACATCCAAAAGTTCCCCATTTCAAGGCTCTCCAACGTATAACCCAATCTCATAAATGTGTGCAGTCGCAAGTGTTGGACGAATTACGAGTTGTGCCTGAAGAGATCATATTTCCCACATGAAATATTTACACAACTAACAGACGAACCCAATGTTGTAACTGGAGCTGCGTGATAAACATAGAAAACGAATCGGTTTCCTAAACGCACTTTAAATGCCTGTAAAAAAAAAAAAAAAGAGATACTTCAAATTAAGAGGTTTTAAAGAGAGAAATAATCCTGCAGTAAAACAGAAGACGGGATGAATCTCTATTTCGGTCTTTGTGGCGCACAAACTATCCATCCATCCATTGTCCAACCGCTTATCCTGCACACAGGGTCACGGGGCGCACAAACTAACTGAAAAACAACTAAAACTTCTTCGTTTTTGGTGAAGACTATGATACAGTTTCCCATTTGATTCATAAGGAGCTGCAGCCAACCGGTTCCCCACCATGCGGTTTTTATCAGCGCGATCGCCAGTTGTTTGCTAAAGATTCTCCCATCACCATCTGCCCCGGGCTTTATTAAACGCTAAACAAACCTGCAGCCGTCCCATCTGTGCGAGAGAGAGAGAGGGAGAGTTGACCACCATGTAATTACATCACCCATCTGCTGACAGGCACCTTCAAAGACGACCTTCAACGCCACCAAAGCTCGCAGCGGCCCGAAGACGCACCCACAAACCAAATCAACAATCAGTGACAAACAACAAACCCGGCGGACGTGGCACAACATCAGCTTTGATTTGGAAGTTTTGGACAATTCCGAGTCGCATTGGAAGGGACGTAGGCGCAGGGACTAAATCGAGCGGCAGATTAGGCGGAGCGGTGTGCTGGAGAGGAAGAAATAAGAACAAATGAGGTTGAGGCTCTCGCTCGGGGCCGCTGGAGCATTAAGGAACAGGGAGGCGGCCCACTTCTTCTTCCCTATCCAAACACTGCCACCCACAGCACTCAGCTTTATTATCCCAAAAGTTCAGCCGTGTGCCAAAAGGTTCCAGACAAGTTAACCAACCCCCCCCACAACAGACGGAGGAACCAACACACCCCTGAACAAAAGGCCGCTGGGGAAAACAGGGAAGTGGCGTAAGGCGAAGGGGAAATCAAGCAAACAGATGTGTGTCGACGGCTCTGTCCTCTGCGTGTCGGAGACAAAGCCCGTCGTCCTCCTTTTACAGCCGCTCGCTTGTGGTCAAGAACGTCAAAAGCACACGACCGTGAGGGGGGGGGGGGACAAACGTATTGGAGGCGACGGTGAAGTTCAATCGGCTCTTCACTTTGAAAGAATTACGTGGGCGGAAGGTGGGAGGCGAAGCCGGAGGGAGAACTGGACGGCTGCGTGAGAAGCATCACATTCCGTGGTAAAAAACGCCAGCAGACCTCAGTCTTCTCCCAGACAATCGTCATCCAGCAGCATATTCAGGCCAAACCTCAAACATCCTCCCTCAAATGTAGGAACCTGCAGCGAGAAGACTCCAGGATTCAACAACTCCGCTGTGGCGAGAGACGTCGAATCGAACGAGCACCAGGAAATGTGGTTCCATTGTGGTGCAACTCTTGTTGGATAGAATCGATATTTTCTTGAGCTTATTGGGTTGGACATTGAAATTAATTTCACCACATGACCTCGATCTTAGAAGCAATGATAGGCGGGGGAGGGGGGGGGGGTCCTTCCACTTTTCACACCGCGGCCTCCAATGGCGAGACAAATAAACAAGAAGTGATGAAGGCAGTCGAAGCCATGTTTAAATACGGGTTGTTTTTTTGGGTTTCTTCACCTTTAGTTCTGCCAGCTGGTGCTTCTCACCTCAACTTTTAGTGATGTCACCATGTTTCTAGTGACAGAGAAATGATACAAACGGATGTGTGGAGGTTTGTGGAGTTTTCTTCCCAGTCAGGGACTAAATCCCCCCCCTCTGCTCTCAGTGTGTGAGAATGACTGTGTGCTTCAACCGGGCAGAAGGTGTCGGATGGATCACAGCGTTGACGCCGCTGAGGAGCGCGAGCGAGTGTGAAAACGCCGCCGTGGCGACAGCCAGTTCCAGAGAGGCCTCGATGGGATCACGGCCGCTCCTCCTGACTCACGGGAGTCGGGAAAACGGAAGTCGCGGCGTTTCGTCCTCCCGGCGGCTGTAGGTCGCGGCTCGACCCGGTTCGGGACGGGTTCCGTCCTCTGATCCGGGCAGCGAGGCCGCCGCAGAAGTTAAGCCTGCATCCGCTCAACGTCGCCCGTGACCCGTGTCTCTCGAGTCCACGCTCAGGGTGCCAGTCGCCATGACAACTGAAAGACAACTGCCGTTTCCCCGGAGCCATGGCGACGCTGAAGCTGGCGAAGTATGAAAAAATTCAGAAAGGAAAACAGTTACTCTGAGTAAGATCTCCTCTCCAACCCAAGGACAACCCCCCCCTCCTCCCCCTTCCCTCCCTCCCTCCCTCCCAGTCAGTAAGTGATGTCAATGCCAGTGACTTTGCAGTGAGGGAAGCAAACTCTGAACATCTTATCTGGGCTGTTTACTAAACTGTAAATCTAATCAGTACTGCGGCGTTTCGTTGGCGAAGTGGCTGCAGGAAGGAGGGGAGGGGTGGAGGGGCAGGGGGGGTCAATCCTGGAGGTTTGGGGGAGATTTTAGATAGAAAGGGAACGTGGGCACAGCGGTGGAGCAGCGAGGAAGGTTGTCTCCCAGTCATCAGTATTCAAAGTACCATTAAGGAGTGAAGAAAACCGCGGCGGTTGCATAACGTTCGCCTTGCGTCGCGCTGAGGTAGACCTTGAATATTCAAGACACAGCGAACAACCTGTGGCTTCAACAGCCGAGATAAGGAGGAACCGACTCTTACTCTGCACAATTTTTGCAGATTAAATAATCAATCTGAAAGTAAACAAACCCACCAAAAAGTTCACTTTATAGCTTTAAAAGACGTGCGTTACATTGTAGTTGTTATTGGCCTCAGTCTGCATAAATACAGGTTAGGAACTTGTTAAATATAAAAATGTGAAATCATCTGCGATTGTATTAAAGTGTGCTGAGAAAAAAATATATTGTGCAAAGCACAAGTCCAAGCACTCAAATATGAAGGTTTATCTTCCGGTTTTGGACTTTTCACAGCTGAATAAAAAATAACAAGCTAGTTAAGTTGTTGTACAGTTCGTCGAGCTAACAGGATACTTTTACACCGTCTCATAATGCCACTTGTTCTATTCAGGCGTGCCAGTCAGACATACCAGCGATACTTGACCCGTCGCCAACATGAACGCGCTGCAGGAGGATCCGGCTTCCTGTGCAAATATTATTGCACCATTAAAGCTTCCGTTGCACCTTTGTGAATAACACAGAAGGAGCAACTCTTTGAATTCCAAGACTGTGCACCGATTTCTGGGACGTTCTAAATCACTAGACGGCGGTCGTTTTGACGCCGCGGCCCATTTCTCAATGCGATGGGGCCGTTAGTCAAAGCTCCAGCGGAGGAGGGGGCGAAATATGCCGATCTGGGGGGTAAAAGATGTGGACAGATTAACGGCTGCTGGTCTCTGCACCCGAAAATTGGGCCGCGAGCGAAACTCCCGCGAGGTCCGACGGGAGAGAATGGAGCGGTAGATCTTGAAGCGCGTGTTCCCACGGGGATCGAGGGCCTCTCCGACGGATGTGCACGACGCTAAGAACACCGAACCCAGACGGGAAATGAAACCTCCACCTGAGAAGGACGGTTGGAGGGTGGGTTCAACCCTCGCCCTGGGTTATCAGCAGTAAACCAAAATAGCTTTAGAAAAGGACCATTTGTGTTGACAAGGTGAGAAAAAGTTTGCTTGCTTGCATGCTTTATATACACACACACACACACACACACACACACACACACAGAGTCAAAGAGTGTTTACAAAACTGATTTCTGTGTCTGAAAACCTCCTGCGGTCGGATGTCAGTCACACCGTCGCAGTAAAACCGGTCCGGCGTCCCGCTGCGGCCGTGTTTCTGTCATGAGGAAGAGAAGTCGAAGGAGTGACTCTGCTTGTTTGGTCAACACGTTGTGCGCTCAGCACATGGCCGTGAAAACGGGTGGCGCAATGACATTCAGAGAGACACACACACACACACACACAAGGACGAGCGTAGACACATTGTTTGAGGAGCCACAGCGAGGCGCGAACACACTGGTGCGGGACGCACAAGTCAACACAATGGAGACGCCGTCTAAACAACGGAGGCCACAGAACATAGTGAAGCAAGGAAAACCCCAGAACACAACGCCGTCCTCCCGTTGGCTGACAGCAAAGGCTCCTCCCACTTTGTTCCCGTCGTCGTCTCGTCCTCTGAAGCTTCTCCTCCTCTCCGTTTGCTCCTCGAGGAAAAACACTCTCCTCACTAGAAGAACGAAGACCTGGTCCCCGCCTCGCTGATGTCCCACACTAGAAACCAGCACCCACCCACAGGGGCACCCTCGGGTGGAGCAGTTAACCACCTCGGAAAGCGCTCAGATGGTTCCTCAGAGTGTCCATTCTGGACACCTTGAACTGGACGCAAGACATTTGTGCCACATTTCTTCTAATGTCAGACAAAAAGAAGACAATGCCGATTATATTGCTGATGGAGGAACACAGAAGGGGAATATTTATATATATATATATATATATATATATATATATATATATATATATATATATATAAATAAGAGGAAGTGAGCCAGAAGCAGGTGGTCAGAGGAGGATTGAATCAAGATGAATTCAAATATAGTTCCAATTTAATAGAACTTACTTCCTGTTTGTCGGTCTGCTTTTGCTTCTGCCCTCTCTGACTCCGTCTTTAGCCTCGCTGCCATCAACAGATCAAAACACTTAAAGAACGCGGCTACAAGTTGTTAAAATACTTTTAGTTTTGACTCAGTTCAACAAATCTCCTGTTAAATAGTAATTGCATTTCTTTAGATGTCAGTTGTAGCTCTTAAAAGTTACACGGTGTCATTAAGTCGTATACGAATTAAAGTGTCTTTAAATACAATGCTCATTATAATTATTTTCATCCTTAAACAATATCATCAGAAGAAAAGTATAATCTAAAGTTGACAGTGTGAAATTCTTCCCTTTTTATTTACCACTGATGCATTAAGCAGCCTGATACATTGTTTTGCATCTCGTACCAAAAAAGCTTGAACACTTTACTCAAATAATATAAACTCCGGAGAAGAATATATATACGCATGTTTACCAAAGCACTTGTCTCCTCCACAAGTAAACAAGGTGAACAGACTCAACACGGGATGAAGAACAGCTGCATTGATAAATGAAAACTGGATTCAGATGAGATCAAATAAAGATTCCCCGACGCTAAAACGAGTCTTAATATTCCTGTCAACACCCGATAAGCTGACGCAGCATTTCCTCCGAGGACACTTGAGGGACGGTTGCAATGTTCTCATAGAAAAAGTTATAATAAAATCACTGGAGACATTATCAATGCAAATAAAACCAGTGGCCTCCAACAGTGCCTCCCCCCCCCCCCCCCCAGGCTGAGGTAAGCACCTGACCTCTGTGTGTGTAAAGGCTGAGGGACGCATTTGAATGTGACGTCCTGTGAAGTTTTAAAAGCTCTTCTGTATTTCTGCTCGTCTTGGTCGTGTTTGCATCCCTGCGTTCGGGCCTTTGTCTCCAAATGAGACGAGGACAGACAATAAAAAAAAAAAAAAACTGTGGCGTTCTGGTCATGGAGGCAGCAGAAACCATCTCGTCTCACAATGTACGAATTAGGAAATGGACCCCGGATTGCTTCCTTACTACCAAAACCTGCTTTGGTATTCAGGCTTCTCAGCACATGCAAAAGTCAGTTGTTTATCATCTACTGAACTAGATTACGGATCCCCAGAGGATGCTGCAAGTTTAAAAAGGTTTTCATCTCCAAACAAACTAATACGGTGACTTTGAGCGTGAACGCAAACTGCTAAAAACAAGCAAAATACTTTTGATATACTAAAAAAAGTCTTAGTCCCTACTAATAATAATAATAATAATGTCCACTAAAAGACAACGTGAGCAGCAAAGGGCGTCAATTTGTAAATAGAAGATAAAAGATAAAAAGCCCATTCAGGGCCGAGGAAGCTGTTGCCTGATGAGCTGCAGAGGAGCTGAAGTCTGAGCAGGAAGTGTGTGTGTGTGTGTGTGTGTGTGTATACTGTACTTTGTTGTGTCTAAACCCGGTCGACCTGCCATGTCTGATGCACATGCTGATAACAAGGGGGCCAACGGGGGCCACGGAGACCTCCAGCAGACCGATCCAGGTGATCAAGAAGACTAGATTTACGCGTACAGATTATTTCCTAAACAGCTGGCAGGTGTCGGTGTGAATCTGCAGCCACGACTTTGTTCCTCAACTCACAACACTCACGCATTTTAAAAACCAGCGGAGTAAATGAGTGAAATCCCGGTGACGTACCGTTCAGTCCTCGAAAGCCCGATGAGGAAATCCCGACCAGTCTTCTTCTTCGTCCTTTCATAAACCCGCTTATCCACAGACTCGTAACTTTACCAATGTGACCCTTGACAAAAAGAACTTGTTCCCAAAATGTTAATTTCTTTCTCTCTGTTTGAGCCCGTTTGTGTTGTGCGGCGGAGCTCCGGGCTGTTGAGTGTTCAGTCAAGCTGGCGAGGGACCGAACTTCCACATCCGGTTATGCATTTCAAAATAAGAGAGACATATTTCCCTTCGGGTACAAATAAACAAATCACGTTGATGTATACGAGTGTGTTTTTTTCGGACATCAGCTCCCAGAAATATATGTAGGCGTCATAAACATTACATTACTGTTATATTGGTTTCATGAAATATAAATGTAGATGCAATGAACGTTCTAGAGTTGAAACGGATGTTTCTGATATATGACTACAGGCCCGTCGCCCTGACCTCTGTAGTCATGAAGTCCTTTGAACGGCTAGTCCTGACCCACCTGAAGTCCCTCACCGACCCCCTCCTGGACCCCCTGCAGTTCGCCTACAGAGCCACAGAACAGGTCTGTGGACGATGCTGTCAACATGGCCCTCCACTACATCCTCCAGCATCTGGACTCCCCAGGAACCTACGCCAGGATCCTGTTTGTGGACTTCAGCTCTGCTTTCAACACCATCATCCCGTCTCTGCTGCAGGACAAACTCTCCCAGCTGCACGTGCCCGACTCCACCTGCAAGTGGATCACAGACTTCCTGTCTGACAGGAAGCAGCACGTGAAGCTGGGGAAACATGTCTCAGCCTCTCGGACGATCAGCACCGGTTCCCCCCAAGGCTGCGTTCTTTCCCCTCTGCTCTTCTCTCTGTACACCAACAGCTGCACCTCCAGCCACCAGTCCGTCAAGCTCCTGAAGTTTGCGGATGACACCACCCTCATTGGACTAATCTCTGGTGGGGACGAGTCCGCCTACAGGTGGGAGTCTGACCATCTGGTGTCGTGGTGCAGCCAGAACAACTTGGAGCTCAACGCTCTAAAGACAGTGGAGATGGTTGTGGATTTCCGGCGGAACAGAGCCCCACCCTCCCCCATCACCCTGTGTGACTCCCCCGTCACTATTGTGGATTCCTTCCGTTTCCTGGGCTCCATCATCACCCAGGACCTCAAGTGGGAGCTGAACATCAGCTCCATCACCAAGAAGGCTCAGCAGAGGTTGTTCTTCCTGACGCAGCTGAAGAAACTCAACCTGCCAAAGACGATGATGGTCCACTTCTACACGGCCATCAAGGAGTCCATCCTCTGCTCCTCCATCACCGTCTGGTACGCTGCAGCCACAGCCAAGGACAAGGGCAGCCTTCAGCGTGTCATCCGCTCTGCAGAGAGGGTGATCGGCTGCAATCTGCCGTCCCTGCAGGACTTGTTCGCTTCCAGGTCTCTGAAGCGAGCTAAAAAGATCGCGGCCGACCCCTCCCACCCCGGACAAAAACTGTTTGTGCCCCTTCGATCTGGCAGGAGGCTGAGGTCCATCAGGACTAGGACCTCCCGCCACACAAACAGTTTCTTCCCGTCGGCAGTCGGGCTCATCAACAGAGCCCGGTCCCCCACTGACTGACTATAACATTCCACCGGTCACTCCCCTTCACACTGCACATGTCACTTTAACTGCAATTCATCACTTTGTCACTTGTCACTTTGTCTCTTGTCTGTTACTTGTTTGTTAGTGCACTTTATGCTTAATATTTTTCTTTTTAATATTTTAATTTTTTTAACTGTATTCCCTTGTTTTATACTAACCCATAGCCTTAGCCTTATTCTACTAACCCATTGCATTAGCATTTCATTCCACTTTATTTTATTACTTGTGCACTGTTGTCTTGTCTGTCTACTGTCGCGCACCAACCGCCAAGACAAATTCCTTGTATGTTTGACATATTTTGGCTAATAAATGTTTCCTGATTCCTGATTTAGCAACCTCTTAATGACATGAATGGGATAAACAAAACATTAGAAATCTTTTCTAAAATGAACATGCACTGGCGATGAAGTACTAATAATTCTGTAGAAAATAGGTATGATATACAAGAAAGGCAAAATATATAACCCGAACATGAGTATGTTTAAGAGCTTTCACCAAAACAGAATTGTTTTATTTTAAACGCAAACTTTACAGCTTCCGGTATTGTCCTCCGCGTGATGTGCTTGACTCACCTGGACTCTCTCTCTCTCTCTCTCTCTCTCTCTCTCTCTCTCTCTCTCTCTCTCTCTCTCTCTCTCTCACACACACACGCGCGCACCCAGAAACGCGCGCACGCAAGCACGCGCGCATACCTTTACCCTAAAAACACACGTGAAACACTTTCGCTCACCATCTTCCCAAAAAGAGAGCCGGTTCTATTATAATTAAACGTTACACATATAAAGCACCACACAAACGACAAACGACTTCCTTATTAGAATAGTCCATCCATCCATTTTCAAACCGCTTATCCTGCACACAGGGTCGCGGGGGGTCTGGAGTCCATCCCAGCCAACTTCGGGCGATAGACAGGGTACATCCTGGATTGGTCGCCAGCCAATCGCAGGGCTACACAGAGACACACAACCATTCACACATCTATGGACAATTTAAAGTCCCCAATTAACCTGATCCCCAGATCATGTCTTTGGACTGTGGGAGGAAGCCAGAGAACCCGGAGAGAACCCACGCAGACACGGGGAGAACATGCAGACTCCACACAGAAAGGCCACTGGGCGGAATCGAACCCAGGACCTTCTTGCTGTGAGGCAACAGTGCTAACCACCACGCCACCGTGCCACCGTGCCGCCCCAGATGAATAGTCCGTCATTTGAAATACAAAACTCAACCACCAATCGCCTACACCCAGAACGCAATTGTAACCAATTAGATTACGTAACAATCGGAGGTTAAACAACCCAAACAGGATTCAGGCTTTGCTCTGACGTTTGCGAAATACTCCCATCTTGTTTACAGTAAACATGTCCACGGTAACGTCACATCATTCTGATCATTTTTTAATTATGATTGTCTTTGCGTTGATATTCTTGACATCAGAATGCATGAGGCTGTCTAGATAATTTGTCAGCATCCTGTTTGTATGTAAGAGCTTTTTATTTAAAAGGTGGACATAGTTTCAGGAATTTGGTTTGAACAATAGCAAATACCTGTAAGGACACTTTACGTATATCTACTCTATTGAGCGGTTACAACCCGTGTGGTTGGGATTAAAGCGGTGTGACAAAGATAAACGTACCCTAGATCCCCAGCCTGTCCCAGTACAACCAGTTCTTTGCTCTGTATTCTAAATATGTAGAAAGAGGTCACCTGACTAACCTCAACCCTCCCAGGCAATCCTTTCTGCTCCACGGGAGTAAAACAAGGCTAAACATAGTCCCACTGAGAGTTTTCAATCTGAGGTGAACCTCACCAGGCTTTTTTTTTTATCTCTCCGCATGGGCAAGAAAATGAGATGAGAAGGGTACTAATAATGATTTAAATTCCCTGTTTGCTCGGCATTTTTAGAGTTGGACTCTGGCCCTCAGCTCCTACTTACCAGCTATAATTGAATCATGACAATGCAAAACACACTGATGTTCATCAAGCACAGTCCCATCGCTGCGGCTGGTGTCACTATTTTTGCAGGTATTTTGGGTGTAATTCAGAGTATTAGGACAGAAACAAAAGAAAACAAAGGATGTAAACTGAGGGGTTCTGTAAATAAAAAGCTGTATCAATGCAATCAAAGCTAAAAAAAAGAAAAGATCTGAAAAACATCATCGTTGGCAGAGATTGGAAAACACGTCGATGTATGTCGTCTTTAGAAAAACACTTTCTGCACAAAGCCAGGAAACTGTATTCACAGAACTGGGCGGCCTGGTGAAGCTGGGGGAGCTCCAGCAATCAGGCGCGGTGGGGACGGAGGGAAAAATGGTCCCGCACTTATCTGGCCGCTGGAGAATACGAGAAGAGCTGTTACGGTAATTTGATAATTGTGCGTGGGTTGAATGTAGCGTGTCTGTCGATAATGACTCCCCAAAATCCCGACCTCGGAGTCTTCTCTCGGGCCTCATTGGCTGATAATGACCCCCCCCCCCCCCCGCCTCCACCCTGAGCCCATGTTATTCACAAACATGCCGGATGGAGATAATTGGTGAAAAAGCAGTCGGCCCATGCAACTCGCTCGGAAATCTCCTCTATTTGAGTCTGTTTCCTCAATGTGGCCCCGCAGTGCTTCCTCTCATTATTATGATGCATTAGGAGCGTGAGGTGGAAGCCATGAAAACACACTTTCAAAGTTGTCCCCCCGGTGCACTGTGACGTGAATCATAGTTGATATTCCTGTTTGGGCACTTAGTGGTAGATTTACTTCATGCACAGACCTCTTGTGTCCTCGAGTTATTCAGCAGTGTTTTCTCAATGTTTTATGTTCTGCAGAAAGCAGAAGAACTGGTGTAAGACAGAGGTGTGCTTTGGACCAGGCCTGTGGAATGTCTTCAGTCGTGACTTCTGCAATGAGACTTCACAGTGAAGTTTTTCAAACCTGCTTTCAGGCCCTTTGAGCAGCACAAGCCCAACGTCCCAATTCCTGCAGGTAACGTGTCATTTTCATTTGGGGGGTGACCTGTCTCTTTAACCGAAGCAAATTGCATGAATGGGGAACAAAGGGGCGACTCGCTGACACCCGAGCCCAAACACCCTGTTTTACATTTTACCTGTTGGGGGAGGGACAAAGCAAAACGCTGCACCTGCTCGGTGCCTCGCTGGCTCAGCCGTGAATGAAAAGGCTGCTGCAGTATGAACACTGGCGAATATTAACCACCAGCTGGACAAAACGCATCTCATCAAAAACGGATCATTTAATGTGGTTGAGCAACACAACTGACACTACGATTCGTTTGAAGTTACAATTTAGGTCCTAAGGTGATGACCTTCGATCCTGCCAGTTATGATAATATTGTACGATGAGCTAAACCTGTATTCATTTAAATATTTATGTCCATGATCCATTGTTGCACAAGTTGAGTGTGCACAACTACAGATAATACGGCAGGTAGGAGATGAATCAAGGAGTTGGTCTGTTACTGTGATATGCTGAGTAATAATGTGAATTATTCAACTTCATTTTCTCCTTTTGAAGAAGACAAAGCAGAGGATCGGCTCAAACTGAATCCTGTCCTGATGCTGCAGTTGTTATTTCTCATTTTCTTTAAATTTATATTGCATATTCATCAAACAGATGCATATTCAACGTGAAATAGTTATGAGAGCGTTGTGTTATAACACAGCAGGGAAGACAGAGCACTGAAAAATGTCTGATAGGTGATCCAATGATAACTTTGATGAACAGCAGCCATTAAACTGATTTCCATGGCAGCTGCAGAGTCCACATTGTCTCATTAAAGAATCTGTCCCTCGGCTGAGCGGAGCATATGGTGTTCAAGCTTTGCCTCATTAAGAACAAGCAGTTTATGAATCATGTTTCCACATGTGTTGCAATAACAAAGCGGCCAATAACTGTCCACATGTGTCCCTTGTTGCCTTCACTGAAAGGACAGATTCCTGCAAAGTTAGTTACAAAATCTTCACATTTACAGTCAGAAAATGTCACTCGACATGGATTTTAACGTCTTAGGAACGGCTCCGTGTGCGCTCTGTTTATCTTCTGCAGGAATTCAGCTTCTTTTGTCGTTATTGTCTGGAGGTGCGAGGTGCCAAAGACTCCCTCAGCCGTCTAATCTGGACACCATTGTGCCAAGGGAAATTGTTTTTGTTGTTTACTGAATAGCGCACCCACTTCAGTCCCCATTTCTCTTCCTTGAACTTCATCCTTTTGTAACCAAAGAGCTCAATTAAAATACGCAATCATTTCATGCAGAATGTGAGAGGAATATTCAAACTCCCCTGTTGACGCACGCGCTCAGTGTCTCGGCTGACAGTTACGATGATCCAGTCCAGCATCCGTGGCCCCCGGTGCTCGGCTCTATCGCTTGCGTATCTCGATTAGATAATCAGCTTAGCTGACCATGCTCAAGGCGATAATGCTTTAATCAACTGCTGCACTGGGCGACCACTGGCTCCCGGGAAGCAGACGGTTGAGTGTGTGCACACAGTCTGGGGAGATTAGGCGGAGAGGGGCCTCCTTTGAAGGCGGCCATGTGGACGGCTTATTTGGGAGTGAATGGTGAATTTTCTTTGGCGATGGCCGGGGAGCAGAGCCGCCTCCGCCTCCCTCTCCTCCGTCTTTCAAAGTTGGGTTAAAAGAAGAGGTCCGGCGTAAGGGTGCTGGAGCCCTTCCAAGGGCCCGGCTCCTCCCCGGTGGAGGTTGCCAATTATGACCACTTCGCTGACGAGGAATGACGCCCTTAACTCATTAAAAACAGGGATGGGTGCCCCCCACCCCCATCCGCCCTCCTCAAAGCCCCATTTAACAGATTCCCCCCTCTCTGAGCCTCAGGGATCTTTTCAGCACCCTGAACAGCAGAGTGTGACAGTGCCCCCCCCCCACACCCCAGGGCCCTCGGACACGAGAGCCGAGCACGCGGTATCCTGAGGCCTGGTATCTGCATGGGCGCAGTGTGAGTGCACCAAAAGTCAATACATGCTGGTTTACCTTTGGGTGACTGCACCCTGCCGGCCAATCACAGAGAGGCGGAGCACTGCGGACATCCTCACGGGGGTCCGGCTCACATTGGGGACACTCAGTGCCACTTTTGTGTCGCTCCCAATGGTCTCTGCCGTCCGAGCCACTAAAAGCCGTATGAGTCCCACGTGTATGAAGTTGACACACTATGTTCAGCAGCAGAAATACATTGTTTTTAATGGAACATTCTGCACACGGCACAGCGAGGAACATTTAAAAGGGGTCTAAAAGGCAGAAATGAAAACCTTTTAGAATGAGTCGTTTATATTTTTGTGCATCAGTGTGGTACACAGATTTGTCGGAAAAAAAAAAAAAAAATGTAGCGCCGCTCTTAAGTTTTAAAAAATGTGCTGAAACACAAGCCCCCACCCGGTCAGTGGGGAGGATGTGCACATGGTTATTAATATACTCAGAGGCGGGCGTGCTGCTGGGTAATGTGGGTCAAACGTGCAGAGGGCATGTGAGGCAGTGAGACGGCCTCTGGTCCGTCCGTCAGCTGCACAAACACAGAGACCCAGGAGAGGAACCGGGTCCCAGTCACGGGGCCTCGAAGTGACAGACAGCGATGAACCCGCTCTACGTACTCGATGAAGCCCTCCGACCCACTCAACGTTCTCCCAGCAGGTTCCGTCATCATTTCTATTTTAACACCAGTGTGGGTCAAGTGATGTTCTGTGTCTCTTGAAGCTGGTTCGTTAAACAACTTTCAACCACGCCAAGTGTGTGAGTCACATAATAAAAGGTTCACTTTGTTTTCTGCTTATTAAAGACGAGGATATTTGTTTATTTCCTGTGTCTCTCCAGGCTTACATTTTTCATGGAGAATAAATCTGTTTTAAATGATGAATGCACGAACTTCCCCAATCTTAAAGTATATGTGTGTGAACAGGCCTCATGAGTTTTGATATTTTGTAAAATACGTTTATTTGCTTTGGTTGTTGAGAGACAAAACAATCCAAATCCTTCTGATGGTTGAACTCTTACTCCCCTCAGAAGATACAGCCAGCTTAGCTTAGCATGAAGACTGGGAGCAGGAAGCAAGTAACTGCAAACAGTCGTGACAATCAACAACAATAAAACCTCACGTTTTTACCATTTGGTCTTTGACCCGATCAAACAGATAAGATATTACGCGAAGCTTTTGTTGCAGTGAGGCTAGCTGTTTCCCCCCATTTCCAGTCTTTGTGCTGAGCTAAGCTAAGCGGCTGACTTTTACTTCTTAATTACTGTACATATAAGAGATAGGTATCGATCCACTCATCAAAAAAACACATTTAACATTTAAGTCAAAAATATTCTCTTCCATTTATAAAAGAATAGAAATAAAAGAATTCTATTTTACTCCGAATGCTTCTCGTGTTTTGTCAGCGGTCTTGCTCTAATCAATATAATACCTTCTTGTCCAAGAGGAAACCCACTACCATGACCAAGTTCTCTGAATACGATCCTGCCTTGAATGTTGAGTAATTTCCCTTCGCGGAGCCAAAGCTCGCAGCAGATTATCTCTGATTGAAGGTCCCAAAATTACCTCCAGACTTGGTCAAATAGTTGGCGTAATGAAGGGGCAGCTAATGGACCGAGAGCTATGCATGCATGTCACGTATCCATGCGTCCCATCATCAGCAAAGCCGAGAGCAGCTGGAGCTTCCACTGCATCATTCTCTGACTCGTAATGAGGCCTTTTTTTTCCTTGTATGTGGAATCAGTTTATGGGGTAGATTTAGTTCCCGTAGTCCGGTTGCTGTTTTCAAAGGATTTTAGGTCAGATTTATCTATCTCGTGTCTTGTAACGTTTTGATCGGAATTTCGGTCTCCGCACAATTAGTTTCGTTGGTGATTAAGAGCCGCGTTGCTCAAGTTCGCTTCATGCTCTCCAGATGGCGGCGCCCTGATCAGCCCAGGCCCCTAAAAACAAAACGCAACAATCAGACGCACATCGTATTCATCCTGGGAAAGAAATAGTTTGAGTTGTCCTCTCGGAAACTTCCTCTGGCCCCCCCGCCGGCCAGGCGACAGAGGCGCCATCATCTGGGCGCAGTAAGGCATCGGGACACAAAGAGCCCCATTCAGAGTCCTCAGCCGCCGTGTCCCACGCCCCCACACAGCCGAGAGGACACCCGCACCCGTCCAGCACCATGCAGCCTGGAGTCATCAGGGACGGCAACGTCTACATCAACAGTAACACATGAAGCAGCAAAACCCTGCACATCACCTGACATCTCATAAAAATGACAATCTCTGGTTCTGCTGCTTCTATTCCTGCTGTTTTAACTGTCCGTTACAAGTCAGAAAATGTTTTTCTGTTGATCCAAAGACACAGTATTGGTGTACGGCAGCGCTAGTTTTATGTTGCGTTTAAATTATATTTTCAGAGAGCAAAGTTCCCTAATTTCCTGACCAAGGGGGAGTCTAAATCTATCCGTGTGCATGCCAAGGTTATCAAACACACTGGCACTTCCATATTTCCGACACCGGGCAGCTCCCTTTCGATCGTTAATCAGAATTGATTTGGCTGTGCAGTGACTGTGGTAAAATACGACACTTCAACACATCCTGCAGCAGATCAGAGAGCAGCGCGATGATGGAGTCTCTCCCTTCCAAAAAAACACACCGGAATGAAACATCCATATGAAGATGTTTGGGACGTTTGTTTATTAAGTCTATAGATGATGGCTTGTGCAATGGGACACTGGCGATGGATCAGTGGATGAAAAACCTGAGAACACTGTTACAGAAGTGTAACAAGTGTATCACTAATTATTTAAAAAAAAGGGTAAAAACACACAGCAGGAGGTGAAAATGAGCCCAAAGATCTGTAACACACTTATAAATGCCTAATTAAACCTATGGTATGGTACCTATACGGTTTAATTAGATGTATGGTTATGAGAAGTTATCACACAGGGTTTGTTGTGTTTGTAATTTGCACTTTCATGCTCGTTATTACCTCTAAATCAAAAGGATGACAACGGGGAAAAAAGACCAGCGTAAATAAATACACACGTAGGCGGTCAGCTGGAAATGAGAGATGGTGTTTGGAGCTTGACTCTTGTCCGTCACGCATACAGCACACGCTGCCCTCTGCTGAACACATACAGAAACACATTAAAAAAACTGCATGAAAAGCATTTTATTCTTTTTTCTTTTTAAAAAAGCTTAGTCAGTAAATCCTTGTTGTAGAAAAAGTCAGTCGAGAAGACACTACGGTCATGTGACCGTGTGGTGAACACTTCCATGAGAACAGTAGTTCTTTTGCACAGTAATAATATACCAAAGTACCAACACTGTTGTACTAACACTTAAACCGTTATTCACATTCTAGTTAAGACGTCCCTACTTCATTCCATGATGAAATAAACCTTTTTGTAGTCTCATATCATTCCTTAATATTTACCGATTGTTTCATTGTGAATTACAATGATTTCGCATCGCTCCAACATACTTATATGTTCTTTTCAGTCGAAATCTCTTCATGGGCATAAATGTAGAAAAACGGACCTACGTGCTCATGATTCTTTCTACACTACAGCTACTTCTCCGTGTTTTCATTTCCTTTCATAACAGCTCGAGGAGTCTTTGTCGTCTTGGTCGCTTTCTCCTTTTTAACTTCGTCCTTCTTCGGCGCCACCTCGCACTCCTCGCTTTCCGGCTTGCCGGCGACCTTCCTCAGCTTGTGCTTGCCCTTGACGGGAGCAGCGAAGGTCAGCGAAGACTTGATGAAATCCAGAGGGAAGATTCCCACGTCTCCGTCGAAGCGGTTCTTGGTCACCTGCAAGGACCGGCGGCCGGCGCACGTCACCAGCTTCTTCTCCTGCAGGATCAGGACGTTGTCGGCTTCTTGGCTGGCCTGGAAGGGGGTCAAAGGTCGAGATGCGTTATATATTATTTGTAAAAAAGCGGCGCGAAGGAGACAAGTCAATTTGTTTGTTAAGATTTGCTGCAGACACAGCAAGATGTGAGCAAATGGATCAAATGGAGGCTAAAAATAAAATGAAAATATTTTTGATTTCAGGATGTGAATTTTATTTTGACTGCCCATGTGTGGTCAGGTAATTTGCAGCGATCCCCCTCATTTTCTAAAAATTAAGATAGAATAATCATCCTCCTAGCCCATTTTGATTCACACATTTTGATATTTTTCATTTGTTCAGTCACTTGCTTTGTTCTCTTTGATAAAACATAAAGTTGAAAATGGAATCTGTCCCCGTTGGAAGGGCAAAGAACCCACTTTGCGGCCCAGCCTATTGTCAAAGAGAAAGGTGAGAGGTTACCTTTGCTGAACCGAAGATGGAGGCGGTTTGCAGTTCTCGGTCATCCTCCTCCTTCCTCGGGTGAATAACCAGAGTGACGTGGCAGCTGCTGTTGGTGGCAAACTTCCTGAATGCTCCGATGATGTGATCCTGGACGGCGAACCTGGAAACGTGGCCGATCCTTTATTCCCTCCTCTGAGTTGGAAAACGCACCTTCAAAGTATCGTGTTGGATCGATTCCCTTTGTCACGATGTGACTCTTACTCACTTGTCCACGGAGAGGTTTTCTTGCCCCATCATGAACTGCAGGTTGTCAATGATGACGTGGTTGATGTCATAAAGGTAGACGGCGTGTTGCATTGTCTCCAGCACTGTCCTTTAGGAAAGTTTGGAGAGGAGTGGAACCAAAATGATTCATAGAAAAGTGCTGCAATTAAATCATATTTTAATCTGCTGTAAAAGATTAATTACACTCAAGGTAAACAAATCACAGCTCCAACTTAACAAACTTGTGCACTTGCCACATCTGCCACAGTTGTAATGCAAAAGTGATATTTATTTTTTCATAACAAATATTCCTCAAGTTGTTTTTGCGTTGAATTTGTTATTTGAAGTTTGAGATCTTCAGATACCTGATTTTCTCCAAAACCTAAATATATTGAAGTTATGATGATACAGAAATTAGTAAAATAAAGAAATCCTCACATTGGGTCGGCGGGAAGCAGATCATTGTGTGCCGTTTTCTTTAAAGAGATGGCTTAATCAATGAGAAGGTCCCCGTTAATGTTCTGTTGATCAATTAGTCGAGCTTCCCCGAACGTCAACCGGTTTTCAAATGAAGCTTAGAATACCGTACGTCATATTTTAAACAAAGGGGGAAAATAAGCTAGAATTTGCTACTGTGGTTATAAATAGAATATTTGTGTGGATTTGACTTTATGTGCGCCAGACCAGAGAGAAAATATTTTTTTAACCCAGTGAAAATGTTTGAAAGGCGCCAACAAATTTCTCTTTCTCTGCAACTGTGAACAAATACCGCTTTGAAACAAATATATCAACTAGGATAGGAAATATAGAAATGCTGTGTAGGAACCGTTCAAATGAAGCTCCGGCAGTCATCGCAGTTCTCTTTTGCTCAAAATCAGGACATTATAATAAAAATGAATAAAAAACTGTCACTGTTTTCTCGTCCAACCGCTACGAGTCACTGAATCACTCGATGTGCTTTTCACGCGATGCGGACTTTCGGTGAGACTCACTTGATGTTCTGCTGCCCGTGGAAAGTCATAAAGTAGAGCGGCAGCTCTTCGAACTTGTCCGCCCAGAAGTCGTACTGCTCCAGGTTCTCCTCCAGCCGCTGCATGGCGAACTGCGTCAGCATGATCTTCGCCAGGCGCACGTTGTTGATCTCGAAGCTGCCCCACAGCGTGTTGACGCCCTGCATGCAGAGGTCCAGGGCGACCTCGCTGATGAAGGTGGTCTTCCCACTGCCGGTAGGACCTGGTGCACCAAGAGACATGCGCGTTTAAGGTGAGTTTGTTTTGTTGAACGCCACGGGATGAAGAAGAGAGATGATGTTGAAAATCATTCATTATAACGACATTATCGTGGGTTTTAAAACAAGCGGAAGCCGCGACACTGACATGTGACCCTTCTACTCCTCTGGTTTATGGTAGAAGAAGAGGTGATGTTCTGGAGCTTTTTGATGAAAATGGCAACCTACTGTGTATTTCTCCACAAAGAACAATGAAAAGAAGCTGAAACGCTCCTTAGAGCCGAGGGGACCTGCAGAGTTTGAAACTCAAGACTATATTTCAAATTCCGATGATGTGACAAACATAACCACTGACGTCCTACCTGTGAAAACGGTCAGCTCCCCCCTGCGGTGTCCCTTCAGGATCCTGTTGAGCTCCGGAAACCTCCCCCACTTCACGCCCGCCACCTGCTCCGTGTTGACCAGCTCCCCGTACACGTCCTCTCGGAGCTGCTTGAAGGACACGATGGACTTGTGTGCCGCCGGGATGGAGGACTTGATGATGTGGCCGAAGTTCTTCCCCTGGGCCAGCGCCACCGCGGGGCACGGCCGGTACTCCCCGGGACGCACCAACGAGCAGCGCCGCAGCCCCAGCTTGCGCGAGAAGATCTTGGACGCCTCCCACGAGCGGATGTCGCCGCCCAGCCACAGCGTCACCCGCTTGAACTGTTCGAGGTAAGGCAGCAGGATGGGCGGGAGGCAGCTGGCCCCCCGCGGCAGAGCCACGCTGGGGAGTCCCGTGGCCTGGCTGACGGCCAGAGTGTCCAGCTCGTGTCCGGTCAGCACCACCTCCGCGTCCACGCGGCCCACCAGGGGGAGGCCGAACAGGTTGTAGTAGGAATTGCACCGCGGGACCGTCGCTTCGTTGTAGGTGACTTTGTCGCCGTTGGTGCTTTGGGCGGAGAGGAGCTTCACCCCCTTCAGGGAGGAGTCGGGTCCACCAAACCAGGGGAACACCAGACTCTTGGTGGGCTTGAAGAGCCTCACGCCAAACCTCTTGAGGGTCGCATTGGAGACCTTTGTGATCTGAAACGAAATGTCGATGAAATGAGATGTTTGTGTTGTTGGCAGGGGATATACTCCTTTTTGAATAAGTTCACATTATGTTGTCAATTTAGATGTTTCTTCTCTTCTATTGTTTGTTTTTGTCCTGCTCTTTTATGTTGAAGTGACTAATGCAGTATTAATACGGGATTTGTATAAGTTTGTTTAGTTGTCAATAGAATTGAAACAATTACAGGTGCAAAATTCCTCACTACTTATACCTACTTTCCCTGCTTTTCAATGATTGTGATGTTCTTTGTGGTTCCTTTGTCTATTCTGACGTATCAAAAGAAAGAATGTAACATGCAAGAATAACAAAACAAGCATGCAACTCCCTCCCCATCACTGATTAATGCCAAAACACCTGAAACATGGTTTTGACCAGCTGAGCCTCGTCCTCGGGGAGGTCAGCGAAGGGCACGGAGCTGGACCAGATCCTCTGCACCTCCCTCAGCTCCCTCTCCCTCTCCTCCTGCTCCTCCACACTCTCCGGGTATCCCAGCAGCACGTGAGGGCTGAGGAAGCCCTGCTCCTCCTTCTGCATCACCTCCAGGCAGTCCTGCAGATCCTCCCAGCTCCCTTCCACCAGCGTGTCCTTGCACAGGAACTGCCCGGTGGTTTTGTCGACGAACAGGGAGAAGTTGTCCCTCCTGGCGGACGGTTCGACGAAGATGCTCGGCAGGTGGAGGCAGCTGTAGCCATCGTGGAAGGAGACGTCTTTGGAGCGTAAATACTGTTTGATGTCTGTGACTGTGATGGGGCTCACAGGACACTCCACGGTAGACTTTGCATCTTTTTTGTAAGCCCTGGTCCCACTTTGGGACAGGAAGTAGACTGTACCGCAGGGAGGCCTGTGAAGGAGCCTCTGAGCTGGAAGTCTCTCACAGATGGAGGGGAGGTGTCTCTGGTGGAGAAACCTTGGGGCTGCCACCTGCAAGAGACAGGCGGTGCCCCTCTGCAGCAAGCTCCTCCACATTGGTTATCTGGTTAGTTCATCGAACCTGCGACGGACACGACAAGAGGAAGAGACATCAAGTAACACACAGCAGAGCTGCAGAGGCTTGGATGACCTATGCTAGTCGGGGTCACAGACAGGGCAGACAGTGAGGCTCAAACCCGTTAGCTTATTTGTTTTCCTAAGCTGACGTTGACTATAACAGAAAATTAGCCCAAATGTGCGCAAAAGCCATATGAAAAAATATTTTAAACATGAACAAACACACAAAATCCTTCTTACTGGCTCAAGAAGTCTGCCCTCATTTTCCTCCATGCTGTTAAAACCCGGGCTTTTTGGTGTGCCATCAAAACAAGCCCGTGCGAAACATACGGTGAACGGCGTCTACAAGGTTTTTGACAACTATTGAATGTCACGGTTCAAAACATTTTAAACATGCGCGTGTGAAGTTTGTATTTTTCTAAATTGCATTCCAATACTTCAATTTGCTGGTTGAAGAAGTTTAATGTGGAAATCGTATTTTCTTCGATGGTCCCGTCAGTTACGTGTTGCACTCCGGAACACATCGCCGACGGACCGGCGCACGTACATGTCCGCCAGGTCGTCCTCTGTGCTGCTTGTCGCTAGCTAACGTCCACTTGAGCCCTAACGGCGTCGTTTCAAACCACCGTAATTTAAATATAATTTAAACGATGACGTCCAGAGGGACGGCGAGCCGCTTCCTGAAAAGTGTCCTTCAGAACGGCGTCGGTCGGTACGTCTGCCAGCTGAAGCGAGTCTCCATCCGCTTCTCTAAGAAGGGCCAGAGCTCTCTGGGAGTCCGGTAAGAAAACTCTTAAATACAACGTTAAAGTAAAAATGTTAACTCATTCTCATATAGATCCCAGCAGTAGTGGGATGTAACGTTAATAAAGAACATTTACTGAGTACTAAGTTCTTATTTGATGTATTCTATTTGTATTTCACGCGATGTATTTTCTCTATATTTCTACTCGAGTAACGTTAAATCAGGGAGAAATAAATCACTTTACAATCAACACAGGTATCTAATAACTATAGTTATTACTTACTTACTTACTTAATCAAATCAATGGTCAATTGAAGCCCTATTTGTAACGACTTTTTATACTGTTTAATCTGTAATTGTATTTGTTCATCATGTTTTAAGATTTTTAATTTTTATCTGCTAATTAACTAGCTGTATTTTTCATGTACTACAGTATTTTTCTTTTCTTAAATGGGGAGGATTTTCAAACATAAAGCAGCAGAGAATGGAAACACTCAGAGCCGTATTTAGGATTAAGAATAATGCTTAAACAAATAGACCAGTAATTCAGATAATCAGTTGCAGTGTAGCAAAAAAAAGGGCGACATCTTATTTGGTTTCCACTAATAAATGAAGATGCTCGCGCACAGCGACACAAACCGCCTCATCACCTTCTTCTTCTCGTCTTCAGGGAGTTCATCGAGGAGGGAGTGGTGGATTACGCCAAGAGCAACCCTTCAACCGTGGTGTACGTGTCTCCTGAGTCGTGCCGGGTACCCAAAATAGTCGCAGAATACTGTAAGTGCTCACCAGTACTTTGTGTTTCTATGGGATGCCCGACTAATCCCGAGTTTCTTTCTTCTTTATTTGTTATACCAACTGTTTGTCTTTCACACAGTAATGCTTTTATTTTATTTTTGTTATTTACCATATATTTCCTGGAAGACACTTTCTCAATATACCTTAGAATAGAAAAACACAATAAATATTACATAATAATTGAGTCACCCACCAGCTTTTTAAATTATAACACGTTGGCTCCTTTTCTAGGAGTTGTAACTATATTGTTGGACCTATATTATACCTATGTTATGTTGTAACGTTTATTCATGGCCTGTTAAGTGAATTATTAAGTTATTTCAAACCACGCAGTATCAAAACGGCCATCAAAGGAGTCCTGGTACGTAGAAATTAAAAAACAGTATTTTTCAATTGTTGTTGATGTAATCGGAAATAGGCTACACAGTGGAGAGATTCAGGGTTATAAACAATCCTTCTGGTAAAGTGTGTGACACGTTAAGCCTTGTAGTTTTCCTATAAGTTCAATAGAAATCAATAAAAATGGAACTGCAGTAAAGTACCCTGATTTATGTTTGCTGTTACTCTCGGGTACTGCAGGGGGCAGTGTAACACTAGTTTGTTTAAATGAGCCCTCTATCAGAGTGTTCTTGTTGACTCTGCTACATTTCCCACCGGGTTTTTCATTTTCTGTGTAAGAGTGACCTTTTTTTAAAAGTAACTCGTATATATATATATATCGTCTCCTTTTTATTTCATTACGTTTCTTTCCTTCCTGCAGTAAACGGCAACGTGAGGGAGGAAATCGTCACAGGCAAAACGTCCCCGCAGATTTCCGAGCTGTTGACCAAGCTGACCGATCAGTCCGGCCTGGACATCATCCGCATCCGCAAGCCCTTCCACACCGACAGCCCCAGCATCCAGGGCCAGTGGCACCCGTTCACCAACCGCCCCCCCTCCATCGGCCCCATCGGGCCACGGTAGCGGCACGCCGAGTGAGGACCACAGCTATGAGCTATTTGTCATAGTTAATTGCTGAATATTATTGCGAGACGTCCTTCTTTGGAGCCGTTCAAGTGCACCATCTCAACAAAATCGCAGGTCAAGTACCGTTTGCAGTCGGATGATTCCGCAGAAGACTCCAACTAACAGCTGAATAATTTCCACTGGGCTTTTTAGTCTGTTGGTGGCAGCGAAGCCTCTGTATCTGTGCAGAAAAGTGCAAACATCACCAGCTCTGAATGTTGAATAGACTTTGCATGAATCCACGAGAGGCTTGCCTGCTGGCACATAAAAAAACGGCAAGATAACTGTTTAATGTCAAGGTTATTTAAAGATTCATTGTGGAAACGTGCAGCATGGAGCAGATTTTATGAAATAAATGTTATTGTGAGAATGCTGGCGTTGTTTACATTGTAGATTTTCTTTTGACAAGGTTTCAGAACATCAACAGACTAAACGTGGTTGTAGCTTTAGACACATTACAGACGCAAATCAGATGTACACCTTTTTTTAATTATTTGTATGACACAAGGGAATGTACATGTTTTATACAGTTCAATACTCTGAAGGCTGCACGACTTTAGCGGATCCAGAGCTTAAACGAACATGACAGATGGTTGTGTGACAGCTTGAGGGACATGTCGTAACCTTCAGCAGCACAGAGCTGCCCTCTGCGTCGGGTGGAAGATAAACAGAAAACTCCTCCAGTGGGTGAATCATTCAGACGGATGTTGGCAAAACTCCTTTGACTTTATTATAACTTTTAAATTCTCGTCCCGAATTCATCATTTCAGCCCCCCCCCCCCACACACACAAAAAAGCCCCTTTTCCCTTCACAAAAAACCTCAGTGTTCCTCTCAACAAAAATAGATCAAAACAACCGAAGTACCCATCATCAGAGGAATACTAATAAGCATGGAGTGAACTTACGACGTGATCCGAAGAAGCTGATTGCTTGTTTCTGCTGCTGTGTAATGGCTTTTGGTGCCTTTTTGAAAATGCATGTGGAATAAGTGCGTGAGAGGCCTGCAGATGGAGGCCAATGGGTGAGGGACGCTGGAGCTGACCTCTGCAGCGGAACGCTGCTGCTGATTCCCCTCAATTTCGTCCCAAATGCCTGCACTTGAGTTGCATTATTTATAAGGTTGCGGATGCCCTTTTAAATTAGCTCTTTTTGTACTTTGCCGATATGATCTGTACAACTTACATCGCTCAACTTAGTGTATTTTTAATTAGCTATTTAACCTGTTAAAAGAAGCAAATGAGTGAAAATGCCACTAGTGGTTTCATGCTCACTTGAATTCATGTACAGATCTCATGGCCACTTTTCTCTCATCACACCTTCCACAATGGCAGCTGGCACAGCTAGATCCACGCTAGGACATTAGAGTCTCCAGATCAAGACGCTGTTGCTAAGTTACCGCCCCTTGAAAATGGTCTTTTTTTTTCACCCTCTCCCCCCCCTCTCTCCTCTGAGCTTATGTCGTAAGTCTGCTTTGTCAGAGCCGTATGTGTGTAAATGACTGGCATTGCGAGGGGGCTCCATCCCCCCGTGGAGCACAGTGGCCTTGCTGCTTGCCACAAGCTAAAAACAGAAGTGTTGTGGTGTCTTGAGAAAAGGATTTTGCCCGAGCATGTTTTGTATGTCATTTCCTGACGGAGCATCGGGGCCGTTGACACTCAGTTAGCTGAGCACAAGTGTTTTCATCTGCACAAAAAACGCAAGTGGAAATTTGCTCGAGTCAAATAAATAACACGAAAAACATACACGAGTAAATGCTTTTCTGTCTGCTGGTTAAACTATCTTACAAGCAGCAAGTCATTTTTTGAGAAAATCCCAAAGATGAGTTCAAGGTGCATCATCCAGAACCAACTTAATGGAAGGTGTCACAGTTTGCCAGAGTACGTCACATGACTTTTACAAAATAGCAGTGCGAGTTGTAAACTCTTTCGCCCACATCGGAGAGAAATAATCCACATAAAATATACTGTATATTGCATAATGACGCAGCGGGATGCACTTGTAGGTTTGCAGTGCAGAAACAAGGTGACCGTAAGAAATGAAACTGTTAGCTATATTTAAAGTCCATACTATAGAATGCATTGCAGAGCCAGTGCCTATTGTAAACAGATTGTCCTCTAAACGGGAATGAAGCAGCAGCAAAGGTTGAAGATCCAGAAGAAGCTTTCAACATATGGATGATTGTCCACAACAAGAATATATAGTTAAAACAAATGTTAAACTTGCCATAGAATACAACAAGAAAGGAACATTTCTTCAAATCACACGTGTGAATCAGACTTGATCCTGGTCAAGGATATTAAGTTCATTCATATGATTCATATTCGCTGCTTGAATTTGAAAACTATCTTACAAATAACATCCACCAGAACATGTGAGGGTAGCATCTATGAACCAATACAGAAAATCAGACTGATCAACACCACGCAAGCTCTGGGGCTGTAATTGTTTTGGGGGCCATCGCGGCCGTCTGTAATGGCGGATGTGAATGTGAGCAGACAGACAAATAGACAACGAGGAGGAGGAGAGAGGCGGCAAGAATAAGGATGAGGATGAAAACAAGTCAACAGATTTCCAGTTAAGCAACAAGGAGTTTGTGTCAATTTCTGTTCAGAGAAAAAGACACATTGGTGTGTAACAGGATGTGTTTGGGTGTGTTAATGCTTGAACGCATAATACAACTTGACAAAAGAGCAATATTTAGCCACTAACGTGGAAGGGTTGCCAATTCATGCGCTATTTGTTTAGTTTCACCCCGAGTGTACTGCAGGAATGAGTCCGAATACCACGGCATGAGTCAGCATCTTTGCACTTTCTGTCGCCTCGCCACGAAGTCAATGGGTTCTCCGTGTCTCTCCTCGCCATTAATGGTGTTGCACGCGGTTTGTTGAGGAAAGATTGAGCTCTTCACGCCTCTATCTCACATCGTGCAGCAGATTATTTGCAGTTTTTTAACTTAATCTTCCATTAAGCCTAATTGAGGACCCCACAAGTTTCTCCTGATCGAATAGTTTTGTTGCATGAAATAAGTAATTTTCCCAAACACTGAACCTTCTTTCGAAACGAAATCGAGGTAAAATCATACAAGCTGCTTGCTTTTACAGAAAAACGGCATCAATTAAGGAGCAACTTAATATACGACAGGAGCCGCTGCATGAGGACACAGTGGTTCACCAGGAGAGGCCTGTAGAGAAGCCTGTGTCACTGGCCCCTCCCCTTTCGAGGCCTTCGCCGTTCCCAGAATTAAAGTGCCTCACAAGGTTGACGAAGACGACCGCTGAAAACCTGCAAGCGCAAAACAGCCGCTGCCCCCTCGCGTCACCGTCTTCCCCCGCGCGGCTAACCGCGCCGCTCGGGTCAAACGTCTCCTGTCCACGCAGACAGACGTCCTCTCCTCGCCTGGTGGAGGCCAGCCAAGCACCACCGTTACTCCAGAGCTGATTCAACACTTTGCAGGAAACACCAGCTTAAAGACAAAGTTCTGCGCGTCCCGTTCAATCGCAGAGCTGTTGCCCCGGTGGGGGATGTTGTTCCGGCTTTGCTGCGAGGTCAGCAAGTAAACACTGAGGCTGCGCGTGTGAAGGTTTCTCTCTACTCTGCCTCAACATCTCGCCACCAGCAGCAACATTATTTTTCCTGCTGTTGGCGTGAAGCTATTGGCGGTATGTCTCGGGGGGGGATCTTCCACAGGGCTTGACTCTGACAAAGACAACATTTTCATCCGTTCGAATACGAAACAGCGAACAAGCACGTTCGTCATAGGTCTGACTCCAGCGTGCTGCGGTTTCCTCTCCCGGGCCACGAAGCCCAGTCTGTGGTCGCATTGATTGAATTCACTGAACATGGCGTGCTCCTTTCAGGGTCAATAATAGACTCCTCAAGCTGCGTCTCTTTATTCACACGGACGCTGAGGTCTGCTACAGGTGCTCCGTCTGGCACAACAACCAGCCGCTCGCCACGGGCTGAAGGAAATGAAGGTTTGAAATATACTGTATGTTGAAACGCCTAATCCGAGGTCTCGTCGGCTTCTCAAAGTGACACGCCACATAATCGTGGTTTGATCACGCTTTGTTCGTAGAGAATAAAGGTTTGTTATTCGCGTTCGATTGTCATTCATGAAACAAAATAGGCCAAACACTCTTCAATTTCAGTTTCTCAAAGGAAACAATTTGAAACCAAACACATTGGTCAAATTAAATGGTGATGAATATGTGTCTGTCTGTCGGTGAGTGAGTGACGGTGCACCTCTGTGTCCGTCCACCGCTGAGCTCACATTCATCTGCAGCGACCTGTTTAACATCTGGCTGCACGTTCGAGGGCCTCACGTGGTTGCGGTGGCTCGCACTCTCTCCCGCGTGCATCAGCACTGGTTTTTGAGTCGAACAGCCCATCGGGGGGCTAGATGAGGGGGTTTGGATCATTGAGTGTTGTATGCATCCAATCCCGCAATACAGAAGTGGTCTTGGTCAAATCACCTACCTGAGATCGGCCCTTTATTAAGTGCTTCCTTCTAGTTTGGACATGGAACTACTCTTGTGACGACCTCCCTCTCCGCTTGTCCAAACAAATGTTTGTTACATGTTTTTAGTATTTTGCAACAGTGCAGTCTGTGGCCGAATGACTGAACGACAATCTCAGGTGTGTGTGTGCGGGTGGTCTTGAAAATCACGGGCCTTTTGGTCTCTGGGATACGTAGCGAGCTGCACGAGTCAGATCGAGCGAGGACGCAACCTGGAAGGTGACGCTGGTGTGAAAGACGCCGGCGTTTGATGCAACAGTCATTTCCCCCCCCCCCCCCCCCGCCCTCAGCCACGGGTTGCCCATTTGGGAGTGAAAAAAACTAAAAATAACGACGGCCCGCGAGCCGCGTCCTAGATGGAGCTCTCGTCGGGCTGCAGGTCCAGCTGTGAGTGTTTCCGCTGCTCCAGGATCCTGTTGAGCTCCTCGGTGAAGGAGCGGTAGAGCGGCGACATGCCCTCGTGGTCGACCTGGCTCAGCAGCACGTAGCTGTTCCCGTTCATCTTCCTCAGCACGCTGGGCAGCGTGGCCGACAGCCCGTTGGCGTAGTCCATGTTGGGCAGCGGGGGCGCCGTGGGAAGGGGCGGGGCCGGCGGAGGCGTTTTGCACGGCGAGAACTGGCTCTCGCCTGGAACTATCTGCAGGAAGCCGTCACCCATGTCCCCAAAAGTCGGCACCGAGATGGAGCGTCGACCCTGGCGGCCGTTGTAGTGGCTGGAGATGGTGGTGAGCTCCAGGTGGGAGCTCCTCTTTCTCTCGGAGCCCCCCAGGACCTGCAGCCCCTGCTGGGAGAACTTTCGGTCTCGAGACGGCCGCCTGGTGCAGAAGCTCACGTAAAGCAGAACCACGGTCAGCACCAGGCAAAGCCCTCCGAGGACCGCCACGAGGGAAATGTACACGGCCTCCATGTGTCTGTAGGTCTGGAACTCCGCTCCCGGGGGCAGCGGGGCGGGCGGCGAGGGCAGCGGCTGCTCGGTGGGGCCGCCGGCGGCGGAGAAATCGGTCGGGCTGGAAACCGAAGCCGGTTCAGTCGTGGCCGTGGGCTCCACGGGGAAGTACAAGTCCGTGTGCACCCTGACCGTGTAAAGGTATATCAGGACTGAGACGGAGTTCTCCACGGCGAAGCAGCGATACGACCCGCCCTGCTTGGAGCGAGCCCCGATTATGAGGAGGCCGTCCGTGCCGATGCGGTAGCCCGAATTGAGGCCGAATCCCTGCAGCTCTTTGCCGTTCAGCGTCCAGCGGGGACTTGCCAGGTTGGAGTGCAGCTCGCACTGGAGTAGAACGTCGTCCCCGGACATCACGGAGCGCCGCCGGTGGACCACTGAGAGACAGAGAGAGGGGGGGGGGGGGGACAAGAGGCATGAGACGGAGCTGAAGCTGGAGGCGTGATTAACGAGGATGGAGACGGCGGGACAAACGTGCGGGAGAGACGACCCTGGAAGGAGGTGTCTGGTCACAAAGGGTACGTTTTCAAAGTGAGCGACCTTTTCAGCATCACTTTCCATCTCATTTCATAAGCCTCTTTAAACGCAGTGCGACCGCAGAGAGGCCGATTAGAATGTGAGCGCTGGGACCTCGGGGCTGGGTGAGAATCACACACCTAATAAAAACGCCGTCATAGCAGTTAAGTGATTGAGTTTTCAGGAGGAGAAAAGTAGCGCTGGACTTCTTTAACCTCATAATCTGTGTGCGTGGTAAAACGAAGAACTGGGCTTTCTCATTAAAAGTAAAAAGTGTGTGTGCGTTGTTACCATTTCCTGAATTCTCCTTGCAGCCTCTGATCCCCTTCAGGATATCCTGTGTTAGGTGTGACCTGCAACAAAAGGGATTTCAAATTTAGTTTGAATGTGGACTTTATAGACATAATTCTCTTATTTAAAGTTACTTTGAATCTTAACTTTATTCTTATGCTTCTATAGTACTACACTTATGTAACGTAAGATTTGACAAAAAGAAATATGATGTATGGTCCATTGGGTACAACTATTAATCAGAATAGTAGAGACAATTAATTGGTAAGTAAATATTTAAGCATAAGCAACATTCATTTGTTCCTATAATATCATAACACATTCTGTTTTGAGTCTTTAAGTCACTAAAAATACGTTTTTCTTCTTTTAGATGCTCAGTTACCTAAATGCTTCAAGAGAAGTGCGTCATGGAAACCAAATGTTTTTTGTGCTATTTGTTGTAAACAGAAGAAGCTCCTGCTGAGCTGACGGGAGAAATCCGGGTCGACCACGTTGTCTCCGTCCTGCCTTCATACAAATTCTGTTAGAAGGGGAAACTAAGCCGTATGAATAATTAATCAGACTCCGGTATTGCTGTCGGGGCCCAGAAGAAAGAAATAAAGGTCATGTAATGCAAAAATGTACACTGTGTCAAAATGATTCATCTTTGTTTGTAGGTTTAATTTCAAGAGAGGCGAGTTATGATGTTATGATGATGTATTAAATCATCACAGGATATTTTCCCCTCAACTGCTCACTTTGTTTATGCCAATATTGGATAAGGATAGAAACTTGTTTTTTTTCTTTCTTTTTTTTTGCTCATCCAATCGCATGCAGCACAGCAGATAGAGAGGAAACGAATGCAGAATAAACAGAAGAGGTTTAGGGGGATAAAGAATCAGGATCTATGATGAAGAACTGCAAACATATCTGTCTAAACAATGTCTGCTTTGCTTGCTGTCAAATCCACGCGTGTGAGTTCATGTCTACTTCCTTCCTACTTTCGATTAAACTCTCTTTGTGTTTGCCTCCTCGCTGCATACGTTCATTTGTTGGTGCACAGGTGTGTGTGTGTTCCCTCACCTCTGTGCACGGGAAGATATTTCCACACACGCCCTCCCGTCCCAGCCGCAGAACGGATCTCTCGCGAATACGCAGTCGTAACAGGAAGTGTACCTCTGACAGGCCGACATCGGCAGCTGCACGACTCCAGAGTGGGAGCCGACGTAGACGCTCCTCTGCAGAAAGCAAACGGGAAATATCTTGTTAATTTGTTCCCACCGTGTCTATTTTAACGTTTGCAAGTGTATTTGTTGGTTAATCATCAGTTACTAGCTTTACTTTCCTCTGTAAGTATCATTTTTACACTCCAATCACATGTAGTTACTTATGTAATTAACTTAAGCCACCATCCATCCGTCATTTGCGTCACTCATGCATGAGCGGGCCGTCGGCGTCCGGCTCTACGTGCATGAAAACGTACCAGAGCCGAGGATACGACCATGCTCTGTATGGGCTGGGGTTTATCAAACAGCTGCAGCTCTTCTATGATGTGCATCTCTCCGCCGATGTCGACAGCTCTGTGCAGCCACCCGTCATCTGTCGAAAAGAAACATACAACCCTGTCAAACTAGACGCCTCAGAGGCAGTAACATATAGGGGAACCTCTAAGATTTATGATTACCTTTATTAAGGATTGTTTCTAAATAAATTACTAGATAAATCACTAAATAAAATATTAGCTGCATTGTCTGCTGCTAGCCGCCGGCTTAGCTGTCGCCATGTTGAGGCAATAAAAAGCTCCCGATGTTGAAGTATAATTCTAATCTGGGGAGTATTGCGAATTGGCTTTCTGGCTTTTCACAGCAGTAAAAACTCACCGGTTCCCAAAAACAGAACAGTGTAAGTGTTGCCATCCAGCGCCGGCTCCTTGTGAACGACTATCTTCACGTAGTTGACGCTCCTCTTGAACATGAGTGGGCGCACACCTATCGGGTGCACCTGGCCGGCCATCAGTGGGTGCCTCCTGGCGAAAGTGAGGATGTTGTCTGGGAGGTCTCGAGATGAGTTGATGCCCTGGGACCTGTGCACATCCGTTATGCACTGCGCGGGAGATCAGAGGCAGAGCGGTGAAAAGACTGACTTTAATGATGGTAGAGCGAGTTTGGGTTGAGTGGGCGGGGCTTACAGATCCAGGCCTCGGCAGTGGAACTTTCCCCGTGTACTCCCTCCACTTTGAGTCCTGCACCTCCATGAACGGCCCCTCGAACGCCTTCTGCACATCCGAGAAGGCGTACTGGCAGACAGCAGACGCTTTGATATTCTTCCTGAAAGACAGGTTTATTATCTGAGGTCTAACCGCAACCAAAATTGAATTCTAAAAATATCCCAGGGCATAAGGTAACGAGGTTGCTCTTCCTTTCCCTTAGATACCAGGTGGGTGTTAATGTGCTAAAGTTTAGTATTTCACGCCCACATTCCCCTGTTTGACATGAATGAACATCTGGAGGTGGCTTCACTGACAGGTGTGTAATTTTCAGCTCTTTATCTCCAGTAGCTGCTTCCATCCTCTCCATAAAGGAAGAATTTCTTCTCCAGAGTCACACTGAACCCCCCCCCCCCCCTTCCTGCGAGTCCTGAGTGACCATTTGGGGTTTTGGTGAAAGAAAAGATTTGTCCTAGAAGGCACCATGAGGTTTGACCCTGGTGACCCCTAATCTTAAACCCTACAGGTGAGATTAGTATCGGGGGAGAGGGAGTGAGAATCATATCTTCAATCCATTGTGCTCCTTGAAAAGCATTCAGGGGAGGAAGGTGAGATCAAAGTGAAACCCAAATCCCCCAAAACTCACCCCGCAAAAAACGGCGAGTAATTTAGCTCAGAGAGCTTTCTCACCGCAACGCATAGTAACGACTTCTACTCAAAAAGGTGTTTTTTTCTTTTGAGGTTGAGACTGAACACCCACAAGAGGAGGTGCAGCAGAGAGAGATAGTGTTACTGTCCCGCTGATATGCTATCCTCTCCATCACAGGCGGAGCCCCCGCAGGGACAGTTTCATGCCGCATGACTCAGCATTTCACCATAAACACACACTCGCCGGGCATATTCCACCCGCAGCCCTCGTCCCCCGTTGTGACGTCAGAGGACCATCGAGCTGCTTCGAGTTTTGATAACAACTCCCTGTCTCCAGTTGTCAGGAAGCATGCTGAATATGGTTTGGATTAAATGTTGTTTAGTAAAGATTGTTTTTTAAATAGAGAAAATGTTCCCAGAGCCTAAAGGGTCTGACTGCGAAGGGATTGTTTTGTTTAACTAATTGTCCCCAAACACCCCAAAATATTCAAATTACAGTTAAATAAAAAGGATATCCACAAAGTGGAGAAGCTGCAACCATAAAGTATGACACATTCTATGGCATAATTCAATGTGGATAATCTGTTATCCTCTTAAAATGATTTACGTCATAGATCAGATGGTTTTAGTGATTTACTGTGATATTTATAGGAAGAAATGTAGAATTTAGTTAACTTTGGACCAAATTTGGGTCCACAATATCCAAATGCTTTCTGTACTTTGTTCTCAGGCTGTTTTCTTGTCAGTTTGTTTCCAATTGGAAAAAATATTTTAAAAGCTTTGAATTACTAGCAGCAATTTTGCAGATTTCTTCATTATTACTTAAGATCTCTTCAACACTGTGTCAGACAATATTTGTAAACCCCAAAGTTTCCCAACATACCAGATTTTCCAGGCTGAATTAATTGGAAATGTGTATAAAATGAATGAAATTGGAGAACATATTCAACAGCATAGAATAAGAGGATATTTCCAAACTTAAAGTTACTTACGTGGGGAACAAATGTCCATAAGAAAAGCAGAATTTGATGTTGCTTCTTACCATTCCAGGCCAAAGACGCCGTAGAAAACGCTGCTTTGGACGTCTTGGCCCTGCAGGACGAACACACTGCGCAGGACATTGAGGTGCAGCTCGTATTCTGGCACCGAACACACCATTCTGGCCTTGAGGAAAGTGGTCCACTTCCTCTGCAGGGTCCTCTGGCCTCCCCAGTCATTCTTCACACAGAGGAGACAACAAACGCATGGATGGAGGATCAAATAAAAGCCCCTCGGCTGATGTATTCCGGCGTAAACACTTAAAAATAAAACAAACTCACTCTAATCCTGGTGCACACGAATATGGCCACTTATCTGTGACTGTAATAAGAGTTAATGAATGTAATTTAAATAGACAGGAAATGATAATGCACACATCACTGTACACACATAAAGAGAAGGAGGAGGAAGTGGGGAGTCTTATGAAACAGGAGCATAGTGTTAGTGCCTACTTTAGCACATTTGCTCTAATTGCATTTCGGCAGCACCGGGAGGCAAAGCTGCACAAAATCTCTCTCTCTCTCCCTAAAAGTGTAATTTAGCACACCTCATTTAGTTGAGAGGAAAAAAATGGACTGACTACTTTTCTCTTTGTTCATGGGAATTATGGCGCTTTGGCCTCCCACACACAAAAAAAGGAGGCATATGTAAAATAAAAATGACCTCATTAAGACACTTTTTGTCATTCAGTCAGAGGGAAAAGGACAAATGCCTCAAGTCACAGAGCAAAACCTCTGTGTGATTCTGACTGTGTTTTAAACATCAGCTGATTATTATGGGAAGAGCCAAAGGGCTGCACCAATAAATCACAATGGATGTCGATCAAAGCAGCCTCTGGGTCATCGGGCCGCCGTGACGTAAATCCAAGAAAATAAGACTCCAAGTGTATCAGCTTTGAAATTACAACTGGAGGGGGCGGGGGTGGTGTGTGTGTGTGTCGGTAGGGGGGTGAGGGGGATTAAGTCAAAAAAGACATGATGGACTCAGCTTGAGTCAGACGGGAAGTCGGTTTCTCAAGATTTCTTTTATTGCTTTACATATATAGAGTATCAAAATAGCCGATTTTAAATAAAGCCAGAATGACAGACTGATTTCTGCTCTTTAGTTTCCGGAAAAGAGGCGTTCTTCCGTGCGATTTACGCCCCTCTCTGTGCAAATAGGTCACGATCGCAAAGTAGCTGCAGTCCGAGGGGGAAGCGACAGACAGAACTGAACAACTGGTTATGCAGCTCAAAAATGGAAAATCTTCAGCGGTTTCAGGCCAGAGGCGACTGCCAGGGCTCTTCGCTATCTGCAGATCTGCCAGTGGGGCCGAGCTGGGGACTCGACATCTGCATGTGCTGCTTTTTTGGCCTAGTTCAGACTGAGTTATTACACCCTCGATGGCCTCTGACAACTCCAGGCCGCCGACGAGGGGAGAGAAGACCGCGAGTCCACACGCTGTATCCAGAAATGATTTATTTTGGATGCAGAGAGAATCTTAAGGAGACAAACTGTTTTCAGTCTAAAAAAATAAGTTTAGAAAGTTCCGAAAAATGTCCCTGACTGTAACTCGACGGGAGAAAATGTGCGGTGAAAGTAAAGTATTTAAATGTGGAACCAAATAGAGAAAATAAATGATGAATGTTCAAACATTTTACTACTACTTTTCAGTAACGCTTCTGACGCCAGATATTGTTCATATACATGATGTGGTGAAAAAGCCACACAAAGACCTAAAAACTTTGAAAGATATTGAGTAATAAATCTTTGGAAGAAAACAAAGCTATCTTTGTCCCGATTCCTTTGCTGGATGTTCAAAGTAGTTACTCAATATGCAGCTTTCACGTTCATTTCTTTTTGTCCCCTCGTACATCCATTCAAATCATTTTCGCATTCTGTCAACTGCAGGGGTTCACTTCCTAACATCGTTTTCACAGCAGCTCACCAGAGTGTTTTGGAAAAACGGCAACGGTGATTTCAGCACAACGGCACACTGTGACAGTAATTACACCGCCATGCACGGCTAAAAGAAACAACGGGGAGGAAGAACGAGAGTTGCCGGGCATGCTGTCTAGACCGGAGAGGCTGATCGCAAGTGAAATGAGGAGGAGGAGGTGGTGGTGGTGTGTGTGAGGGTAGATGGAGGAGGGCGAGATGGCAATAAAGAGACGGAGAGGGGGGGAAGGGGGGGGGTTGCCATTGGAGGTGGCTGTAGGTGGACTTGTAGTTTGCCTGGCAACAGCAGCACAGAAAGAAGTGGAGAAACCCCAGTGTGGAGACACCCAACCACTGGCTCACTCCACAGTGGCAGAAAGCTCTGCAACTGTGACGTAGAGCACTAAATAATCCCACCGTTTGTGCACTTTCAATAACTTTTTCTCCTCCTTCATCTTCCTTTTCTTTTCACGACCTTGCAAGCGACGTGAGCCTTGCAAGGTCCCAGAGGATCCATTAATACGATTATGGCGAGTATTCGGGTTAGCTGCTCGGGCTGACCTTGCAGACTCGGGCCACCCTGGACACCTTGGTCTGGCTCGGGTAGGCGATCTGCTCCTGGCTTCTCTCCGTGAAGAAGAAGTAAATCTTGTCGTCGTCGCCGATGGAGCTGTTGACGCTCTCCTTCAGCAGCACGGAGCCAACGAAATCGGCCTCTGCGTGTGCACAAACATACACACAAGACACGCGCTCAGATCCACATGTCCAAACAGAGATCTAGCCTTGGGAGTGTCTCCCTGGAAACCAAAGATGGAGCGTTTAAGTATGATTGCATTGTCACAACTAAGCCAGTTAGAGCTGCAGCGCAGTGCAGTTTTTTAATGTGATTTTCAATCAGAAAAAAAATATCAATCAGTTTTTATAGTGAAAGCAAAAACATCCGATGAGCTAAAAATGTATAAACATGGCAATGAGGTTTGGTTTAGTAGTTCACTGTGAGCCAACTGAGGGAACCAGTGTTTTACACTCATTTATGATCTTCGACCTGTGCTGTTGTATTTACCCAGAAGCCACCGGGTGGGGGCCTCCTCTGTCCTGAGCGTGGGAAAGGGGAAGTTTCTGCGCACGTCTGGAGAGCTGCGAAACTCGTACTGGGAGGCCGTGAACATCTCACCGTCTGGTCCACAGAGAGACAGAAAGGAAACATGAGTTAAATCTGATTTAAATGGAAGCAGTTGGCAGGCTGCTGACTGAGTATAACTGACCTATCACCTAATGTGGGTGTAATATGTCTAAATGGCATTTACATTTTCTATTTTGGAATATATACTCATGCTTCTCTCTACATCCACTGTTCAGCCGCTGCGTCAAGCGCTGTAATCCGTTTCACATTATACATTCATGGCAAATACATGCTAAACTAAAAATATGTACATCAACTACACGAGGACCAATTAGAGTGTCAGATAATCACGTTCAAATTCATTATAACAGTGATTATAATGCATTCATGTATTACAATTATGGGAATTATAACACATAATCTCATCATTGTCGATGTCTGTGAGTGAGTATTAGTCACAGCATGAGCCTTCATGATACCCGACCTTATAAGTCATTATACAATGCTTTATAATGTGTTTGAATGCTCATGAGTGCAAAAAGCAATTAGCAGTATACCACGTGAAGAAATGATAAGACTTTCAATCAGTATTTACGAATGTATACCAACCGTTTGGTTTCCTATGTTAGTTTTTTTGTTCCAATGCCTCTAGAAAAACAAAGTACAAAAAACCCCGGAAAGCTGGGAGACGCACCAACGAGGAGGCCGGTGAATCCCATCGCCGGGTCGTAGGGACACCTGTCCCTGCCCTCCTCGAAGCCGGACGAGAAGCTGAACCGCTCTGCGTCCTTACAGACAGGGAAAGGGGGGTTAATCACTTGCATTGTGATCTAGGCAGGATTTCACTGAAAGGACATCAGACGAGGTCTTACTATGTAAGCACAAAGAGGTCGGAAGGCGTTTGTTCCACAGACGTACAGGTGAGTCTCATTGAATCGCTGCAGAAAGCGGATTTGATTGTAGCACTCGGTCTGCAGGGGAGCCGAGAAAAACAGGTTATTTAAGTCCATGCATATATATATATTTATATTCATTTTCTTCTCTTCTCTTCTCTTTAGGAAAAGGGATCAAAGAAGCCATTTAAAGGATTATCCACTTTGCTGCAGTCAGAAGCCATATGCACATGTCAAAGCAGGGTGTTTCATTTATGATCCCTAATAAAGAGTTTTTACAAAAGAACAAAGGGCTGAATAATGGGGAATGTAATAAAAGTTGAATATAAATAGCCAAGTACCTGGTTGTCTCTGCCTTTGTTTAGACACTGCTTCTTCTGTTCGGGGGAAGCATCCCAGTAAATCTGCAAAACAACGGGGACTGATTTAGCAGTGAATAGAGAGGGAAACATAGATGGATATATAAGATCTGTGGAAAGAGAAGAACGATGAATAGATGGAGAAAACCAGAGCGTGAGATGAACAAGAAGAGAGAAAAGAGCGGCTCACTTTGTTTTGAGTCACAGAGCTCCAACCCTTAATAAAACGCCTGCTGCTTTTAATCCCATATCCATTAAAAAAAAGGGACACAATGGGATTCGCTGAATCTGCTCATGGCTAATATTAGTTTGTCCTTGGTGAGGAAACATGGGCGGAGCTCACCGTGAGGTTGGAGGTCGTGGAGATGTCGGAGGTGTTGAGCGCGTGCAGGGCTCCTCTGCCTCCCACATACAGCAGCCCGCTCTCCTCCTCCAGCAGGAGGGTGCTGTAGTTACGGGAGGAGCCGGTGTAGCTGGCGCTGCCCAACAGACCTGCAGATGTATGCCGTGCGTTACTGTACAACAACAACAACAACCACCACAACAACGAAGTCTGCGCTTTTAGTTTGACGCCATCAAAGGACAATCCGCTCGACCGCCTGAGCCACGGCCGCCCGTCAATCACAACGGCCCTGTGCAGAAAGCTGAACCTTTTTATACATCAGGTACATGTAGCTCTGTAATATCTCTGTTTTGTGTGATGCAACTGGGCAAAGGGGAAGTGATCCGGTATTTAGTTCCCTTAATTAACCTACAACAGTTTTCCTGATCTGCTCATGTAAATAGTTTCCCTATTGAAGTTTCTATATCGTTACATAAACAAAATACCTGGCTTAAATATGTGTGCATTGTGATATTTTGGAAGATCAAGCAAAAACAGACAGTGTGCTACAGCAGAGACTACGAGTATCTCCTTCCTGAAAGTCTGCAGAAAAAAATAGTTTTGCTAAGTTTCTCAGTACGACTGCTTGTCTTTTGAAAAAATTAAACGTAGATGCATTAAGAAGTTTGTCTTATTTTGTCAAACCTCGACATTTTATTGGCGATGTTTGATATTCCTCACGCCGAAGTTCTGAAAAACGTGTAGTTTTGTCATCATTCAACATCCCCATCTTGACTTTACACTCATTGGAGAATTGAACAGGCTCAATGTGTCCGCAAAAGGCTCAACGGCGGATCTGGGAGACGTGGGGGGAGCGAGGGGGAGAGGATGGGGGAGGAGATTGGTGGGGTGATTGCTGAGTAGACTGCGGGTGAGCGAGGTGATGGCAGCAGCACAGGGGAGGCCACATTTTAGGGCATTCAGCAGGAATCATGCCCCAGTAATGCCAAATCACATCAGTCGCCACAGCCTCACCACCCATGTATGTTTTGTGTGTGTGTGCATGTGTGTGCGTGTACATAATGTAGGAGTGAGCAGACACACCGATTATTAATCCAATTCAAAAATAATTGGCGGGTGCACTTAACTAAATATTTAAACAAGCTCCAGTGCAACACCTCAGAAATGGGGGCAGGTCGCTCCGCTACTGCGACACAATGAAAAAGGAGGGCATCGCTTTTTCTCCCTCAGAGAAGCAGAATGAAGGTTTCCAGAGCTTTGATTTGGACCAAATGTCCAAAACCCCACGTGTAGAAAGAACAGGTGAGCATTTTCATCTCTTTCTCCTCCTGCCCCCCAAAGCAACAAGAAACACTGACATTTACCCCCCACCGATCGCCTTTACTCGCGGTGGGAAGTCCTCTGATCTGCTCTTCTGTTCAACGTAACGCAGCGAGACGGGTCGAGTGCAGCTGGCAGCGATTCGAGGTGACCTCTTGTATCAATTTATATTTCACGCATTTCAGTTTGAGCTACGGAATTAGATCAGGGTTTAATTTCTGTCACCTCAGCAGCAAATGAGAGAGAAATACTCCAACATGACGGGATCTAAAAACGTGAATTGACCAAACATGAAAAAAAAGTGTGTGCTTGTATAAGCGTACAATAAAATGTCTCTTTTTCTTTTCTTATCAGACAACAATGTTGTGATATTCCAGCTTCAGATCCTCTTTGATTGAGACAAAGACAAAAGCGCGGTTGGTTATGGACCGACACCTTCAAAAGGGCCCTAACTCATAAAAACTCAACAGCAGCACAAAACACACGATGAGTAACGCTACGCATGACTGGCAAACTCATTGTGATGCATGAAATTGGCAGAGTTCCCCTTTAAATCAGGAACCATCCAAAAAGGAGGCATCAAGTGCATCCTCCGGCATGCGCGGAAATATCGCTTAGGATGACGAGTAGAAAGACAACACTTTCCAATCAGGATTCCAAACGAGATCATCAAGATTTGAGATCAAACGCAGAAACAAAAAAACAAAACCACACACGCTTCAATGTTCCCGACTGTCCTCGACTATCTCAAGTACCACCGGAGCGTTTCCTGCTGTAACACGCATGCACAATGACCGTGATGAGAATGGGGGCGGGGGGCCGGCCTGCTTTGAGCTTGCGTAACACAACAAGATGAAAAGTGTTTTCGAGTTTGCCCGTCACCACATGAAGGACGTTTATTCCTCCCCCACATGGCGGGCGGCGGGTTTGCCCGTCCCGGGACCTCCCTGGGGTGAGGACAAGGCAGACCTTAATTCAGCCTGGAAACCCCCCCCCCCCCCCCCCCCGCTTTCCGCCCACCCGCCCGCCCGCCCTCCTCTCGGCTCGTCGCCCACAGACAGACGACCAAGGAGACCCCGCTCGCAGGTGGTCAGTCGCTGGGTTGTTATCCCGCTGAACGTGAAACCGACCATAAGCACGACAGCCCGGGAGAAACCACACCGGGAGGAGGACACCCAGATGTTACACGAGAGTTAAGAAATGATGCACGCCTCTCCAACTTTGTAAAGAGAAGTCATCACCAAATACTCACATGGCACTTGTGAAACTGATTTTCAGGAAAGTTAAATAGTGAACAGTCTAATGACGACGTCAGGGCTTTACAGTCTTACCTTGGACTGCTGTGTCAAAGCCAATCAACTAATGACACAATCCGTTCACAATTAGACTGCTGAGTGTCATCAGGTTGTGCTCATGTAAAGGAAGCTTTCAGTCTGTGTACGTCTTTGTATACGTTTCCGGGTTGTGTAGTCTGGTGAAAAGTTGTGAAACCTTATGTAACTCTCAATGAATCCCGTCACCCATTTTTGTAACGTTTTTTTATTTCTCCTACATGGTAAGTCAGATTTGAGTGAGCAATGCGCAGCTCAGCTCACGCAGCCAAAGGTCAGGACACGCCGGGGGGGAAAAGCCTTGGTCTCTATCTTATATAAATAGCGCTTTGTGATTTAACGAGCGCGGCGCCGATGAGAAGGTCCGCAGTGACGTACACAACGTCAGCGGCCTCAAGGCCGGAAGAGGCCCGGCGACCTTGGTCTTGGTGGGATTTTTTTTGGGGTGCAACTTCACACACCCGATGACCCTCGACCTTTGGGGACAACACAGATGTTCACTTTACTCTGAAGCACAGGAGAGGAACTCGTAGGGCTTCAATCACAACCAGTCCCTCAGATATGTGTGGAAAACTGACCAAACAGGTATAGTTTTCCCCTCATGGACACACACACACACACACACACACACACACACAGGAAGTAAAAAAACAGGAGCCGCTTGTGTGAAAATCACTTATTTTAATTTCAAGAGCGATGTCACAGTGTGTCCTCCAGAGCTGCACTCATAAGCACCCTCTGATCTGACGCCATTATCTTCGTTGAGGTTCGGGGAGCCGCGTCGCCATGGAGACAATAACAGCCGCAAACAATCCGCGTGCACACAGAGATTCGCTCAAAGCCAACTAATGCAGCTTCCAGGTGTTCATCTGTTGTGTGACTTTATTTTATCTTAAGACTTTTTCTTCAGACTGTTAATGGCCATTTCTGTAATTTACTGAGTTGCAGGGATGTAAAAATAAATAAAAATGAGTTAAAAGAGGCTAAAAGGTGCGAAGTGTGACTTTAAAGACTGAAACTCAACATTGCAACAGTTTTATCAGCATTAGCATGACCATAAAATTAGTAACAGAACCATTTTTTGTTGACCTACTCGATTATCCTACTGTTAAGTATCCACACACACACACACACGCACGCACTCACACACACACACACACACACACGCACGCACTCAAACACAGCTTGTACTTTGCAGCAAAATCAATGAGGAAAGTCAACAGAGCGCTGAGGCGGGCCAGAAGCCTCTCAGCCCACTGGCTGGTTTCTATTTACTGTTGTCATCCTGTACGCACTTGTGTAAAAGTGTGTGTATGTGCGTGTGTTAAAATCGGTTTGTGTGATCTTTCAAAACAACTGCCACCTGGAAACATCTGTCCGTTTTTCCAGCACACACACACACACACACACACACACACACACACATTCTCACTTATTTCACCCTTTGTCTGTCACCTCAAAAAAGAGTGAAGAAATTTCAGTCAGTGACTCAGAAGATCTAAGGAGCGTGTGCCTCTGTGTGTGTGTGTGTGTGTGTGTGTGTGTGTGGGGGGCTTCAATATTAAGCCGTCACAGGTGGCGCGTCCAGAATGTGCGCCCTCATGCTCAGACATATTTGTAAACCTCCATGTGGGATGTGAGATGATAGTAAATCCAGTGCGTGTGTTACTTCTTGTGTGACTCACTAGACTCACTGTGGTGACGCACACACACACACACACACAACACACACAACACACGTGCCTTCTGAAAATATTTGGGAACAAAGGCTGGAAGGAAAGACAAACTTAACTTCTTTGGACAGCTTCAGAAGTGTCAGATGTCGTCAACTCTGTGCACATTATATAAGCACATCTCCTCTTCTTCACCAGCCTCCAGTCAATCAACACAACGACAAGTTATATAAGAAACCGCGCACGACTGGCTGTTCTAACGTGGCAAACAGAGGCAAAGAAAGCAAAGCACAGAGTGTTTCCTCCGTTTTGGCCTCCATCGTTGACAAATCCATTATTTCTAAGTGCATAATTATTGAGGATAATATCGTTACCAATTACTGCAAGCAAATACGCCAGCTGGGTTTTCATAGTTTGTCAGAAAAACAAAACAATAAAAACACTGTTGCTGTGGCGTGCTAAAGTTGACAACTCAATATTATTGGCTTCAACAACACCAGAATAAAACCTTATTAAGATATAAAGAGAAAACATGAAAACTTGTATTGAAAAAATAGAATAGTGGCATGAATACATTTAGGACGTTGGTCAAAAGTATTCATATGAATACATATTTGTATGTGATTGACAAAAAAGGAAAGGGACATCAATATATGTTTAAATAAGATTGTAAATTGCTATCCATACTTAATAGAGCGGTCCACCTAGAATAACAATAATAAGTACATCTTTTCTCACTTTCCTTTTATCACTCCATGCAGATAGTCCTGGTTTCGTCGGTGCAGATTTTCTGTCTTTTAATCGTGTTCCACCTTCTATTTCTGGATCAGATCATACTGTCCTCAGGTGTGTTCAGAGTTGCCGAACTTGCAGGTTTCAACAAGGTTTTTCTTTGGGTTTTGAGTTTCATTTTCCACAGCTGTGACAGCGACGCCACTACGTGTTTGTCTTCGTGGCTAAACGCGGCCCTGGAGGGGTACTATGGTACGCGTTTGTGCGTCCATCGGTTTGTCTTTGGACAGACGAAGACACAAATCTTTGCTGGGGTTTATCTGAGGTTGTAATGAAGACCGAGCTTGGAGAAGTGTGAGATAAAATCATTATTTATTACATCTATACATTTCCGCAATGAAAGCCCTTTTGACATGTATGGATACAAATAGAGCTAAATGCAGAAGATATAACAAATTTGGGCAAACAAACCCGAAGATGAATATTCATGCTCCACTTGTAACTTGTCATTGTGAATAAACATGTTGTCAAAAGTGTCCTGTTGGTCACTTCGTTTCACAACACGTCTCACGTTGCATCCCAAACTTTTGTACTTGTAGGACTGTTGAATCGGGGAGACAGCGGCAGGAGACTAAAGACGACCTTGACTTTCATCTCTCAGAAAGGAGCGTCAGCCTCACAACACACAAACAGTCCCTGTGTTGTTTACCAGGGAATCACCAATAGGATCTTGTCGGATTCATTCCTCCGAATTAGATCAAAACGTCATGGCGGTCTCAGTGGATTTAGGAGTTCAAAACATCAGACGTCACCACGGGGAGACAGATAAAAGAACAAAAAAAAAAGGTGCAACAGCGCCGAGATTAAACAACTTCGGTCAAAGCAGCCGCGGTCGAGCTGAAATCAGAGTAAAACATCCACTTTTTCTTTGCAAAAGTCCGAACACTGGATGAAGAAAACTCTTCATCCACCAAGTTATAAATACAACCACAGCAACCAGAGTGCTGACAAAATAAAGCTACAGTCGAGACTGTATCGGCCTCCTCGGCTCGTCACAGCGTCACCAGACAACTTACAGTGCATCAATATTTCACAAGCGCATTACTTCAGGTCTGGTGGGAGGGAAAGCAGGAAGCCCCGATGGGCCACCAGCAGAGCTCAGAACACAGTCACGCATTAATCTCAACATCTGGGAGGAAAAACAACAACACCACTGTCCACGACGTTGGTTTGACGCCGCGCCACGATTGGCCAGTCCACGTTTTAAAAAAAACAACTAGTATGTAAATCGTTTTGTTAGTACTTAGTAACATTTTATTTGTCGTCATTCAAATACGAGAGTGCAAAAAAGTCATCTTGTGCTATTTTCCTCCCTCCGACGCGGCCCGTCCCTGCACGCCCACTCACGCAGCCCTTCTGCGAGGCATACTTGAAATGAATGAGCGCCCCCTCACCCCAGCTGTGAAACATCATAAGAATCCTGCCCCCTGCAGCCCGCCAATAGGTAGAGACACCCACGTCCAGCATCCATCCCCTTTACATGTGCAGTCCTGCAGCCCCCCCTCCCCCCCCCCCTCCCTGGTCTAAACTGAAACGGGTGAACAGGGGAACATTTTACATGAAGAGACCAGATGCATCCACACAGTCATCTCCTCAAACAAACACACACATGGAGGTTGACAGAACGCATGGCGACACATGCACCCCCTCCCCCCCACCCCCCCATGCACATCCCCTCCCCAAAGGTTTAGAAATTAGGTCAAGGACGACTTCCTTCCAGGGCAAAGAGAAATAATTCTGAGAGATTGACTCTGTCTGCCCGTACAGAACAAACGTGTAATCTGTGTGTATGATCTATAACACGCAGCCATGTGTAAAGAAACAGCCGGGGGCTCGACGGTTGGAAGGAGACCTCCGGAGCAGACGAAGGGTTCTGTTCATGCACTCAGAAACAGACGTAATGAGGCTTAATGAATTGAACATCCTGTCCCATCTAAGGAACCCGTCGGAGTTAATTGACCGTGTCCCATTTTTCGATGTCGTTGATAAAAAAAACAGCACTGACATCGCATTAGCAATCCCTTTACTGCTCCCATCGGGTGAAGTAAAACAATAAAAGTAGTTCCGTGTTTAGTGGTTGTGTTTCTCAGTGCTGCCACAAACACTTTTTCCTGAATATTCTCTGCAGCAACAACCAATCAGTTCATGTGAAGCACGGCTTGGAGGAGTAATATTTCCTCCCCCTCCCTCCCTCCAGTATAATACATATTACTTTTTTGCAATCACTCCTTTCATAAACGCACAGAAAAGCCGCAATGTTTTTTTTTTAAACTCCTCCTGGATGTTCTCTTCTCGCCGAGTGATTGTGATTCAGACCGTCTCCATCGTCAACCCGCCCTCTAATAACACTCCTCCCCACGGGGGGGGGTTGAAGAGGAGAGGAGTGGAGGCAGGAGCACAGCCATCCGGCCAGTCCGCCGGCGCTGGAGTTCCCCCGTCCTCGCTGCAGTGCCGCAGTGATGAGGAGAGAGAGGTGGGCGTGGGGTGGGGGTGGAGGGGAGGAGGAGGTGGAGGCGAACCGGGGTCAAGCCAGAGACAGGGTGAGGTGGAAGGAGGAAAGTGCCCACGATGTGTGCAAAAGAACACGCCTGTGCCAAAATACGTCTCCATCAGCTGTACCTTCCATAGGGGGGAGGGAGGGGTGGGGGCACTCATCAGGTCTTTTTGCACAAGGCTCGCTGTCTATCGTTTCAGGAGAAGTGTCTGCCGAGCCGTGTGATCTAGGACAGGGCTTGAGAGAGGCGATTAATAACTCGGTGCATGAAGGAGCCGTCTTCGGGGGGGGTTGGGGGGGTCGGGGGGGGGCAACTTTGAAAAGTGTGCCACTGCTTTAACGAGGAGGGGAGGGAGGAAGGAGAAGCTTCGAGTAAGGACACTGGGGCGAGTGCGTTGTGGCACCTGTGCACGCGTGCGGATGCATATGGAACGGTGCATTCAAGGTCTGACACGCTGCCCCCGCAAACATATTAGTGCATTCTGTTCGTGCTCGGATTCTTTGACTACGTTCTATTTAAGGGATGAAGATGATGGCATGTTTTGGAACTCCAGTTCCCATAATTATCGTAGGGATGAAGAGTGACACAGGGAGCTACAAGAGGAGTTATGTTGAGCCGATATTCTTTGATATGAGCAAATTAGCATGCCGAACTATCTGTTAGCAGCATTAGTTGGCAATGTAACCTTTAATGTCCGATGTTGGACATCGAATATATATCGACATCCTCAGAAACAGTCTCACTGAGTCTCAAAATGTGTTTTATGTGTGTTTACCGACGAGTTCAAGCTGTTAAACCGGAAACACCAGTGGGCCGCATTTCAATAACGAACTTCTCGTCTGTGGAGCATGTTCCTCTCGTTCACCTGCCACCGAAATGTGTGTTTCCCCTCACCTTTAGAGAAGACAGTGGTCCTGGGAGTGACGTCCAGGTCCAGGGACGGGCTGAAGGGGAAGGCCCACAGCTGTGACATCCTGGCGAGGAGCGTCAGGAGCAGCAGCGGGGGCAGGAGGCGCTGGACTGACCTCTGGTCTCCCATGGTTACCCCGCACGGCCGGGGGTCCAAGCGCAGCCTCGCTTCCTGCTCAATTGGTTAGCAACGTGCTCCTTCAGGCCCAGCGGTGAGCAGATGCAGCAGACGCTTCGATTATCCTCTGGCTGAGGAAGAGAAAAAAAAACAAGGAGAGGAGAGAAAGTGATCCATCAGAGCAAGCCGGCCGCTGCTGTTTGGGAGATCAATTGAACACAAAATGGGAATTTGTAGAATAAACACTCGACTGCCTGAGGGGAAATACTGCACTTATTAGTGGAATTAACGTGTTGTTTTAAGGTCAGTTGTTGGAAAAAGTACTCCGATCCTTGACTTAAGTACAATCAATAGTCCTTCATTCAAAATCCTACTTATGCAAAAGAACAGAAGCACGAAGCAAAGTGTGATACATGGTCAAAGTACTCATTATGTCAAATGGTCCCTGTGAGTCTTTAAGTTATTTAAATGAAATAATATTGAAACTTTCTTCCCTTCTTGACAGGAGGCGATGGTGAATTACTCTCTGATTACAACCAATTAGCCAAAGTGAACGAGTAGAGTCGCGTGCTGTTACATTGAAGACCACTTAAGAAGTATTGTGAGTTAAGTTGCTTTGCATCACGCGACTCCACCTCTTAATTGGCTGCGTTCACAATGAAGCAGCGCGACGGATAATCTGCGGATAATCTACAGATTAGGCCCCCGTGCCAACAACTCAATATCCGCCCGCCGCCCCGCATCCTCCTCCGGCTCAGTCCCTGATCAAAGGGTCAACACTGTGAATCCCCGGCCCGCCGCATTGAGACACTGGAGAACTCCCAGTTTAATCTCCACGGCTGCTGCTGGTATTCACTGGCAGCGAGAAGCGAGGGGGGCTGTCGGGACCCCCCCGCTGCGAGCAGCGCGGGGGTCTGAGCTTTGAGAACCGACCTGTCAGGGGACAAAGGGAGAGACGAGACGGGAGAGAGGTGACGCCGGTGATGCGATCCACTCACCTTGAGATGCTTGATTTTCACTAAACTAAGTAAAACTCGCGGCAAAATGACGTCGCGTTCAGCTAAACGCTTGCTCAGTTTCAGGCATTTTTTGGGGGGACTGGGAACTGCAGGCCCAAAAGGATCATCGCCGCTCGTACAACCAACAATTCGTGTGATGGAGTCGATCAACCACAGGTGCTGGAGGAGAATCTCCATCACCAGGGTTGAAGGAGTACCGCTTGCCAGCCGTTATTTCACAAGTGATCCAAATCCATGCAGCAGAACCAGATAACCTCCTTTTTATTCCACACACACACACTTCGTACCTGGCAGATGGTCGTGCCTCCACAAAGTGAAACTACACCCCTGTCAGTGCGTTGAGAGATTCGGGTGTAGCCACCAGTGTGGCCTCAAGCCAGCAGCAGGCTAAAGTGGTCTTTTTAAGCTTATTTGTTTCTAACTTTCACAGCTGTCAGCTGCTGCCTTGGCTCGCCACACATTGAACACCGTTTTGTTTCAACACATACGCATTTGCCTCGTGCACGGCAGCGCCAGGCGAGGACGTTGTGGCCTCACCGATGAAAGCTTGGAAAGTAAACACATCTGCCTCGGCGGCGGCGCGGCGCGGGGACGAGAGGAATCAGACAAAAACCAGCAGGAGACGCCTGAGGTGCCTTCTCCTGAACAAAGAGTGTCGGCTACCGCCGGGTTGATTGATCTGCAACGGATCCGCTGGGATGTTTTAATTCTGGAGATCGTTGAGCATCCTGAAAGCCCACAGAAGAGATTCGCAGTACGATAGAGCTGTTGTTTTTTTTTCAACAGGACCAATTTGCAAAGCACCCAGACACATTTCTGCAGAAAGATCGATGAGCTGTTGCTGTATTCGCTTTAAACTGATCACACCCAAAATGCCAAACACAATGTGACACTTTAGTGTCAAAGCCATCAACCGACACAGAGTGAATTAATATACTTCATGGAGGACATTGTTTATTATAATCTCAACTTGAATTAATTTGTGTTCTTTTTCTTCTATCTTTAGCCCAAACCATTGGGAGTTGGAAGGCAGCTAAGCCATAAATGAGATTTTTCTTACATTATAGGAAGAACGAGTGGGTTCAACCTGGTGGCCACATTTACTGCAATGTGGAGAAATCTTAACACACATCTTCTCAAAGAAGCATGAATGCATGATGGCGTTGCCAAGGATCTGCCTCTTACATTGAACATATAAAGGATTGGAAGAATCGCTGTGTATAATGCAGCTATGGATATACACACATATATACAAGAACATGCCGTGATTCTTGACTCGAAAATCGATACATTCCAATTTTGGAGCACTTAAGGGCCATTTAATGTTCAGATGGGTCAACGTTTATGACGAAATAACAGACATTTTGATTTGACTATCAGAGTAAGTATATCCTCATTGGGAAACTAAGATTGTCTTTCAACTTGTTCTCCATTATAAGACAGACACACAGTTAGTGTGTCTGTATGATCTAGTTTCACATATTGTGGAACGGCTTTAATAATGGTTAGTGAATTCGTTGTCTGGCTTGTTTAAGCCGACAGATTTGGGGTTGCCAGGTTGTGGCTGGTTTTTAGGTAGCTCCTAAATCTATCATGAAGACCTCTCCAATGGTCTGTTTGACCTCTGACCTTCTGCGGTGATGTGCTGCAGGGATCTGACTCACAATTAATTCACAATCAACTTACTAATATTTACAACTGTAGACTTTGTGGATCACTTAAAGCTCCCATTAACATTAGGAGAAGACCTACTTTTGCTGATGATTGGAAAGTGAGGAACGTTTGCTTTCATTTTTAATAACTTGATTTATATTTGGTGATGCAAGATAATATTTACGTATTTTTTGTGTACCTGAAGATGTTAGTCTTATGTTACTTTACACTTCTAATACACAATATTTGAGAGAGAAACTTAGCTTCTCCACCTCGACCTATAAGAACAATGCAACCGCTGTTAAACGCATGAATGCACTAATAGCTTTTTATTATAAAAATACGACAACAGATTCATTTAGCATAATTTCATGTGACAACAGATTTGATTTCATCTGATACTATTAAGCAGTAGAATTGAGCAATTACATTATTTTTCAACCACGACCCCACTCTCAAATGAATGCTTTTATTTTGAATGAACCATTCTAGAAAGTAGAAAAGTAACTAATTCAAACAAGGTTCTCACGCATGTCCTAACATGACGTATCGGTAATTAGGTTTAAGGAACAACAAACCAGTGAACATACAACTAACAAATATCCACCTTCTACCTACATTAAGACACCAACACGTCCCGTGTGTGATTCTCCACCGGTGACTTTCAGAAACAATGAGGTCAGCTCGTCAGCAGCTCCGGGACCGACAGAAACACAACAGCACCCCGTCCCCCCCAATGTGCACCTGTCCGGCCGGACTCCCGCACTGAGGTAAAACAGCGCTGCGCGTTATTCACCTTCATCTGAGTGAAGACGCAGGTGCAGGGACGTTGATTTTTTTTATACATATTTTTTTTTTGGCGGAGGGCGGCGCGGAGTTCAAACAATCACATTCGAATAAAGAAACCTCGGGGAAAAGCAGAAAAAAATAAAAACTCACCGGCTTTTTTGTGTGTGTTTCCTGGAATCCACAAATATCCTCTGAAGCGTCCTCTGCGCAGCGAGCTGCTCTGCTGCTGCAGTTACCCAATGGTGCTCACACACAGCAGCCCCCACCCCCTACCCACCTACCCCTCTCTCTCTACCTCTCTCCCCCCCTCTCTCTCTCTGTCACACACACACACGCGCACACGCACGCGTATTGGAGGCACAGCCCGCATGAATCGACCCATCTGTAGTTTCCTGATTTTGTGGTTTTGATACATAAACGCTGGGGTTGATGTTCTAAATGCTAAAATAAATCTGATGAGAATAGCTTTTCGCATGTTAAGAGTATGACAAATTAAAGGTCACTATAATGTATAAATAATTGTTTTTTTCATTCATGTTTGAAAGTTCACTGATTCTTTCTTGTTTTACCCGGAAGCTCAATTGAAGCTTTAATGAAGGTCAAATATAACTTAAGGCACGCTACAATATGTATGTTTTTACTTAATTAGTCATGAAAAAGTTAAACAACTATGAATGCTTTATAATGACATTATTATCGCATTCTTCCTTACTGATGCATATTTCCAGGTGAATGATATAGAAACGCTTTTCATAGAACACTTTCTTGTCATTTCGACCCTCCAGCGTGTCGTGAATCCAGCCGGGGTTGCATGCGCGCGATCTGTTTGCGCCCCCTGCTGGAGAGCAGGCGCAAATGTCCCATGTCCATCACACGACGGCGCTTCATTCATTGGCCTATTTAAACAAATGTTGCAGGACTGTGCTCCGGATTATATTAAGACACAGTTTCATTTAAAATAACGGCAGATAGTGCGATGATAACTGAAATAAACGCATGTGTTCCTTTTTCTTGACTGATTTGAACCTCCAATCAAACCAGCAAACAACAACAACACCCAACTCTGCCTAATAGAACGTATAGTGTAATTGCAATATTGTGTTCAATGGCAAGACAACGAGCCCGGATTTATTTCCAAACGTCTCTTCTTCTCTTTTGTTTGTATTTCCTTGGTTGCCTTGATTCCCCTTTCTTGACTCACACAAACCCAGCGGGGGGGGCGCGCGAGTGACCGAGTGTAGGACTCATGACGTCGGCCTGTCCGTGTCTCGCGCGCCGGTCTCCTCCTTCCAGCCGGACACACACACACACACACACAGCCGCCGCCGCTGACGAGCGTTCAACCGGTTTCGTTCGGGTCGTGTTCGCAGCTGTTTTCTCGGTGAGTGACATACATGTGTTTTCTCTGTGATGGATTCACGTGAACCGAGTTGGTAGCGTGTTTATCTCCGGTTAACCGCCCCCGAGCGTTAAACGCTATCGTTAACCAGCTAATGTTAGCCAATGCTAGCGTTTCAATTCGGCTAGCTTGTGCTAACCACTAGCGGAAGCCCAATAATCGATGGGTCGTAGTTATCGATCTCGTGTTATCGCACAAGGTGGACTACATGTGGCTTTAACGGACCAGAGGGCGACTGTGACATTAGTCACAAGTTCATGTGACGTTATTAAATAATAGCTAACGTTAAATAAAGTTAACTGTTAGCAAATTAAGACCACGCCGACTAACGCTGGTTTCGTTTAGCATGTTGCACCGTTTAGATTCAGCGAAAGTTTTGGGCACGATTGGGACCTCGAATAATGGGATGATTGAAGTCCCCCTTTGTGGCCGATTTCAATGAGGTCTATTTTGAAGTTTTGCCATCTGAGATCCTGGTGTGAATGGGCGGCTTTGCACGGAGGTTGACAATGACAAGAGAAAGAATCGCATCGCCTTGAGACACTGTTGTGTGGATCAGAGCAGTCTGGTGTGAATAGGAAGATGAAAGCGCAGCTCAGTCTGAAGAGACACCTGAGGATCGTGTGACTTCCTTTTATTAGTATCCCTGTGAGGAAGACCAGCGTTTTGTGTGAGGCTGAGTCTTGTTTTACACACAGACACACACACACAACAGCTGGGCGTGGGCCAGAAGAGACAGAAGCAGCGGCCCCATAGCCCTAAACAACTTTAATGGGCACCTACCATCCCATTGCTATGGAAATAGCTCCCTTTTGCTAAGCTCAAACTTCTGTGGAGACGGAGACCGCCAATAACGCCCAGAAATATTTCACCCTACTGAAGACGGCTCTCGATTCCCTCCCCTTGTGCTGCGCTCCCACAGGCCACGATGATGATGATGAGGTGGTGGTGACCTGGGGGTCGGCCAGGCCGTGAGATGGTTGCAGCTTGGCTCAGAGGAGACTGAGAGCGGAGAAGAAGAGGAAGAATGGGCAGGAGAGCCTGGGGCTGCTGGCTAAGCGTTGTCTCCACTGCAGTGCTCTACGGCTCGTTGGCCCTGTTCATCTCCATCCTCCACAATGTGTTCCTGCTGTACTACGTGGAGACCTTTGTGTCCATCTACAAGATCGACAAGCTCTCCTTCTGGGTCGGAGAGGTGAGTGTCGGTTAAACACGGGATTGCATTTTTCCGGTTGTATGTGAGTCCTGCTGACCAGTTTGGTAGGTTGCAGCTTAAGTTCAGTCACAGTTCTTTATCCTTTTAAAATAATTTGGGATGAACAGCATTTAAAAGAGGCCGGGCACGACGGGAAGTTGTGACCTGTCTCCCCCCCCACCCCCCCTCCACTGCTCCACAGGCGGTGTTCCTCATATGGAACAGTGTGAATGACCCTCTCTTCGGCTGGCTGAGCGATCGCTCCTTCCTCACCTCGCCACAGTAAGTGCCTCCACGCCGCCTCCTTTTTCCTCAGACGAGGCACTGTAATTGAAGACGTTGCATAACCTTTTGTGTTGTCGTGGTCACTCTTCCTCCTTTTTTTTTCTTCTATTTTTTTCTCGTTAAGTTTTTGGTAAACACGGTCAGTCCGTGGTAACATCACAAAGCTGATTTGCTGTTGCTAATCTTTCTTTTATGATGGTTTTATTATATTTCATTGCATTCATTCTGTTTGCCGAAGCTGTATTGACATAAGTGGTTACACAGTAAAAGTTAAGGTTACACCCATTCGCTCTTAGCCAAACAAGCACCCAGTATTTTAAAGGCCGTGCCTCAGACCAACGTACACAAGCTGTAATTCTAATTATTGCCGCTTTTCTTTCGTGTTTTTTCTTCCCACCAAGGTCGGGCCCTCCGATCACGACTCCGGAGGTGGTGCTGAAGCGCCTGAAGGCCCTGTCCACGAATGGGCCCCTCTTCGCCCTGTCCTTCCTGGCCTTCTGGGTGGCGTGGGCCAGCCCGGGCCTGCAGTTCCTGCTGTGCCTGTGCCTGTACGACGGCTTCCTCACCATGGTGGACCTCCACCACAGCGCCCTGCTGGCCGACCTCGCCGTGTGCGACGCCGACCGCACGCGGCTCAACTTCCACTGCTCGGTGTTCAGCGCGCTGGGCTCCCTCTCCGTGTTCCTGTCCTACTCCTTCTGGGACAAGGAGGACTTCTTCTCCTTCCGTCTCTTCTGTGTGGCCCTCGCGGCCTTTTCCATCCTGGGCTTTTTCTTGGTGTCGCGGTCGCTTCGCCGACGCTTCCAAAAGGAAGTGCGCCCGAGACCGGACGAGGCGGCGGCGCTCAAAGAGTGAGCGGCTTCTCGCAGACTTTTTTTTTTTCTCTTCCGGTCAGTGTGGTTTCTCCTCTCCGTCTCACTCCTCTCTCCTTTTTTCTTTCGCCGTATCGCAGGCTGAGCGTCGGCCATGCTCCCCTCGCCCACACCGAGAAGCCGGTCACCATCAGACAGTACCTCGGGCAGCTCTCCAAACACAGGAACTTCATGTGGTTTGTGTCGATGAACCTCGTTCAGGTGCGATGTTGATCACAGTGGATGTGCTATAAATGCTGGTGGAGATCCAAGTGGGAAGATATTCTAGTGCAATTCTTAATGGTTTGCGTGTTAGGGGAGGGGAAAATGTTTTGCGGAGCCGCCCTCAAAGTGGTTTCTAGTCCGTTACAAACTCCATTGTTGTCTCTGCTCCCCCTGCAGGTGTTTCACTGCCACTTTAACAACAACTTCTTCCCTCTTTTTCTGGAACATCTCCTGTCGGACAACATCACGGCCTCCACGGGTTCCCTCCTACTCGGTGAGCGGGAGGACATGACCGCTGTTCAAGTTGTCTTAAAACATGTTTGGTGTTATGTTAGATGTTTTATTCTGAGTTGAAAAGATGGATGGAAGGTTTACCATCACTGGCAGCATGCTTTTTTAATTTCATTCTATTGCAAGCGCATTTGATCGCCAACAGACGAGGGAGAACCTGAGATGGTATTCCATAACATATCTCCTGAACAGGAGGCATGTTTGGAAGTTAACTGTGGTCAAAACCTTATTTCTACTCCAGTATTATTTTTTTTCTCCGTCTTTTTGTTTACAACTGCTGTGCTTTTCTTCTGATTCCGTCTTTATTTTTAATTGAGTTCTGCTTCTGCTCCCACCCAGGCATCTCATACATTGCCCCCCACGTGAACAACTTGTATTTCCTGACACTGTGCCAGCGTTACGGGGTTTACCAGGTTATCCGCTGGCTTTTTATGCTCAAACTGGGACTTAGTGTGGCTATGCTGCTGGCAGGGGCTGACCACATTTATCTGCTGTGCATCTTCATCGCTAGGTATGGCCACCAACACACATCAGCATCGGGCATCCGATGTGTGACAGCTCGTACTTTTCTTTGCTTGTTTTCATGCGTTGTTAATTTCACATTAACCCAGTCAGAAGTTGTGTTTACTTTGCAACGGGAAGTTTTGTCCCCGAAGACCTAAAAACTCCAGTTGCTCCAGTTTATGCTTCTCTCGCTCAGAAGGAAAAGGATTTGTTTATTTATGTGGCCCCCAAATAATTTGCATGAAAACCATTTTAACCCTTTCTGTCCATGGACGCTTGTTATAAGAAAAGTATTTCACACTTTGAAGGAAAACTGGAGGGATCCTTCTTCCATAAACAATGTTTTTATTACAGAGCAGGACATTTAGAATATGAGTAATTACATCCACAAAGAGCAAAGAATTAATGAATAATCAGAGGAGATATTTCAACATTATTTGCAATGCTTTTACAATCCTGCTTACGGTACTACACTGTGGTTACTTATATATGACAAAAGTATGTGTATTCTTGCTGTGATATAAAAGCACGGCTTCCACGGGTGATAGTTGTTGTTCTATTAGTTGGTATACACTCAAGTACAACATCATAATCAACCAAAGGATAAACGTCTTTCAAATGAAAATGTCATTTAATGCCGTTCTTGTCACAAACTCCTCTATTAGTGCCGTGTGAATGAGGCCTAACTAGAGCCGTGTCTTGCTCCTAGCAACCGCGTCTTCACGGAGGGGACGTGCAAGCTGCTGAAGCTGGTTATTTCCGATCTGGTGGACGAGGACTTTGTGGTGAACCGGCGTCAGCAGGCCACCTCCGCTCTCCTCTTCGGGATGGTCGCCTTGTTGACCAAACCGGGCCAGACCTTCGCCCCGCTCATCGGCACCTGGCTGCTGTGCGTTTACACAGGTACGGACGGAAGCACCGAGTCCGAAGCGTGCGCAGTGACGTCAATTCTATTGCTGCTCCAAGTTTCTGTTGTCTTTTATAATAAGTTTATCAGCTTTGACTTTTTTTTCTCATCAAACTTAAAAAGAAAGCAAACTAACTTCTTCTAAAACCAAAACGTGTCATGTTTGTCTAAGGCAAAGAATATTATTGTATGGTAATTATAGTGTAGTGACACACTTTCTGTTGGATTTTAGTTAATCGGAGAAACTAAACCCGTTTTATTTAATTTTTCAGCTTGATTGCGATAATTTCCCCTCTAGCCACAACCCCATTGAAAAGGACATGGCCCTAACTCATTTCCGTGTTCGAGGACTCGTTCCTGCATCGCTCTGTCTGCTTACGTTGTTTGTTTTATTCTTACCGGTTCTCTGTAGTTGCAGTATTCTTCATATTCTTCCAGCAGGACGACCCTGTCACAAAGCACTCGAGTCTACTCGAACCACCCGTTCCCACAGAGGAGCTCAGTGTGCCAACGCCTCCGTCTGTATTGTTCGCTGACGGAACCGCTCGTCTGTCGTCCCCAGGTTACGATGTATTTCAGAGGGAGACGGCGGGGGACGCCGTGGTTGCTGTGCCGGAGGCCGCCTTCGGCTCGGGGACGCCGCCTCTCCGTCTGGGCTGCTTCCACATGGTGGTGTTTGTGCCTATCACCTGTGCCCTGCTCCAGCTGGCCGCCTGGTCTCGCTTCACCCTCCACGGCCGGAAACTGCAAGGGATCAAGGCGCTGAGGCAAGGGGCCCAGCACGGCCACCTCATTGACGTCAAGGCCATTTAAAGCTCAACAGAGCTGCACGCAGACACTTTTAAAAATGATCGGTTTTTACCATTTCAGCCTCGTGGGCGGGAATAAGGAACCACTGCACAACGTGTGGCTTTGTGGATGGTGAGAGATGCACAAGAGGAAAAACAAATGAAACTTGCCTTATTTTTTATATTAGATTGACTTATTTATATTTGAAGAGATGACCAAAAGATGAAGTCAAACCAATCAATCCTTTGGGGATGTAGTCGGACCAAGGTGAGAACTTCTCGCGCTGTGCGCAAAAGATGGGGCGCCTGCTTTCAAACGGTTTTAACAGTAAATATTGCCTAGATTCAAACGCCATAGCTGCTGGGTAATTTATCAGTAACATCAGCCAGATGTAAGAACGATGTGTAGTAAGTTTACGACCATTCAGTTCTGATCTGATGTTTAACAAATGAAGAGCATGAAATAAACTTGCATTGATGTGTTCAGAGTGCCATTGAAACTGCATGGAATCTACGTCCAACTGTTTTACTGTTTCTTTACGCTTACACAGATCTGTGTTTTCTAATCCGTGCCGTATTGATTGATGTTTTTGCACAAAACTGCCACTTGTCGGTTGTACCTCCATCATTGTGACTGGACATATTTTGTGTACTGTACTAATAGAACCGTACTCTACACGGGTAACCATCTCATCCCGTTCCTTTTGTAATATTTCAGATAATACAAAGGATGCTTTGCGTTACCACAAATAAACCATCTAAAAGTCAACCAAACTCTGCTTTGCTGCAACGTCTTTATATCAGACTGAACCTGTTGAATCTCAAAGTAGACTGATTGCCTCCAGTGGTTTTGTGAATGGACAAAAACGTGTGCGTGAAGGAGCAGACTGATATTTAGTTTTCCACGTATTGAGCTGTCGCTTCAGTAAACAGATGCAGAGTGAACGTGTTCACCATCTCTACCAGTAGGTGGCGGTATTTGTTTATTGAAACCATAGATATTATGTTTTGTTTTTTATCTAGGTTATTAGTCATATTCAATGCTGTTTAATTCATCGGATTTTCGAGTTAATTTGCGACCATAGTTTTATAGATCCTTTCCTGTAACAACCAAACAGAGGACGTCTCTACGGTGCTCTCCAGCACACAGCGACTCACTTAAAATCTGCATTATTCATCAGTAGTGATATGATTACCAAAATGAACAGATTTTATATTTAAATCTGCTATAAATGCATTAAGCAGACCAAATAAAAGCCTGTGATATGAAATTTTAGAATTTTGACAATATTCTATGACATGAAAGTACTATATATTTTATGATGAATTGAGTTATATTGTATTTATTCCGTCCTCAGTCTTGCCCAAGGAGAATCAGCCAGTGGATGACCATCAAATTAATAAAATAAACCTTGTTATCTGAGGGATCTAAGTGAGTGGATCAATGTGGCTCAGGAGATTTAAAAGCAGAGGTGTGTGTGTGTGTGTGTGTGTTTTGATTCTTAATACTGTATTAGAAGTTACATTTATACAACTGTCTATTGTTAACTTCCATAAGAAGTCATCCCTCTTTATGGCACGATTTCATCACATGAGACACCTCAAACACACGTGTTGCATTAGCTGAACGTCCACAGAGTGAAGTGGGATCGAGATTCAAGCTCTTGTTCCAGAGAAGCTGGTTCCAACGATGTGTGTCAACGCCGCATGAGCAAAGTCGCTGATGCTACTTGTTGAGATTCCTGTGATGTGGCTCAGTTCTCCAACGACCTGTTATGCATAAAAAGATTCATCTGTGACCAATTAAGTACACGCTGACATTAACCAATTGTGAATGAGGTCAATATGGCTCCACATAATGTCTGCAATTCTCACATTTAAAAACGCAGAAAAGAAATCAAATCAGGGTTTTTAATATGAAAATAAAGTCTCACCTGTTCCCAGTTTTTGACAGAGAGGATGAATGTAGCCACGGCGATGACACAGACACCCAGCAGCATGCAGTCCTCAGTCACCGTCACAAACTTCTCTCTGTTTAAAGACGGATTATTTAGTAGACTACTCTCCCGTGACAGGAACCACCTGTTCTGGAAAAAAATCAGTTTTAAGATAACTTAAGATAAGATAAAGGTATGAGGGGTACCTTTGTTCCGCGGACGGGCTGACACACTGAGTGGTCGTCACTAGCAAGGAATGGTAGACGGCAGCTCTCTGCAGGCTGACGAACTGCAGGATGTGGCAGCACACCGGGTGGAGGCGCTGCACAGGGATCGACGGCTCATTATGTCCTAAAAAAAAAAAGTGTATCCTACTTTAAAGTCGGTGGAGACTGTGCTGTTTATAATTGATACACGAGATGTCCTACCAAGCACCTCCAGAAGGATTTCCACGTATGTCAGCGGGTTGGGAGTATTCAGTTTGAACTCAAGCCCTTTAAGGACCATCAGCTCTGACTCCAGCAGAGTCTGCTTGGAAACAGTGTGACCGACTGAATGCAGAAAGCCCACGGCTGTGTTGTTGTCGATTATCTGGGAAATGTTTGCATCAAAGTAGATTAGCTCATTCCAAATACCAATGGGATGTATTAATCACATTCATTTCAGAGCCTACCTGACTGTGCAACAACAGTTTGCTTGCAAGCCGCACGCAGGAGAAGATGATGAGGTGGAATTTGTCCTTCACCTCGTCAAACACAGCATCCTCACTACTTCTTGGTTCAGCAGCAGCTGCACCTTCAGGGCTGGGTGTGCTCAACAAATCTGTGAGATACCTCACCATGAACCTGGGGGAAATAATCGTTCACATTAAGCCCTAAACCAAAGGCATAGTGGCCGAGGCGGGGCAATAGAAATGGTGCAGCCCTTTTGTACCTTTGGAGTAATTCAATGGCGTGGTATCCGACCAGTGGGTCGAGTTTGAGTTCTTGAGTTATCAGGAAGATGAATTCTTTGGGAGGCCGGAGAGGGAGACGAGGTGTTGGCACAGAAAAGCAGAGAACCAAAACGGAAAAGTATCCTATTTGAACACACTGTGTAGGCAGCAGATATTCAGAACGTACAAAAGATATTTGAAAATGTGTCAGTAATTATGTGGAAAGTGTCACAGATATGAATCATAAGTGGCAAAACATTAACTCAAGTACAATTTTGAGGTACTTGTACGTCATGAATCTCCTTTTTCGTGCTACTTCTACTTGACCTCCTTTTGGAATCTAGTATTTTTTAACTACACTACACTATTTTAAAACATTAATCACATCACTAGTTACTTATGAATTTAGATTAACACAAAATATAAATCAAACTAATAAACTCTGAAGTGTTAATATGGATTATGCTATCACGTCAAGATATACTGATTATTCTGAATAATCCTACTTTTACTGAAGAAATATGGGGGAGACCTGAAGTCATTTTAAGTAAAGAATCTTAAATGGTGCTCTGATTATCTTATCTTTATAATGTGTTTTTTGGCAAATGATTCTGACTACTTTTTTACTGAAAATGATAGTTTTACTGTACATATTTAGACAATTCTACAAGATAAAAGTCCCATATTTTATCTAGAACTTTTCTTTTTGGAAGAACCTTTAGTTGTACAGTAAAACTATTTCCTTTTTAGTATGTGGGTAGTAACATGTCCTTAACCCATGTGCATTGTTCATTGCTTGAATTTAATTCAGCTAAAATATTGAGAAATTAGCTTTTTGAACCTACAAATACAAATTAACCAAATTTATAAGTTATTTCATGTTTTGTACAAGAGTAGTGTCCTAATAACATGTACATCGGTGATTGCTTGGATTTTTTGAGAAAAATTCATATATGCTTTTAGCTTTTTGAGCTTACAACTATAGGACTTTTTGTACATCAACAATGTTTGATGTACTGTGTGTGTAGTTAATTGGCTTCGTACATTTAAGCAGCGCGTATTACCTGAATAACTCACGAAATTCAGGTAATGTTTTATACTAAATGTGAACATAATTCATTAAATCGTATTTCCACATTATGTAATTCGTAAACACGCTTTGCTGAACATGTTATTTTGTAAACCGGATGCTATCTGACGTTATCTTTCTGCGCTCGCTCCCGTTTGAATGCGCGTTCACTGTAAATGTCCGCATATCGGTGCACTAAAACTCAAGTAGTTAATTATCACAGCTGTGTGTGATGAGAGAATTTTATCGCACATAAAGAAATACAAATATTACATTTATTTAGAGTGAAATTACGATGTATTCGGTCTAAACACGGAAAGTTTTAGTGAATACAATAAAATGTTTTTTGTATTCGTTTGTATGAAAGATAAAATACAAAAATATAAACAGCTAAAACGAAACATCCGTTAGCATTAGCTCTCCTCGGTATGATAAACGTTGACCCAGCGTTACTTACCCATTAGTCTTTTATCCTTGAACTCTCCGCTACATTTTGATAAACTGTTGAGGTTGTCTTTGTTTTTGTTGTTGAGGTTAACGAGAAAAGCGGTGAGTAGGTCTGAGGAGGCTTCACCAAACTTCAAATACATATTTAAGTTAACTTAGTTGTGGGGAACAAAAGCAAAACCTTTGCCATTTATACGGACTAACTTACGGTCGTTCAGTTTAACAGCTATAGTTACAGCAAAAAACACGTTTTGTTTGTCGATGTAAAATGTAAATAAATAAATAAATATGATATAATAATTTCCTCCAGGAGATGGCGTTAATCCCCCGCGTTTTGACCTCGTGAACAACCCAACGTCTGCCGGTAGGAACCTCCAAGCTGCCAGCGGGGCTCGATTTCGACGTTGCACCAAATGTTCCGTTTCGCAGATCTCGCAACTCGCCGATGGGACTTCTCCCGCCAGCAAACCGACGTCACCCCGACGCAGCGTATCGTTTGAAATACAGCGGCCCGCCGCGACTTCCGGGGAAGCAACCTCGCGTCAGATTCTCGACCCTACAGCGCCAATCATGGCCGACAAGACACCGAAGGAGCCCGGCGCTCGCGTTGCCACCAGGATAGACCCGACGAAAGAGCCTCTCTCCCCGGAACAAATGCACTTCATCCGCCAGATAGAGCTCGATCAGTGGAAGAAGAGAACACAGAAGTTGGGGACACGCAACGTTGTGACGGGACTTGCCATCGGAGCACTCGTCCTGGGCATTTGTATCCTTGACATGCGCAGAAGCGTCCACGCAAGGTGAACTATGTAACATTGGCACACCGTACTCGAGTTACTCACTTTGCTTAATAGCACGACATGAACGCTAACCACAGTCCCCGTTTGTACTTGTTATCAACACATCGGCTGGTACGTGTAAGTGAGCTAGTGTGTCTTTAGGGAAGTGAATTCTTCACCCATCGATTTGATGCTAATGCGTTAGCTAACGTTAGCCTGTGACAGGCTGTTGCAGGTGACTTTAAGGTGGACTGTAACTGGCTTTAGTGCATGAAAAACACACAGATTACATGTTGTGTTTGTTTTAAATCGCGGCGTTATTATTATTAATGTGCAGTAACGGTCATTAACTGCTATTAAGTTGTAACAATGAAAAGGCTTCTTAAAGTAAAGGTTTGCAGCGGTAAGTCCACCGGACGACTTCCGGTGTAACATCAACTTGTTCTCGATCCGCGATCAATAGTAAATAACGATTGTAAAGTCTTGAATTGACCTGTAATGTTCAGTGAACATGAGCGTTTCATCTGTTTTATCGTGCAAACATTTCAGACGCTTTTACTGGCAGACATTAAGTAAATAAAATACATGGTCAAAAAGTAAACAAAATATCAGATATTCCCAAAAGGACCGTAGTACCGAAGAAGTACTTCTTTTTCTTACTTCTTTTTTAACGTTAACAAAACCGACCACCTTCATTTAGCAAGCAGCTATTGCAGTAGACTTGGAAGTGCATGTAACCGATTCATAAGAATATGGAGATATTTTGATTAACACAAGGTGTTCACAGAGATCCCGACACCTGAGTGACTGACGTTCCCGCCACTGGTTTACGTTTCTTTTTGCCGCCAAACTATTTGCCTTGACCGCTTGCTCCCCCGCTAGACGGCTACACGTTTTACTCCGTATCTCAGGAGCGCATCATGGATGAGATGGACGCAGAGGCCAAGCGTGCGAGGGGGCAGGGCCCGAAAACCGGTGCCAACTGAGACGACGCACACTGTTGGACGGTGTGTCCGTCCTGCAATCAACTGAGAGGGGACTTAACGTGGACTCTGATTCCACTGATCTATATTCCATTGGTGGCTGCTGCTTTTCATGTGGAGACAGCGGTGGACTTTTTGTTTTGTCTGGATTGTGATGGTGGGGTTCTGCTGCTGACGTAGAACTAGATGTGTGTTTATTTTTATTTTCCTGTCAGCGGAAAGGACTGATCGGCTGCTCTCACAAGCTTCAGGGGAAGGCCCGATTGTAGAGTAATTAACAACCGTTATCCAACAGGCGTCTGGCTCCGATCATATGAGGGTAAACATCCTAAACTCCAGTCAGCTAATAATGTTAAATCGACAGAGACACACGTACGAATATCCTGTTGAAACCTGTCTATAAAGTCATGATTTGTAAAATAAACTTTGAGTGTATTTCATGTTTTTGACCGACTTGTTTGTTACTATGTATTTGAAAAAATTAGAGTGAAGCAGTCAAGATGACGAAAAAATACATTTATAATTGCATTTTTGTCAAAATTGGATACATGCAGTCAGATCTAGCCACCGATAGCTTCAGAGTAAAAATATAAAATAAGACATTATCAGAGAAAGGCACAGATTCAGCATGGCAGGACAGCAGCAGCTTCAGAAAGTAATACAATTATATACACATTCAAAAAGTTTGGAATGAAACTTCTCTTGATATATTATAAACTTTAGGGAAATTGAGTTCCTCCGCCAGACATTTCAGTGAGTTCTGGATTTTTCATAAGGCAACAGCTACACATTCACAGCTTGTACTGATTATTTAAAACTGTTGGAAGGTAGATCGTCGTTACTGTGATCATACGTGAACTGGAGAATATTCTCTACCTCCATTTGTGGAAAAAAAAAAGTCGTATCACCAAACGTAGTTGCTAAAGTGCACATGGTGCTTGATCTATGCAATACGCAACAAATAGGATTTTTGCTTGAGCTTAAGAATTAAGGTTACCAACATGTTGAGTTCACTTGTCTTATAAAAGGTACAATATATACACGTGTATTCTTAACGGCAAAGAAACCATTGAAGTTAAAATCAGCGATAGTATTTGAAAATCAACGTGCGATGTCTTCGCTAATGCGTATTTAAACAGACCTCTTGCCGTTTGATCATCTGAAAAAGATTGTTTCTGCCGAAGCAGCCTGCGTTTCATTCTCTTTCTGAAAGGCCGATGCTAAAGAACGTCCATAGAGGAGCGACAACTAAATGCTCTCATGATGCACTCCTGATCAAATCGAACGGTACAAAGCACCTTGGAGGGGTGCCGAGACTTCAACATCGGTTTGTGCCACTTCCATCTGGCAGGAGGCCATCAGGACCGAGACCTCCCGCCACACCAACAGTTTCTCCCCATCGGCAGTCGGGCTCATCAACAGAGCCCGGTCCCCCACTGACTGACTGTCATTCCACCGGCCACTTTCTGTTCGCTGGTGCACTTTATTTTTAATTTTTAAATATTTTTAACTTTTATTTCTTTATTTTTAAACTAACCCATAGCATTATATTTTATTTTATCCCTCTTGCACTGCTGTCTTGTCGTACTGTCTGCTGTTACGCACCAACTGTCAAATTCCTTGTATGTCTGACGTATTATGGCAATAAATGTTTCCTGAAACCCAAGAAGTCAAAATGCTAAAGATTATCCGGGATGATGTTGTGTGTACGACGGCTGTCAGCAGGACGGCCTCTGAGAGCGGTTCACATGCTCAGATAAAACACTTAAAAACAACCTGGACTGAAGATCCAGTCCGAACCATTGGGTCTTATTTACAAAAGAGTATTAAAATCCTTTTTTAACCAGAGCCGTGTTTGGAATCTATTTTGTTCTTCAGCTGCAACAAGCTCCCCCGGATCAGACGGAAGGTTGAAAAAACCGGATGTTGCGGTTCTTGTCTAAGTTCCAGCTCTATTGAAGACCGTTAACATATTGATACGTTGAGGTAAATGACCACTGGCGGAGGGAAGCGGTTTGCCGATCGGTGAAGGGCTTCAAAGCGATCCCCCCCACTGCTGGACGGGTCGGACCCCTGCAGCCACACTTCCGATGAGGTAGTCCAGGGACGCGGCGTGGTCGGATGCACAGTTTCTTACTGGTGAAGCGATGAGAAAACAAACAAATGCCGTCAAAACAGAGCGGGAAGAATATTAGTGGTATGACTTTAGTCAATAAAGTGCTCTCTCACCATTCTACTAATGTCGGTGATAAAGGTGACGCCTTTGCTGGGCTTCTCCTGGGAGCCGCTGCTGCTGCCCCCGATGGAGTTCCTCCTGATGATGCCTTGGATTGGCAACATGTCCAGGCGCTGCAGGCTGTTCCTGCGGGACGAGGGGAAGCCGCTTCCTTTGGACAGGCGCCGCTGCCGGCTGGAGAGCACAGCGGCGGGGGACACGATGCCCAGAGGGGGGACCTTCCCCATCTTCTCATACAGCTGCTCAATCTCTCTCTTCTGGGCGGCCTGCAGGGCCTGTACCTCCCTCAGGTGTCTGATGGGGGGGGGCGAGAAGTCCCAAAGTTTCACCAAAGATCGTACATGTCGTTTAAATTACTATTTTGACATCCTCTGCTCCTGTTAGTCTACCAGCTACAAGCGCCGCTGTCACTTACTTCTCTCTGAGCTCCTGGAGCTCCTCCAGCATGTCGGAGTCGTCGCTGTCGGAGTCGTCGGTGCTGACGTAGGGAGCGCTGCGGTTGTAGGTCGTCAGCCACAGGTGATGGAGGGCGTTGCTGTACTGCGGGCTGCCCGCCGCTCCGTCCCACAGCCGCCCCTCCATCTCCGCCGCCGTCATGGAGAGGCCGCTGTCCGCCGACGTCCCCATCAGGCTCAGGCTGTGCGCTCTCCTAGAACACCTCTTCCTCGCCCTCTGTTGTTCCACGACAGCCTCTTCCTCCTCCTCCTCCTCATCATCATCGTCGTCCACCACTGCCTCCTCCTCCTCCTCTTCTTCTTCTTCCTCTCCGTCTTGCTGCTTCTCCTGGCTCCATCCCAGCTGCCCGTCCACCCCCTGGAGGAGCCCGGGGGCGGTCCCTGCGCGGGGACGCTGGGGAGGAGGGGACATGGTGAGGGAGGTGGCCAGGCTGGTCTCGGACTCCCCCTGCTCCTCCGTGCTGCTCTCCGAGGAGGCGCTGCCGCCGTCTGCCGGCCGCGGCGCAGCAGGCGCGTGCATGCTGGGCGTCACCTGGAATCGGCCCACAGTGACGGGTGCAGACCGGACTTCTGTGATATCGATGAGAGGGAGGAATTATTCTTATATGACATTTACATCGATATATTTCAAGATGGTCCTCAGGCCATGAATAGAAACCGAAATTTAGCATTTCTGTCCGTTATAACTGGGCATCATTATAACCATAATACTCTTAGTATCTTACGCCATGTACAATGTTAGAGTTTAAACATTGAATCCATTTAATCCATTTAATATTAGAGTTTAAACATTGAATCCATTTAAATTAATACATTACATTGTAACTAGATAAATATGTGTAGATTACCTGATGAAGTATCCAATAAACAGATTTGTTCAAACGAAAACACAAATTGGTTCATTCTCACAGAGCTCCCTCTTCTTACTCTTAATGTCTGGGAATAAGAAGCTGTAGCACTCGGACATGTAAACTAATCATCGGGGATTGATCGTCGGGACAAAGCCTCACTGTTTGAGAAATTAAATCTAATCATGTTTGTTTTGACATCAGTCTGTTTTCATTGTGTCTTGTTTCCTAACATGGTACATTTCCACTATAGGTGAATATCCTCAAATCTGTGTGTATATATTTCTAATTAATTTATGTTTTTTTTGTACCTTTTTATTCTGGCTTCAAATCTAGCTTCATTATTTATCTTTCCAATTGTTCATAAAATGTAAACTGGCTTTTAATTAAGCTTCATCTTTTTTTTACCTCTTGGTCGTTCCTATTTTCTTTTTGGTTCTGTTCGCATCAAATCTTTCATGTATTATTAGAAATGTATTGTTTGTGGTATTGTGGCGTGTGAAGTATAAAAATGGCCATAATAAATAAAATGATAAGTGATAAAAGTCAAAGAGTCACTGCATGAAGCTTCAGCCTCAGAAAAACCCGACGGAATTAAAGTATTCTTATCATTGTTATTATGATCATTTGAAATCCTGCAGTGGTTCGGTTCACCCACCGTGTGTCCTTCTCACACAGCGCGTGAACGTTTGGGTCAGCGGCCACATTCAACAGAGGCACTCTGTTGAGTCGAAGGTATAAACACCGACAGGCGTGGGTTATGGGTGGAGGGGCTTGGGGGTATGGGGGGGGGGGGTCTATAACGAGCTCCTTCTGCTCGCTGATTGGTCACCGCCGGTGGGAAGGGCCGCGATCACACCTACGTTTGTGTCCTTTCTGAGCGGAACATTACACGCAGACTTTACCATTACGCAGCGGCTCCGGAGGCCCCGCCAGTGGCTGATAATGTCGCCGAGGACCCGGCACAGAGAACGAGAGAAGGAGCCGAAAACAACTCTCCCAAGGATAAATTGGCCGAAACCAAGATTTAAGACCGTGTTTAGAACGAATACATCGTAAAAATGCCACAAATGAGGACGGGGGATGAGGGGCAGGGGGAGAAAACTACGTTTGTGTGTACACACGTGTGTGTGTGTGGAGGGGGGGGGGGGTTGTTTGGGGTGGAAACGTAAACTTTACACGGTGTTGTTGTTGTTGTTACATGTTATTTTCCATTTCTCCCCACACATACGGTGTTCCTGATGAGAGAGACGGAGGACAAACTGCCGCAGGACTTTATTTCTTACCCGGCTCAGTAGAGGAGGCTTTGGGTTCTGACGTGCTGGTTTTCATCTCTGGGATTGTGGGGCGCACGGGGGTGCTGAAGGATGATGGCTGGACAGGGAGAATTCACATTGTTAGCATGAGACGTGACCCGTGACACATATTTGAGGTCAGTTATCAGTCACCGTGCGAGTCACAGAAATCCTTGGACTCGCACAGATAAAATGATAAAAATGTCTGAAAAGAGTAAAAGAAGCCATCTGTGTTCCCAAGTTGAAGCCTTCAAATGTTGTTCTGTCGCACTGAAATCCAAAGATATTTAGTTTTAAATAGTTCAAATTCTCACATTAAAGAAGCTAGAAACCGCTAAATGTTTTTTTTTTTTAAATCTATATCCATCACCTCAGACAACAGATCATTTCAGCGATGATAATGCACACAACATCGTTTTTTTAGAAACAAAGGAAACTGAAGGTGACTCACGGTGCCTCTCGGGCTTTCAGGGGGAGATGTTGAAACGTCCGAGTTTGAACTGGAGACGTCCGATTGGGGTTCGGCCTGGACCGGAACCTGTGCCAAGTACGAGGCGACGTACCCGTGGAGACTGTCCTCCTGGGTCATGCTCGGGGGACTGGCGAGCCCAACCCGCGGAAAAGGCTCCTCCTGAGGACTGGAGGCCGCAGGCGGCGGAGAGACGGGGTGCGACCAGTCGGGAGGATCGTGGCTCTGAGCGAAACCGCCTCCGTTCATCGCGGGAAAATTCTCAGGGTTAGGGTAGACGTTGTTTTGAGCTGGGAACCCCGCTGTGACGTACTGGGCCTCTCCCGGGGAGTTCTGGTAGTGTTGTGGGTAGATGGAGGGGTAACCCGACTGCGGGCCCATGTGAGCGGGTAGCTGATGGTGATAGCCTGGGTAGGAGGGCATCCCCTGGGCGGCGGGCATGTTGGTGGGAGGGATGAAGGACTGAGCCATGCTCATGGCCATGGAGATGACGTTCGCCAAGGAAAACAGGGGCTGCGTGTGGGAGGGCCACATGTTGGGATGCTGAGGGGTGGACGGGGACACGGAGACACCATCGCTGCCGCCGGAGCTTTGGGTCTCGCTGAGAGGACTGGTGGCCGGGGAGGGAAGGGTGGAGAATGTGGGGTTACTGGCTACGCGAGTGAGGAGAGGGTGGATGCCCGGGGTGGGGGGACCGGGAGTGGCCGGGTATTGGAACGGGAAGTTACTGTGGCCCATGAAGGGCAAGTGGTAGTGCTGGTGGTGAGGCAGGAGACTCGCAGGGTGGTGGTGGTGGTGGTGATAAGGCTGGGGAGACCCTGGAAGAAAGAGATTTTAAAAAACGCTTTATTTTCATGCTTATTGGCTAAAAACGCGTATAACTAGAAGAACGACCAATTCTGTAGTATGTTAAACAAATAAACTCCTATAGACTACGTTTATGAGTGTGCACAAGTCCACGCATAGGGGCGGAAAATTACAGAGGACATTGAGGGGCTTTTGTGAATGTTGGGTTTGACACCCTGATGCAAAATTATCCAAAAGTTCCTTGTCCCAATTCCTCGTCAGCTCAAAGTAATTGTGATGCTTATTTCTCCTCCCTTTGAGATTACTAAGGACGGCTTGTAACCGGTACTCCTGTAAGCTGTAAGCAAACACCATAAAAATGAGCGAACTGTTCCGCCCTGCTGTCTCCTGGTGCAGATTAGCAGCTCGGGGTCACAGAGCTCTCCGCTCCGTTATCACCTGTGGCTCGTTCAGGCGGACGGATACAACGCATCTTAATGTTTATGTCTCGGTTAAACTTCAGAATGCCGACTAACTGTAATGGTTTATGTGGAATATTGGGACAGAATCGATCCAGGAGATCCTCTTTCCTCAGACAATTTCTTCTTGCAGCCCCCAGTGCCAAGGACGTACACCATGTGGAGGATTAATCCTCCCAGCACTTTCAAAAAACGAACAAAGACGTTTTTGTTAGATGCGGTACCCGACCGTAATAGCTGTCCTAAGTCGAAGCCGTTGCACACCGGGCTTCAGAGGGCTGCGGGGGGATTCAGCATCAACCGAGCGAGGCTGAAGCGTACAGCGCTTTGGAAAATGAAACCCACATGTTGCTCGTACACAACTCTTACGGGCCCGACTGTGAGCTCGAAGCGGTCCAGGTTTCTACATCACTCCTCGTGAAACAAGCCGAGCCAACATCCGAGCCCCGATCCACTGCCCTGACATTAACCAACAATGGCTCCACAGTTACAAACCACTCCTCCCGCTTCACGGTGATGCAAACCAGCCTGTACTTTTTCCATGCTGACGGAGACACATGTTAGGCAACACTGCACAAGGGGGGCGGGTGGCCAAGAAGGCATTGCGAAAGCAACCGTGCACTCGGGTGTCCGGCGGCGAGGGGACATGTGGAGGGATGAGAGCGTTCCGATACGGGGGGAGGGAGGGGCGTATGGAGGATGTGTGTTCTTTAATTGACTTCAGATGCCCCCCTCCCACCCCCTGTGGGGGAAGAGAGACTTTGACGGTGGGAGGAGGCTTTCTTGGAAGTCCTCTCGCAGTGCGTGCTGGCAAGCAGATGGAGAAAAAGCTCATGCTGCACAGCGACAGCATTCACAGCTTTCCCTAAAAGCCTGAAAGCGGCCTTCATGTGAGGTAATTTACCCAAGAGGCCCGGCGGCAAAGCAGACACAGACGAAGGCTTTGACGTGCAGGGGCGCCATGTCTGAACAATACCGAGGACGGGCCGCGAGAAGGGGAGGGAGGAGGAGGGTTTATGAGGTAGCCGAGCTTCCATTCGACTCATTTGTTGCCAAAAGGACTGTAACTGTTTTTCGGCGCGCTGAAGGAGGGCTATTTACCTGGGCCGTTGTGGAAAGACTGCGAGCGGGTTAGAGGTCGCCCAGGTGAAGCAATGTCTCCATTGTGGCACAGGGGAGAGGCACATGCCTCTACCTTCGGGTTAGCCAAACTGAAGTCTACGACAAGACAGATACACACACATCGTGCACGAGTGGATTAGCATGCAATCAGTTATCATGCACAGTCAAGTGGGGGGAAAAAAAGCATACAAAATGATGCAACAATCTCTGAAATGCTGGGAGTAAGTCAGCCGTTGTGCAGGTTAGAGAATGGCAGCTGGCCAAGTCGAACTGGAAAAGATTCATGCAAATCCTTCCTGTCCAATATTATGTGATCATGCATCAGGGGATCCCTGTGAATGAGTGACTGAGTGACATGAGACTTACCGGGCAGAGAGGAGGAGGAGTGTGTTCGAGGCAGAGTGTGACTGTGCAGATTAGGCTGTAAAAGAGAGCACATTTTTTTTTTTTTATCAAACTCAATCTGCCTTTCAAACCACGGCGTGATTGAGCTGCAGCACTAATAGGTGGGGGGGAGAGTGTTGTGTTAGTGTTACATCCATCGCGCCTGTTGCTTCAGGCTTCTGACCTCTGAGTCACAGATTTCATCCTATCTGACATTTGGGTGCTTTTTGTGTGTGAATTCTTGAGTTATATAAGAAGTGGACGTCGCCCCCGTGACATCACCTACAGAAGTCATGAAACTGTTTTCCCGGTTCGGTTATTAACTAATAAATCCGTTTAACGATACGGCCTGACCTCCTGTTGGCAGACATGTATTAGGTGAAAAATAAAGTTAATAATAAGAGTTTTATTCTGTTCAATTATAAAGGAGCTGTTATTATTATAAATCGTATATTAACCATTTGATGTAAGTATTATTAAATTAAATAAGAGGAGAAGAAACAACTTTTGAATGGATTGCAGTGAGATTTTGCACATTTTGACATTCATGGTCCAAAGAGGATGAATCCTGATGACTGGGAATCCTCTCATTTATTCCTCCTGTGCCTGTGACTCATCTATCTTCTCTGTGGATTGTCGCCATTGTACCGAGACGTTTGGGACGATTAGTAAACGTTAAGATGCTAAAAGGCCCAAATAAGATCTGGAAAGTGATAAACAGTGAACTTTACATCCACATGTCAGCACTTAGCGTTGGAGAGGGGCGAGACAAACATGGCTTTCCAGGTGGTCAAGCTGCATTTGCCCACAGCGGCTCTCTCTAAACCTCCCTCAGAGATACATCGGCTTATCTCTGATAATATAAGATATTATAATAATAATAAAAATCAGAGATAAGCCGAGTCTCTGATCTCTTTCAGCTGGACGGTGTGAAAGAGGGCGGCCATAGTGAGTCTTGGGGAATCAGGGGTCGGACTCGGAGTGGGGAGAGATTTGTCCCCGCTGGCTGAGGTTCACTCCTCCTTCTCCAAACACACATTATTGTTTTCTCTGTTGTGAATGAACATCTTGGATCGATTTGAGTGAAGAGCACAAGGAGAAGTTGTTCTGCGTGTTAATACAGAGTGGACTGTATCTCTTTCGGCATTAGGTCATATTTGGTACACAGAATTTGGGAATCCAGAAAGGCCTCGTGAATCCAAACTTTAATGACTCTATCCATTCCATGTGGGCAGACATGCTGGAAAGTTTATTAGGATGGAAGCGCAGGAAACGGTTGGTGGAGCAACCAAATGCGTGTGCCATGTTTACACAAATCACAGAGATTTAGGACATGTGTGCTTTTAGTAACATGATGTTCTCAAGGGAAGAACTACCTCGAGTGGCTTTAGGGACACTTACTCTTTGATGTTCAAGGCCAAGCCTCCAGAGGGATTAACTTTATTCATTCCGAGCGTAGGAAGCACTACTCTACAGCCACAGCCCAGACGAGCGGGCCTGTCTTCAATAAGCACAGCCAGTCGCACTACAGCGGATGTGATTTATGACCATCGACTACTTCGCTCCACCGCTTCCCTAGTCGTTCTTGGCCTGACGGGACGGGGATGCAGAGGCGCCACTGACCTGTGAGGAAGACAGCGAGTTGATCCCGTGGAGGAAAGCGGGGTGAGGGAGCCGGGGGCCGCTGGAGTGGACCGGCTGCTCTTGGGCCATGAGGGCCTCGGCCCGCTTGATGATGTCGCCCATGCGGTAGATGAAGCCCTCCTTCTCCGAGGGCAGGATGAACTCATTGTGCACCTTGAAGACGAAATGAAAACGTGTTTAGTTTCTTTAATGTAATTTGCACTTTTCAGTGTGTTGTTTGATGAGAACATTTTAAATTTCAAAACACTGTGAAAAGTGAATACAAACGCATTTTATTTTAGTTATTTTAGTAAAAGCGGCAAAAACACATCGGAACAATAGTCTTTTACAAGTAAATTAAATTTAAAAAAAAATTAAATTAAATTAAAAAAAATCTTGTTATAAGAGAAATATATATATATATATTTTTTAATAACGCATTCCTGTGTAAGTCGTCTCAAGGCGACAATAGGATCTTATTTTAGAAGCAGAAGACATGTTTTCTTCCCAACAGCTCAGAGTAACTACAGCCAAAAAATGTGGAGAATTCGAATCACAGTAGCAGCAAGTAGAAAAGTACCTCGACATTGTAATTAAGCACAGTAATTGATTACATTTACTTCCCACCAGTGCAAAAGCAAAATATAGAAGAACACATTCTACAAAATTTCTGTGCATGAAATCCATCCACCACCCTCCCCTCAGCTGACGCTTATTCTCTGCAAGAAAACAAATACATTAATCTTCTCATGTACATGCCAAATACAGCGTATTGTCTGAGGGGGTTTTAAGGTTTGCATATTGATGCGGTCTCGAGGGTTGCTGTGCATTGAGGGTTGGGGGCGAGGTGACCGTTTCCTATATCGGCCGAGCCGAACAGCTCATTTACAAACCCTGAACTGAGAACCGCCGGCCATTCAGTAAACAAAAGCTCACGGCGCTTTCAGGAGTCGGGGGAAACAATACGTGCGTCCTTATCACACAGTGCATGTACACCACCTCTCTTACGATAGACATAGGGAAGAGGGGGGGGGGACCTGCGTCACTCACTTTACAGGAAGTTCAGATTTAATATCTCCCGCAGATAACTTGGACAAACAAGGAGCTGATAACTGGAGGCAGGATGAGTCATGTGTGTGTTCAGCTGAGATAGAGGAATCTGCAGAACTATCAGCTGACTGAGTGACTTCATTTCTTTTATTTCAGTATTCTGTTCTGTTCTGGAAGCTTCAGTCTGTATAAACCGAGACTGATAAGTTCCTCCGTCAACCTTGTGACGTCCTCTTTATTTCTCCTCTGTTGGCTCAATGTGAAAAAAAACCCACACAAGATTATTTTTAATTTCACAATTTTATGTTTGTATGCAAGTCACTTTATTTATTTTTATAGTTATTTATGAATTAATAATATGTTACTTGTGTTCTTGTCCATTCTCTAGTTGTGCTTTGCACAGAGCGCCACGTCAAATTCCTTGTATGTCGAACATATTTTGGCAATAAATGTTCCAGATACAAAAAACAACAACATTTTAGATATATTTAGCAAAATTGAATCAGCAGTCCCCCCTAAAGTAAACATCTGGAATAAAAATAAATACAACTCTCCTTATCTAACCCAATCAACGTATCATTGACGTTCTGAAAATAACACAGTTTGATCATCGAGCCCCAGCAACAACTCACCATGACGGCAGCGATGTCTTCAGGGTTATCTCCATCCAGGTCAAACTTGAAGGTCACCATCTTGTCATTGTGTGTCTGCAGCTGACACTCCACCACGCGGTCCACTTTGTCCGAGAGCTGCACAGAGGGCCGGGGTCAGCGACAATGACAGGTGTGTATGTTTACCCTCTAGCACACTGAGCAAGGTTAAACACAGTAAGAACAAGGCCTTTTGTAGGTAAGTGTGTGTGTGTGTGTGTGTGTGTGTGTGTGTGTGTGTGTGTGTGTGTGTGTGTGTGTCTGTGAGCATTGTGCTATGCACTCTTTGAACCACATGTGCTGATGCATGATCTGTTTGTCTCTGCCTGCAGGCCAAACACTCATTAAAAGACCACAGAGTGTCCTGATCAGAAGAGAAAGGTACCGCGGTTGCCGGGGGTGTAACAGCATAGCAACCGATAACGTAACCCGGGTGAAGCCTCGCTCATTAAAGCGAATCCACCGATTCAATAATTTCATCCAGCTATTTGACGTATGTGTTATTAAATTTGACACAACGTGCTGCTGCAGCGTTGTACCCCTGTGATGCGTAGCCTCGAACGCGCCCTCCTCCTGAACAGCTTCCCGGCCGTTCGCCTCGCCGCCGTTTTCTCGCTCTTGTCCGACGGGCCCTCGTAGCCGTCGCTCAGGCCCGAGGTCACATCGGAGGCGTAGCTGCAGAGAAACAAGCGTGCTACTGTTTAGAAGGAGAAAAAGAAAACCTTAAAGTGCCGTGTACCTTAAAGTATTGTATTCTACAAGAGAACCTTGATGTCACACGCGATAGTGAACAACAATCTGAGGCGTCATCTTGGGTGTAAACGGAGATATAGGATATACGTTTTAAAGAACCCCGCTGAGTCTTTTCACGTTTACACAACATACACGTTTTTTGGGGGGTTGCAGGGAACTGGAGGACATTCAGCGTGTTTTATAGAACGCTTTGGTTCAGCAGCTAATTGCGCCTCCTGGGTCTTTCTGAATGGCTGCGGTCACAGACTCCCCTCCACCCACGGCTGCAAACATTTACAGGCCTACTGGTTGGCAGCGTTCCCGAGTCCCCATTTAAAAGCCCCCAGCTCACGGGTAACTTCAGTTCACCAGCACGTGGAAATCGGACAAAGTAAGATTCAATTAGATTTGTGTTGATATTATTAAGTGATGATGAAATGCAGTTCTGACCATTAATCCGAGGCTTTTCTCAGAGGAAGAATTAATTAAGTAGTGCATGTCTAAGCTGCTGTGAGACAGGATACTCAACATTTATTTCAGTCTAACGAGTCACATTCAAAATCATGGAGACAAACGGATCCAGACCGACCAAAATTCAACATTGATGCACAACATATTTGAACTGTTTTTAAAATCTTAGTTGAATAAATGTATGTTAAGTCACTATATATCATTGAGTGAGGTAACGCAGTGGTGTTTGGGGCCCACCGATAACAAGCCGCTGCATCTGCAGTATGATGCACTGGAGCTGAGTACTTTTCCCTTTTAGCATCACTCAGGGACATACCACCTCCTCACGACTCCACACTTAAACTACCTCGGCCAGACTAAACAAATTGAAGACTTCACCTTGGGCCACAAAGAATGTAGTTGAAACAATTTCTTAATTCATTGTGTGGCAACAATATCCGTGAACGGAAGGTAAAGCGCGGATGAGACTCAAACACATCCTGCTCGTCCACTGTCGGCTTTCACATGGAGAATAAAGTTCCCTCCGTTAACATCCCTGAAACGAGGAAAACGGGGCCTCTGCAACATCACAGAAAAACCTGCGAGGGTCCCCGGTGCCTCTCTCTAATGAAAACACATTGCCTGCAGCTGGTTGTCGCAGCCTCCCAGATGTTGAGGAGGTGGAGGAGTTACAGACATTTATTCTTTAACATATATATTTTTTCCTCCTGACTTGATTAAATAAATTCCTTGCACGTTTATGAAAGGAGAACTGTACCTGTCCCCGGGAGAGTGGAAGCCACTGCGGAGCCCTGAGTTGCCACGGTCAATGTTGCTGGATACAGCGATACTCTATAAATAGAAATAAGTGTTTAGATGGGCGTTGATTAAAGACTAGCTGACGTGTTTGATTTACTTCAAAATAATTATGTCATAACGATTTTAATTTAGCAAAAGCTAGAGATTTGCTTTGAAGACAACAGGCACGTAGAAGGGGATTTTTAATCAGGGAGTCAGCTGAAGGCTTTGTGAACATCGTTGTCAGCCTGCACACTGTGTACATACCTCCCTGTCAGCACCGTGTTACACTGAGACATGTGGATGAAAAGCCGCCCTTCTTGCCTCCACCTCCCTCTCCCAGTTCCCTCCACGCTTTTCTGACAAGCTCTGCATTGGAGGCCACTCACCGAGGGGAAGCGGAGGGCCGGGATGGGGAGGCCGTTTGCGGCCGCCTGCGTGGCGATTCGCGTGGTCCCGGGCGCGTTGGAGCCGCCGGCCTCCAGCGGATCCTGAAGCCCAGAGAAGCTCAGATCGCCGTCCGTCTCGCAGTCAGCTGTTTCAACAAAAAGGACACGAGCCGTTAGCACGTGACCAAACTGCGGCCTGACTTACCGACACACACGACCTGAAACAACACATCTAATGACCCCAAACTGAGCCATCCCCCCACTGTGCATTAACACTGCACTGGAGACACACATTTATTTGGAGATCAATCTGATCTGAAAACATGGGAACCACCACGGCTGTAGAGCCTGCAAGCATTTCACTTGTACGAGAGGTCCTATGAGGCGGCTCACAGTTGGCCGAGGACAGGCTGTTGTGGCGGATGTGGAAGTGCTGGTCTGCTTCCGGCTCCTCCGCCTCCACCGGGTAGTTGGAGCTGACTCCGGAGTCCACGGAGCTGGTGACGGGGGACAGGACGGGGCCCGGAGACGTCAGGGCCGGGGTGGGGGACTCTCTGGCGACGGCGTCGCCGACCTTAGGCGGAGGCCGGCGAGTCTCCGCCTCCTCCTCTGTGGCTTCCTGCTCCTGCTGCTGCTGCTTCTTCTTCCGCTCCTCCGCCTGCCGCCTCAGCTTCTCTCGCTTCCGCTTGATGGCCGCCACCCTGTCCCGTATGGCCTTGGCCACGAGCTTGAAGTCCGCCTCGCACACAAAGCCCAGCCCGACCTGCGTAAACAGCAGGCGGAGAAACGGTCAGGGCACAACAGGAACGTGTATATTTATACAACGTACGTACCGGTACAAGTCGGGGTCACGTGTGTGTGCGCTTATTGACCCGCTGTGACATTTGTGAAACCAAAGCACACAGACTCCATTCTTTCGTCCGGCACGGCCTATCAACACCTTGTTGGATTACAGCAGATCGGCCGGACTAGACCCCCCCCTCTGATACCAAATTAGATTTTGATGAAACCTTCCACAAAGAGGTAAACAAGTAAGGAATTGCAGCTTGTATTTTCATTAAGGGTGACCTCTACGGAGGGTGATACAAAAGGTACTTTTTCGTAACCGGCGGGACAGCTTTTATATTATTAAAGACGTGACCTCGGCTGCTTCCTGAGACGCGCTCTCACATTACGAGCCGCTGATGATTAAAAGTAAGAGCCGTGCCCTTGACGCACGCGGTTGATGTGCTGGAGAGCCTCTCAAGAGGCGACGCTTACTGATGCCTGTGAACCCACCCATCGGGGGGGGTGAAATATCAAAAGGGAATTTTGTGATGTACTAACAATGTCAGACTTGGTTTTCAAAAGTTACCACATCAGCAGAAGCGATGTCCAAGTCCAATCTAGGCTGTCAACCAACCAATCACATTGCATGCTCCTCTTGTGAGGAGAAATCTGGCGCTTAATTGCAGGAGGAAAGGTCAGTACTGACTCCATACCGGCATCTTCCCACCGGAAAACCAATAAAATCCGGATGTGGAGGAATGATTGACGGAGGTCGCCACTGTCTGTCGATCAATTACTCCACTTCCTCACTAATGGCTGCAGCCAACCGGCCGAGCGGAGCAGTAGGAGTTGACCTGGCCTCACCATCTCCTGGCACACCTCCTCGGGCACGTCCGTGTAGAGCTCAAACAGGAACTCGATGGCGTTGTTTTCCTTGTACTTTCCGTGGAGCTTCTTGGTGTCGTCCATCCGCAGCCACAGCTTCAGGCCCGACTTCACCATGTCGTCCTCCTCCGCCAGCTCCACGTGCACGCCGTTGTCCTCCTGGAAGAAGGGGTGATCCATGAGGTCCTGAATGGTGAACCTGCAGCGGAGGGAGGTCATGAAGACGCAGCTTGAATGTCGCCCGTGTTCCACGATGCACTAGAAACACTTAGAACGTGTTATAATTGCTTATGCATATTCATAACGCTTCATATTCAGAATCATAACACAAAGCATTTCATAAAGAATGAATTATCTGGTATAAGGGTATATTATATTTGATGGGCAGTGACCTTTTAAAAAGGTAATGACACTTCTTCAAAAAACCTAAGCTAACAATGACCACTTCTGATCATTTAAACAAGCTTTGATCTATATTAAACCTGAGGAAGTTTCTTTCCTTAAAGCCCCTCATCTGCTCTTACAGTAACTTAAAATAATACTACGACTACACTACACTTCGATGAACCAAAATACATTTATTCTTTACTTTATAAGCCTTCCAAAAATGCTTTTTTAATTAGTTATACTTGAAGGTTTACAATCTAATTTAATTCACTAATTAATTTTAGATTCTTGTCCTGAAGTAATAATGTTTATGTGAATGTTTATGTTTTGCACAATTGCCTATGCGGCGATATAAAGAATAAAATTAATTGATCCATGGCGTTTGTTATTTCTACCTTTCGTCGTTGTTCATGCGAATGCAGCCTTCAATGATCTCCTTGAGCTCCGGCACTTTGACTTTGTAGAAGCTGTCGGGTTTCATTCCCTGTGAAAACAAATCGGGAGAGTTTGACTTCACTGCTGAATCAGTGACCAATAGCAAACCATCTCTTCCTTCCACACTCCCACCTTCACCTCATTTTAATCCTCTGCGTTGTGGCCTCCAGCCAGCGCGACGTTGGGCTGTCAACACCAGAAGGAGAACTAAACCAGGAGCTCGTAAAATGGAAAAATACCACCACAGCTGGAGCTCCGATGCAGAGAGTTTATGTCGAGACCGGAAATATTCAGTTTGTTCATATGACACTAAATAAGGGAGTTATTCCTAAATGCGATCATGAGAATGTGCATAGATTACAGCAGAGCTGCCATCCCTGTAAAAACACCGATAAGAGCGCGAAGAGTCGAGGTCAGGGAGACAGATACCCGAAACAACGAGCCGGCTTTAGGTCAAAACACCCCCCAAAAACTAGAGTGATAAAACGTGTTATCACACCCGCAGACTGACACATGTCACACGGAGGCTGCGGTCTTCATTGCTACTTCCACAAATGGTTTACTTTAGATATTTTTGCTCTCTTTTTAAGTGAGACACGTGTGTGTAGACTTTAGTAATCCTCTTCAACGACTGCATTCTTACACTGAACCTGTATTACATAAAGGTTCGTACGTGACACCCGACTATCTTGGGGACACAGCACGGCCAGTCGGGGATCGAATCGCCAACCTCGGCCCGCTCGCGGCGTTATAACCACGCACGTCTGATAAATGACATCACAGACTAATCCAAACTCTGTGATACCGAGGATCGGGACAGCGGCACAGAGCGTTCTCAGCCTTCTCACAGACACCTTCAAAATAAATCGGGTTTTTCCTGTTAATCCAAATCTAATTCATGACTCCTTTTCCTTTTTCCTGAGGCGACGGAGGCCAAGGTCAAAGGTGAACGACGCCTGTTTAATAATATTATTATACATTATACCAGGTATTACTAAACTAATAGTCGCTGGAGTTTGGACTCTTGGTCGGACAAAACGAGATCTGACAACAAAAATGCCTCTTTCACCATTTTGTTATATTTGAAAATCAGACAGTGAATCATTAATGAGGAATATAAAGACGAGTTACAGCCCGAGCAGTAGAGCAGCAAATCCCTGCAGGGAGGGCGGGGGGGGCGTGGGGCCTTCTCAGAAAAAAATGCACGAGCATGGTAGTTAAAGCCTGAGGCATTTTCAACGTAATGTGTATTAGAATGCATTTATTTCCCCTTAAGCAGCGAGTGACTTCATGTTTCACACCAACGAACGGACAGATGCCGTCTGTGCTGCACGTGCGCGCGTAACCTTCTAAAGTCGCCTGGTTTGTGGAGGAACGAGACCCGCCGCCACCCGCTGGCGTTGTCACTTTCTCACTTTCTCACTTTTCCAGCCTCCGTCACAAACAGTTTGCTTTGCGTGCGGAGTAAAGCAGCCGTCTTTGTGCGAGTGAGACACAATTTTCCAAAACATTTAATTCCACCGTCGCCTGTTTCTGCCCACCATGGCGTCACCGACAAATACAGCAGCAGTTGTTGTAATGCTTCGCTCTTAAAACTTAAAACTAGACTGCTTCTGGTCTTTTTTTTTTTTCTTTTTTTAAAGGAGTCCCCAGAAAATGTTTTCTGCAAAACATTGTGATACAATCTGAATCAGTTTAGCTCCTGCAAGTGGGCTGGAATTCAAGCCCTTTTATTCCTTAAACAAATGTCTAAGAATTTCATCTCGTAATAACACGTGCGCTTTACTTAAATGTTCTTCTTCCTGCAGGGCTTAAGTTCAGATAAGAAAAGTGTCGTTGGGTCACTTTTACTTGGAGAAATGAATATTCTAGTGAACCAGGGTCTTTGATATGGTAAAAACGGACACGTGGGAACCTGCGTCATTAATTGCGGGCTAAAAAGTGGTCCGATTAAGTCAAACTTCCACAAAACTTAGGCCTCCGCCTAAGGCTTGGACAAAAGGAAGCTTTCATTCCATGTGTGGCCCCTGCAGTTCCCCAAAGACTCCTGATATCCACACGTATACACAAGAAACAGACTACAATGACACAAAACCATGAAACAAACCCTGCGTTCCAACTTTTACTCACGCTGGTGACTTTGCGGTAGATCTGGGCGGCGTTTTGGCACTCGGAGTACGGGTACTCGGAGGTGGCCATCTCCAGGATGCACATTCCGAAGGCGTAGACGTCCACCGCCTCGTCGTACTTCTCCTCGTACATCTCGGGGGCCATGAACTCCGGCGTTCCTGTCGGGTCAAAGGTTAGACCAGTAATTCTAGTGCACTGACCGGTCTCCAACTAACTTGAAACCTCTTTTGACTGCTGGTATTATCTAAAAAAAAATACCGTACATATGTACATTTATATGCACACGTACTTTAAGAATACGTGTCAAATCCACACAGCAAAGAAAAGCTTAAAGAGGAACGGATTGTTTTACTGGTCTTCTGAAGAAGCAAATTAAGGAGCATGAAGGAACATGAACAAAGACTGAATTTCATTGCCGTCCCTCTGCTATTAAACATTAGTGGCATTTTTGCTAAACGGTTTGCTTAAGCGAGATTGTGTTTCTGGCACCAGTGGAAGGGAACATTTGTGTAACAAATCTGGCCAAACGTGCACTCACCAATGACACTTTTAGCGAAAGAGGCACTTTTGAGAGTGGCGAGCCCAAGATCTCCAATCTTGACGGAGCCGATGGGCCCGGTGATGAAGATGTTGTCACACTTGAGGTCCCGGTGGATGATGGGAGGAGAGCGTGTGTGCAAGAAGTGAAGCCCTTTGAGGATCTGACGACTCCAGCGCTGCAGCAGCTTCAGCTTCATGTCCTTGAACCTTTTCAAGTACCTAAACGAAAAGAAGGACAAAACTAAACATCCCTTGTCCAAATATGCACAGAGAGAGAGAGACAGAAATAACTCATCTTCTATTATGACAGCCAAGAAGGAAGTTGTAAAGTGAATTATCGCTCAGGTGATTGTAACAATATGGAGCCATTTCTTATTCTGCACATCCTACAAAAAGTAAACAGCAAACTGTCAAACATTAGACCGAGATCCTGTTTTCTATGGAACAAGAGGTTCCGCCATTTGAGATACGGGACACAAGGCTGGAAAAACATAAACTGCTTTTCTTTATGCAGATAAGAAGAAAAAAAAAAGAAGATCTCCTTGTAAATGGCTGCAGTTAGAGGGACTCACGTCTTGAGCGTGCCGGAGGTCATGAGCTCAGTCACCAGGATGATGCACTTGTGGCCCTTCACCGTTGACTTCCAGGAGTCGTGGAAGCGGACGATGTTGGGGTGCTGCAGGCCCTTCAGCATCTCCACCTCCTCGCTGAACCGCTGACGCTCCGCTTTGGTCAGCTTCAGGGTCTGCAGAGAGGAATCACGTACAGGGTGGTGTCCTTCATATATTTGCTACGTTTAAATTACTTTTCTAAGCACCAACACAGTCCCCCCTCGGGAGCTGCTTGTTTGTTCTGTGGTTGGATTAGACGGCAGAAGATCCCGGGGAGGAATTCATCAGCCTCATAATCAGATTGCCATTTTGTTTCACAGCGTTCATCAGCATGTCACCGTCTCCTTGTTATGTTTCCCTGCTTGGCAGGGGAGGTGTTTTGTTTTGCACAATCGTTAATGACTGATGTAACCGCCCCGCTGTCATTTTCAGTCAACACAGATAGCGTCTTTACCTGCAAGGAGCCGGCAACGCCAATCAACAACAACAAATGGGCCTCGAGCTTTTGTTTTGAAGGTCAATGAAGAACTTTGAGGCTACACTTTAAAGAGAGAAGTCCTTCAAAACCTGCGGTCTTGTCGGGGGGTTCTGAAGGATGCTGTAAGACAGTCGCAGCAAACCCAGTTTCCGAAAACACACAGGAACAACTTGATGGACAACTGTTAACCAATGAGCTCGCTCCGAGACCGGAAACCACTCATTCTCCGATAAGTGGAGCTCCGACTCAACACACTACAGGGGGGGCGCTTCTGAAATCCAATTTAAAACGGAACCGAAAGCCGCGAACGCGCTGAACAAAGGCATTTCTGTGCTTCCTCTGGGGGATGAATGGGCCGATGCAAGCTGCTGCTGCTGCTGCTGCTGCTGCTGCTGGAGTAACTCTGCCTGTGGTGGGTTGTTAGTGGAAAACTCCTGGGAGACTTCAGGGCCATGAATCCTGCATTGACGCAAATTTCTGCAAAAAAAAAGAAGCTTGGCATATGTTTATGCTTACAATCAACGACCACTACTGTCTCTTTCTGCTCTCTCTGAGTGAAGAGGTGCTGCCGATCAATCGGACCGTTTTAAGACCTTCCCTGAAGCTGCACAAAGCCAGACTCTCTCCCACCTGCATCAGTCTAAAGACGCCAGCGGCTCAAAAGAGGGACACAAGAATCAGGAATCAGGAAACAGCTTCTGACCGAGTCGTTTGCGCTTTGGAAAATTGATCGATGACCTGAACACTCTGCGGCTTATTCCTCGAGGCCTCTAGTGCTGGATGGTTCTCCAAGAACATCTGCAGTGATGTTTATGGCACGTGGACATCTGTCCCGTGGGTAGCTGCCTGTTGGGGGGGGGGGGGGGGGGCCGCGCCCAACCCAATGGAGGCTCCCACCCCTCCAAAAACACACGGCTTTAACACTTTGGCGTGGAAAAGTCTAAAAAGCTAATACACCTTACCGTTCCGCAACCTAAAGCAAGGATCATGGGGAGGGGGGGGGGGGTCCTGCTGTGGCACAGAAACGTGAGCAGTACAACAATCTGGAGACTATTTACTTCATGAAACTCATCAAAAATAAAGGAATTGTTTGTTTAAAGTGCCAAAGAAGTCGAAAAGTGGAGTAAAGATGGAGCGAACAAACCACAGATATGAGGCGTTAACACTGCCGTGCTGTTGGGTGATTTTATTGTTCCTGGTGCCTGTTTCAGGGTAACACAATGACTCCTTCCAATAAAAACATGCACAGCTCCGTTTTAAACTATATCGGGTCTTGATTAAGAGGTGTGTGAAGGAGCCTCTGCTAAAAGAAATGTCATGCTGTTCACTTCCAGCTGGATTTATTCTTAGCTGCTGCTGCTGGGAGGCATGTGTGTGTGCATGTGTGTGTGTGTGTGTGTGTGTGTGTGTGTGTGTGTGTATGTGTGTGCGTGTGTGTGTGTTGAGTTGAGTTGGAGATCTGCAATAGCCGGCGTTGGAAGTATTTGGGCTCGGTGCCCCATAGGCAGAGTTACATAAAGCCACAAAGGAGCCACTGGTATTAAGACAAGTTCTATTATGACAACCAGGACATGAACACGTGCGTGTCAGCGAACATTTGCACTAAACAAGGCGGCGGCTGCGGGGTCCTAATGTCGTCAGTGTTGGTGCACTCAAGTAGGTGAAGGTCTGTAGGACTCCTGACTGAACGCACAGGGAAGAGTAAGGCAGGTGGAAAGAAGTGGATCCACTCATATCACTTCATTTCCTCGTGGGTTAAAGGTGAGAAGCTGGAGTTTTTCATCCATTGGTCGGAGCGTGTCTTGTTGCCCATTAGTTCCTACTAAAGACGTAAATCTTTAACAGCAGGACACAGATTCGCATTGATGGCAATGAGAGTACACATCTTTCTTATAACAGACGGTCGTTTTAGTACTTTTCTATTTTCAGCCGTGGATTAAGACACATTTGGTGATTTAGTTTTGTATTTATAGTTTATGTTTATGTTTGGCACCAGGAACGTGAATGTGGGATTTTCTCAAAATAAACCACAGTGGCAGCGTGTTTGTCATAATGAAGGAACGGCTCAGGCAGTGAGGCAGTTTGGCTCATTTACTAGTACTTTTAGTAGTTTTTGGTCAAATAGATTGAGTTCAAAGGAATGAGATCAGACTTTGGCAACAAAGACAACAGCCTCCTTGTTGGTGAGACCAACTAATTGTTGGTATGAAATTGGTGGACGATAATAAATATATTGTATATTACCAACTCAAAAAGGGCTCAGGGAACTAAGAGCCATTTATGACTATTTTTTCATAATTATAGATTTAACAATCAATACGCTGGAAAGGTATGGTAAAGATTAGTTGCACATTAGAAAAGCAGCCGTTAATTGACACGGTGGGATCGAGGCAGATGGAGAATATGTTCTTTTTGTGTATTCCTGTAATGATCTAATTCATCTGGAATACTTTTCCGCCTACCTTCATCTCTGCATGAACTCCTTTCTGACACCTCCTGCTTAAACCCCCCCCCCAATATCAGAAGGTTAAGGTTACCCCTCCCTTCCTAGTCTTCTTCATCCCATCTTTCACATACTGGGCCAGCGTTGACGACGAGAACCTGCAGAGCTTCAGAAGAGGGCACAACCAGCTCGACCAGACCTGGGATTGAGGTCAAAGAGAGGTAAAAACAAACAGTTTGACGTCACGCCTCGGAGGCCGACGCACCCGTCGTGACTGACGCGCTACGTATGAAAGCGCACGTAGGCCCTCACACTGGGACAGTGTTACGTTTGGATGTTTGCAGGTGAGAACTGAGGTGGCAGTGTGCTCGCTCCAAGGTGGAACCTGACATGTTGCTTGAATGGGCACAGGGATCGGGGAACCCAAACCGGCCTCTCACTGCGACCTCTGACCTGACTTGTGGCGCCCGGCTAATTACCCGCCTGAGTAGGAGGGACCACGATGCAGGCATACTCCTACTCGCTTGTATCTTCAAAAAGGTGAAAAGTATTTTACTATCGGTTTGTGTTTTATAGAATTCTTTCTATTTGTTGATTTTAAAACCAGAGCCAAGACACAGTTATACAGGACAGGATTCAGCTGAAAAGGGTTCTGAGGTGTACACGCTCTTTACTTAAGCGTACTATCTTTGGCATATTCACACTGCTATTTTTTTTTTCCATTACTTATCGGCCAACATTCAGCACCAACATCTATAAAGGGAATCAGCTGAGATCGGCCCAGGACAAGGTTGTCCTCTGTTCTGTTCTGTACAGCATGAGCCGCCTCGTTGGACGGATTTTGTTTGAGACCCGGAGATCTCGTATCTTTAGGGTGTTGACGTTGGTCCTCTTGACGTCTCGTAACTGGTCTGACGTTTGCTCTTAGAGGCTCCTGTGAACCGCTCAGCATTCCTCTCTTCTCCCAAATAACCCTCCTGCCTTTCAAGCGGAGATTTGGCTCACGCGACTGCAGCGACTGGTGACTTCTCCCTGCACGATGCCCACCCCCCCCCCCCACCTCCCCCCACGAGCCCCTGCGGCTTGGTTACCGCGAGCCGAAATGACAAGGACGTAATCCTCCCGCAGCATTTTTAGCTGACCCCGGGTCAGTGCTAAGTGGGGAGAAGAGGAAGGCCTCTGCCAGAGGGGAGACCATACGCGTGGCTCTGTCCGCCTAGCGGCGTCTAAAGAGGAGAGCGGGAGTGCAGCAAACACTTTGTCCTCCACGGAGAACCGCAGAATCGTCACAAGACGCGGAGCAGCTCGGGAAGGGGGTCGGCCAGCGGGACCCGGTGACGCAATCACGCGTTAAATGCTTTCTTTCACGGGCAAGGCCTTTAACAGGGTGTTGATGTTTACCAGCTTGTGTGCTCGGCTGCTGGTTATATCATTTCTCTGCGACTAATCGGAGGAAGTCTACTTAACCGGAGAGGCTGCGGGAGAATTCAACGATTCTCGTCCTGCACACAGGGAGCCGCCATTGAAAAAGGGTTTCGGCAGAAAGGGGGACGTAAGCAGCCTGTCGTGCTTCGTCATGGTTACGTCCGAGGCGGCTGTAAAAGGGCCGAGATGAACGCGTGGGCTCTTAAATCTGATTAAACTTAGCCGAGCTACCGGGAAACCGTGGCAGCTGCAAACAATAACCTGTGTGCATACACCTTTACAACCTTTCCTCCATTGGTTACTGCTACTGTAAACATAAACATATGACTGCAGTATTTTATTGTACATTAATTCTCTTTTTTTTCCCCTATGGGGGTCAAATTTCGGAAATGATTTATCTTCTGCAGCTCGACTGTAAGGTTTTTTTTATCACCTTATCACCTTTAAAAACCCGTCAACCCAAAGATTGTTCTTACAAATAGCTTTTAAAGCGATCAGTAAATTACAAATCAATGATGAATAAACACACGTTACCATTATAAAAACACTCATAGTGCTGCAGCTAACAATTCTATTCATTATCAATACATCTGTAGAATATGTTTGGTCTGTACAGTCTAGAATGTAAATAAAATAGTGTACAAGATTCGGTTTAGTATGATAAAAAAAACAGGACTTCAGCTTCGTCCTGATACGCAAAGCGCGACACATCTGGAACTCCGAGCAGAACAATAAATGCGAGGCTTTGCTGAGGAACACGTGACGGAGATATGAGGTTAGAGCAAAGC